ATCCTGTCTCTACTACTGTGTGACCATGGACAGGTCATTTAACTTCTCTTAGCCTCAGTTTCCCCATCAGTAAAATGGGAATAATAATACCTACTTCACAGGGTTGTTGTGAGGATCAAATGAAATGATGTACATAAAGATTTCTTGTAAACATTAAAGTACTATATAAATGGCATTTGTCATTACTATTATTGGAAAGGCCTCAGAAATCATCTAAAGCATGAATTCCCTCTATATCTCTGACCAGTGGTCATCCAGCTTATGCTTAAAAGTCATCTAGTGACAGGGAACTTACTAGCTACTGAAGCATGCCATTCCAAGACCAGCTTCAATAGGAAACTCTGTCAACCTAATGACCAACCATGATTCCAGAGGTCCCATGATGAAACATTCTATCCACCTCCTGACTGAGAGGTAATAGATTCAGGATACAGATTGGGATATGTATTTTTCAGACATGGCCAACTTGTGTTGCTTGACTATGTATATTTGTTACAAGAGTTTTCTTTTTCCTTTCTTTTTTTGGGAGACGAGGCAGGAGAAAAAAATAGATTTGTTAATTTAAAAATATGTTAAAATAAAAGAAATTCAAAAAATAGGAAGGGAGTTCCTTAATTGAGCCCAAATCTTTCTCCATGCACTCATAAAGTTCTATTCATTTATTCTAGTTTTGTCCTCAGAAGTCAAGTAGAACCTCAACCTCCTCCAGTGCGGTTTTCTGCAATGTAAAGCATGTAGGATCACCCATCTATGGCATCTCTGGCTCCCCACTCTGATGACCTCAAGGACCAAAAGATTTGAGAATTCTTTTTTTTTGTTTGTTTGTTTTAGGGACACTCAACTCCTAGACTGGGTAACTTTTTGATAGGGCTTCACATCCACGTCAATTGAACTATACATATAGAATGACAGACTCTCGAGTTGGAGGGGACCCGAGAGAGAGGTCATCCAGTCTGATCCATATCTGAACAAGGATCCCCTCTACCACATTTCTGACCAATGGTCATCCAACCTCTGCCTAGCACACATTCTTTACTTGTTGTCTTGGACAGATTCCAAGTAAGGGATTACATTTGCTTATTTACATGCCATTACAGTGCAATTGTAGATCATATTAGACAAAGAGCTTCTTCACTTACGGCAGTTAGCCATCTTGAAGTATTATTATTCAATTGCTGAATAGCTATTTTGTATCACTCCAAAGGGTAACTGCATTTTAATTGTGTTGGGAGTAGAAGGCCTGGGAGGAAGGAGAGGACATCTCTCAGAATCTATATATATGATCTCACTTATAAGCAGAGAAGGATTTCTTTCACTGGTGATTTAATATTCTGATGTATGGTACGTCATTTCTTAATTACTTAAGAATTACTTAAGAAATACTGTACTGGGTCAAATCCAAGCCAGTGCTCTGTTTCTGACAGTGGCAGCTTATGGTATGGGAGGTCCTAGGAGGTAAGTAGGGAAAGTTGTTTTTTTGTTGTTGTTCCAACCTGTAATTTCATTGGTTCATACTCAACTTCCAGGAAGGAAATTCCTTCTTACCAACGCAGACAGGTGACTCTTCTGCAGCTTAGAGAATTGCCTAAGACCCTGAGAACCTAAGTGACTTGCCGAGGATCACAGTGCAGCCAGTATGGAAAAGGGGCAAGGCTTGAACCTCTAGAGGTCCTCCGGATTCTTAGGCCAGCTACCCCTGGCTGCCAGGCTAGTATAAGTATTGAGTCCCCAGCACTGTGGAGGATGACAACTTATCATCATCATGTCATCTCGAGCATGCCATAAAAGTAAATTTACCCTTTAGGATGCCAACACTTTTATTGCATCTGAAAATTAACTTTTTTTTTTTTTTAGCTAGGCAATTGGGGTTAAGTGACTTGCCCAGGGTCACACAGCTAGTAAGTGTCAAGTGTCTGAGGCTGGATTTGAACTCAGGTCCTCCTGACTCCAAGGCTGGAGCTCTGTCCACTGTGCCACCTAGCTGCCCCTGCAAATTAACTTTTAAAGCTTTGGTTTCAGTAGCCATGCTAGTATTCCAGGAGTCAGTGAACAAGGCATTCCATTCTTGCCCCTAACGATTTTTATAAATGTTGATCATTTAACTTCTTAGCTTTTATTTTTCCATGCTAAAGAGTCATCTTTTTTTTTTCTAATCTGTATACTGAAATTCTTTCTTTCTCTTGGAGGAGGTAGTAAGACTGCTCATCTGGAGTAAAAAAGATCTGGGCTCTAACCCCATCTCTGCTAGTAGAATGTAAGCTCCTTGAGGGGAGGGATTGATTAATTTTTGTTTTCCTATCTCAGTGCTCAGCACAGTGACTTAAACAAGTAGGTGCTTGATGTAGATTTGGTGAGTTGAATTTTAGCCGTGAGGCCTAGGGTAAGCTGCTTCATCTCCTTGGGACTCAGTTTCCCTCATCTGTACAGTGAAGTCATATCTATAGATGTAGACATATCTATCTATCTCTCTAGAGATAGAGACATAGATAGTTAGGTAGATAGGCAGATGGACAGACTGATAGAAAACCTTTAGGTCTCTCCCAATTCTAAGACTGAGAGTCAAGGAAGTAGGTTCTGATCTACCTCTGTATTTTTGAGGGCAGCTAGGTGGCTCAGTGGATGGAGCATCCTGGGAGTCAGGAGGACCGGAGTTCAAATCTGGCCACAGACACTTACTCGCTGTGTGACCCTGGGCAAGTCACTTAACTTTTGTCATATGTAAAACGAGTCGGAGAAAGAAAGGGCAAGCCACTCCAGTATCTTTGCCAGGAAAACCCCAAGTGGCGTCGCCGAGAGTCGGACACAGCTGAAGAGACTGAACAACAGTAACAGCAAATCTTGAGCAAGTCACCTCTACTCTACTTCACAGTATTAGCCTCTTAAAAAAAAAAAAAAAAACAACCAAAAAAAAACAAACCCAACAAACACAATATTGCCCACTTTAAAAAAAAAAAACAAAAAAAGACAAACCCAACAAACATAACATTACCCTCTCTAAAAAAAAAAGCAACCAAAAAAAAAAAAACCAACAAACACAACATTACCCTCTTAAAAAAAAAACAAAAAAAACCAAAAAAAACCCCAACAAACACAACATCACCCTCTTTGAAATAAGAGGATTGGACTACATGATGTCTAAGGTCCTCTCTAGGTCTCGCAGTGAATATATTAATTGCCCTCCTCCAGCCCTATCTTTCTTAAGGCAAAATGACCAGATAGGCACATGGGTTTTTAGGCACAGGTACTACTCTAACCTGATACATTGTAGAAACAAAAGCAAAAAAGAGATTATTGGACGGATTACTGGTATGTCAGTTCTGAATTTTTTTTTAAATGTATGATCTGACCCTTTATGTTTAAACCAGCATGGCCACTGGTACTGCACGTGTGGAGGACTCAAAAGTGGACCTAGAAAAAATAAATCTATAATTTTAGGTGAAATGACCTGATTGGCTGTCCACAATGCTGTAGCTTGGGTAACCCACTCTCGGGCATGGATCCCAGCATCTAACCAGATGGCAGACTTGTTTCCTCCAGTGCTAAACTGTAAAACAAAAGGTAAATGATGTATGAGACCTTCCCTATCTCCACTCATTCTTTTCTTATCCCTTCCTTCTCTCCCATGACCCCCTTCCCACTCACTTTCTTTCCCCCTGTTCATTTACTTTATAGGATACGGGATAGAATTTGACTTGAGCATGGATGTTTCTGACAGCTCGACGAGTTTTAGGTAATTCTATTCCCTCTTTCATTGGTTAAAAATGTAGCATTTACACTACTACCTTACAACTTAGAAACTGGAACAAAATAACAAGGGAAATCATAGCATTCATCTCCCCTGAGGTCTTTAAATTATAAAGCTACCATATTTAGGGGATGATTTATGATCCCCTTCATGAAAACAGTGGAATGGGTGGGATAATTTCTGGAGGCCTGCTACAGATTAAGATTTTATAATTGAATAGAGTCTATTTAATCTGAGATAATCCCTTTGGGAATTGGATCAGCAGAATCTGGGAGTGGGGATTAGGGGGATGGAAAAGTGAAATATTGGGGGGCTATCAGCTTCCTTTTCTGGCTAGTAATCTAACTGTATATAGTAAGACCCATACCATCCCCATTGTTCCCCATGTTTGAAAATTTGGAATGATCTTTAACTTTCTAGTCTCCGTTATCAAGGCTTATTGTTTCTCCTCAGGAATCTCTTTCATTTAGCCCCTCTTTCTCTAGTAAGGGACTACCTTACAGGCTTGCATATTGACATGACTTCTTAATAGATCTGCCTGTCTCTAGTTCCCCCTCATCCTTCCCACCCGTCCTTCATAAGACAACCAGAATGATTATTTTTGTGCAAAGATCCAGTCACATCACCCCTCTGCTGAAAAATCTTCAGTGCCATCCTATTGTCTATCAAGTGAAGTTCAGACGTCTTTACCTGGCATTTTAGGCCCTCCACCATCTGACACCACCTTTCCTTTCCAGTCTTATCTCAATATCACTCCCCTCCACATATTCTACACTGCAACAAAACCGCACTGCTCTCTGACCCCCTGAAGAGACCCCTGCTGTAAGGACCTCAGTAGACTCCCACCCCTCTAAACAAAGAAGCCCCTGGTGAAGCTCAAATACCCTGAGTCACCCAGCCGAAGTGGAGAATTCCACTGCCTGGGAGTTTGAACATCAGCTAGCCACCCATTTCCCAGATATTCTCCCCAGCACAGCTTAGCAGCTGTCCTTGAACTTTGACCTGCACACCAGGCTCAGGTTCCCCTTTCCCTTCTCCAATGTCTGGTCTTACTTGACCCAGGTAAGAACCCTACAAAAATCCACCAGGCTTTACCAGCTTGGGCATCCTCTTTGATCTAGCATCCCAGCAAGACCACCCTGTTTCTATCTTCATTAACAGCCATTAGTATTTTCCCTCAATAAAGTTGTCTTGCTTTACTTTCTCAGCTGACTTTTATCTTGTGTTATGTTCTATCTCAGGAGTCTTCTCCCCACTTCTTGTGCGGTATCTTGGAATCCTTAACCTCACTTAAACTATACAAAGACACCTGGAGTCAGGAAGACTCATCTTCTTGAGTTCAAATTTGTCCTTAGACACTTCCTAGCTGTGTGACCCTGGGCAAGTCACTTAACCCTGTTGGCATCAGTTTCTCATTTATAAAATGAGCTGGAGAAGCAAATGGCAAACCACTCCAGTATCTTTGCCAAGAAAACCCCAAAAAGTGTCATGGAGAGTAGGACACGACAGAAAAACAACTGAGCAAAATTCTCCTTTCTCTGTGCCTGTGCTCATGCTGTTCCCTATGAAAAGAACAGCCTTGCTCTCCCTTTTCACCTATTGAATTCCTCCCCAACTTTCAAAGCTCATTTTAACCTACCTCCCATGTAAAGCCTACCCTGATCACTACTAACTCTATCCTAATTCCAGGTCAGCAATGATCTTCCTGCTCATGCCATAAAAAAGAAATTGGTTTGCAACTCTTTAATGCACTTAAATATAATACATAATATTGTATATTAGCATTTGTATTTTATTCAATTAATCAAGGAAATCAAAATAGTCCACTATTAAACTGATCCATAAGGGCAAGGGCTGTCTTATGGATATTTTGTGTTTTACGTAGTACCTAGTACAGTGCTCTCTCTATATAGGACTTATTAATTTCTGTTGAATAAATGGATTAATAAATAGTCATATCTCTACTACTAGACATAGTTTCCTTAAATAGAGGGACTGTTGTTTTTCATCTATCTCTCCAGCTCCCAGCCGCATACGATTTTACCCATCATAGAGTTCAATCAATGTTTGTTCAATCTTCATGGTACCTAGTCGCTGTTTGGAGAGGAATGAGCAGCCCATTGCAAACATCCAAACCATTTAAATGCAGGGTACCTTAAGCACATTCATGGGCCGTTTTTCAAAAGAATATCCTATTTGCAGTTGGCTCACTAGATCTGGGTACTGCTCAGCAAGGTTGTCCATTTCTTGGAAGATCTGAAATTTTAAGAGTACAGATAAAGCAAGATTTGTTAAATCAGCTAAGCATTTCAACTAAGGAGGATTTTCTCTTTCCCTGTCCCATTCTGCCAGCGCATTAGTACCAAGGTTCAGTTTGGTCAGCTGTATATTTAGGGATGTTAATGTTTTAATTTCAAATAATGTCAGATAATTCAGATAATTAATAATGAACCACACATTGCTACCCATGGTTCAAATCCCAGCTGAAAAAAGAATCATTTTGTAGCAGAAGGAGAAATATATTTTCTTATCCACATGACAAGAACGTATTCCTATCTTAACCATTCTAGGAGGAAAACTTTCTAAAATGGCTTCCCTATCTCCTTAAAGAGAAGAAATTGAACACCATTTTTGGTAGAAATATTTCTGTAAAATATAAGTCATATTCAGTAGAATGTTAGCTCTCTAACAGGGATATGCTTTTGGTTTTGTCTTTATAGCTTTGTCCATGTGTCTTTGCACATGGTAAACACTTACTAAATGCATGTCAAATGGAAATGAATTACATTTTCTTGGTGATAAGTTCTTTCTTCCTGTCTCCATACACTACTTTCCCTCTCTCCCCTCCTTATTTCCAGATAGAGCTTCCACACACCTGTTGAGAACACCAGAAACAGTCAACAGGTAAAGTCAGAGGAATGATAACAATAGGATCCCCTGCCCCAGGTATTCCCTACAGCTGCCAGTTAAGTGGCCTGATCCTTACCATTTTCCTAATTTGAGGACTCAGTGTTTTCAGGTCTTATGGAAACAAACTATCTGGATGCAAGTGTTCCTAACTTTCTTTTTTTTTATCATGGAACTCTTTCGCAGATTAGTCAAGTCTATAGACTCCTCAGAATGATGTTTTTAAATGAATAAAATAAAATACATAAGATTACAGAGGAAGATAGTTATCCTGAAATAATTATTAAAATACTTGTAAAAAGAAAACAAGTTCATGGATCCCAGGTTAAGAACCCTTGATCTAGAGTTTCAGGGAAGAAGTTGAGGACAGGGCTAGCTCCTTAGAAAGCTGAATATTGGAGTGAGGAAAACTACCTACTTCTTAAGTTAAATAGCCTGAAAAATTTACCTCTTCCAAGGTATGGTAGGTTCCAAAATTGAAGGTTCCACTTCTTTCTCTTCTTTGATGAAAACGCATCTCTTCATTCTCTTTGTCCAGCAGAACCTAGGATAAATCACTTCCATTTATATTCTGTTTGTGGCCACTCATTGGCATATAAGCAATAATGAAAGAAGTGGGGACCAGAGAAAATGGACAGAAATCTTAAAATAAGTGATAACTCAGGCCCTAGAAACCACTTTTTCTTATTGCACATGCTGGCTGTGGGGCTATACGTTGTCCTCAAAGGATGATCAATATCAAACTACAGGTAACATTTTACCAGCAATTTTCTTGGTCAGAAAAGGCAAGAGTTGGTCAATGCAAGGAAAACTTTAGCTAAATCACTTTATGTAAGAGGCATCCATGACCAACCAAATGGTTGACTTGCATAATGATAAAGGACTGTACCTCTGTTGGAAGAGCCGGGGGATTTCGTCTCCACCTTCACAAATCAAAATTGATTCAATTTGTAGCAAGGGGGAAGCAGGTATTGCTGGAAAAAATCTGAGGCCTTCACATAAATAGTCCTGTGGTCATAGCTCTTCAGTTCTATGCACACTCAGAAAGCTGTCTTCTTATCCCCCTCATTATCTGTAGATTTCACTCATAAGAAAATGGAAGGGAGGTTCCCACCTCCCATGGAATGGCTTTACCCATTGAAAAGGGGTCAATCAGTTGATTTCAGAGCCAAGTGGGAGTTACAGAAGAATAAAAGAAAATTATGAGAATGACTTTATGATTAGTTCATTTTAACCAGATAGACTTGGAAGACAAAAGATCTTTGGGGTACTCACCTGTACATCTTCAATCATGATGGAATAAGGAATTCCATGGGACTCCAAGAAAATTTTGACTGCCTGCAGTCTGGAAAAGGGAATTCGGACATGTACCTTCTCCCCTGCAGTGGTGAGGGGCCTCCAGAAATCAATCTGTAAAGGGAAAGAGCAAAACCAAGCTGGGACAATCATTCTAGGGCAATGGGCCTATTTTCACTTCACCTCATTTCGATAATCCCTTTGGTAAAACTATAATTTTGTCATGGGCAGTCTGAACGCTGAAATCACCAGCTTACTGACCCATTATTAAAAACTCTATGGTTCTTAATATAGTGTTAAAAATTCTATGGTTCTTGATATAGTATTAAAAATTCTCCTGTTCTTAATAACGATTAGACATTATAATGGACTGAATAAAAAAGATGATTCAAAACTTGTGGTTGTACATCATAACAAAGTTCATCTGTTAAAATGCAATAGTACATTGCTAATTTGTAAATAATAGCTGTCAATATTCAGAGCTTTTAGCTTTTCAAAGTACTATCATATCTAACTGTGTTCTACTGTTAGCCCCACAATAACCCTTTGAAATAGGCAGGCCAGGTATCATTAACTCCATTTTTTTCAGACCAAACCTTGAAGCTCCCTCTATCAATGTAAACTGACACCTGTTCTGCAATTTATAGCCCTAGAAAGTCACCTGGAGCACTGAGAGGCTATGAGACTTGACCAGGATCACACAGTCAGTCTATGTCAGAGACAGTCACTATCCGCATGCTGCCTTGCACGCCTATTTTACAGAAGGGGAAAGGGAGGCCCAGAAAAGTCAAGTGATTTGCCCAAAATCACACAGCTCATTAGGGGAAGAGCTAGGAATAGGACCTAAGACTCTTGAATCACAGTCACATATACTTTCAACTAGAGCTTGAATTCTGAAGCACTTAATGGGGAATTAGTGTGGCGTAATGGAAGAGCATGGTCATAAGAGGCCCTACAATCAAACCTGGCTCTCCCCCTTACCATCTGCGTGATCTTGAGCAAGTCATTTGATTTGAGACTCAGTTTCTTCATTTGTAAAAGGAAGAGGTTGGACTAGAGGACCTCTAAGATCCTTTCTATCTCTAACTCCATGCTAATGCTCAGTTATATTTGACCAGATGTATTTCCAGAAAAAAAAATCCCAATCGCCCTTTCTCAACTCTACATAAAATCCACTTTGATAACCATGGATCCCACCAGAATAGGTACCTGAAAGTGAGCTTCTGTTTCCAGTTGTCTTAGGTTTTTAACTTGTTCTTCATTCCTTGGTGTGATCTCAAGAACCTGGTCTCTGAAGAAGATAGAAACCCTAAGGAGGAGGTTTTAGACCCAATGCTCCCTGTGGCTGCTTTGTCTTGTCGTTCCTCGGCAGGATAAGTTTAAGGCTACAGATCAACAATTTGATTGGCAATCAACAGGGATGAAACAACGTGCTGGGAAACCTATGGAATGACTGGGCTCCATTTCTCTGGTGGGTTGTTTTGGCTGTGAGGTTTATAAATATGTTACATAGATTTTTTTTTTAATTAGAAGCCTGAAGAAACTCACAGCTACAGCCAGTCTTCAACATTCGTGCATTTAACTTGCAAGACTTTAGTGTTAGCGTGATCTTATTAGTAACCTCATTTTCACTTTCATGTGGGCAGCCATACACATTTGCATCCATGTGCAATAGAGAAAAAAAACAAGACGAGCAATGTATGCAAGTCTGTGGAGCAGCTGGTAGCTGACCGGGTCTTGTTCACCCACTGCTGTAAAGAGTGCCCCAGCATTCGTCGAATATTTTCATTATTTACCTTTAAAACTCAAGTTTTATGTTGCAATTATACTCCAAACAGTGCAAGTCCTTTGGGCTCTAAGCCCAAGTGTACAAAGTCAGTGATATGGCTCGGTGAGAAAATAAAGGTGTTAAATAAACTTCCTGCAGGAAATTCTGCAGGTGCTGTCACTACGAGTTTGGTGTTAATGAATCAATGATTTGTTATACAGTACAATGCCCCCATACCACCATCTGACACAGTGGAAGGTAAAATTCAGGTTTAAAAAAGTTTTAGTTTTAAGAATTTTATTTGCTGTACAGTATTGATGGTTCTGCAGATTTCACATGTTATGAAAAGTGAATATTGTGCAAAATCAATTTTTTTGAAATGTTAGCACAAAGAGAGAGAAGAAGAAGGAAATGGCACACCACTCCAGTATCTTTGCCAAGAAAACCCCAAATGGGGTCATAAAGAGTCAGACACAACTGAAATGACTGAACAACAACAAAAATAGCACAAAAGGCCACAGAATTCTAGGGAATTACTAGCAAGAAAAAACTTTTTGCATGTTTCCAATTTTATTTTTGTGAATGTCATTTTGTGGGTTATTTCATGGTTACTCTGTCAGGAAAAATGCATGTTATCAAAATTAATGTTATGTTATAAAGAATCGTATGCAGAAAATTGTATTTTCAGCACTCTCTAGTAAACGATTACAGTTTTTGGTGATCACAGGAAGCTAACCCCCATTTCAAGTAGGTTCAATGTATCAACATTTCATTTTTTACTTTTGTCTGTTTTCAAGGAACATTACCCCTGTGAAAGAGAGGATTGACTGTATATATGAAATCTGCCTTATCGATTATAAGATGAAAGTCTAAAGATCAAAAAATCTCCTAAATTAGAGTCAATTTATCTGCCAAGTACACTGGTCCTCAATAATACCATTACACCTGATGATCAGCAAAGTTGCCCCCTGCTCCCCATACCCCAAGCATGGACAGAAAAAAAGGCTCGGGAGATATCTGTCAATTGAATAGCCACTTAAAACAGCAAGGGGTTGGTAAATCTCTTCTATGTCCTATGTAGAAAAATCCAGGACAATCTATAAGTCAATCAACCCATATGGCAAGAAAGCTGGCAAACTAATCCTGGGAGAGGGGGGTATTCAGAGTATAAAGTACATTCTCACTTGAGCTTCTTAATATTAATTTGTATTTATTTTGCATATATTTCATAATTAATTATCTCTATGGACACTGCTTCCCCTAGTAAAATACTAGCTTCTTGAGAGCATGTGTGGCTTTGTATTTGTATTCCTAATACTGAACATAGTGACCTGCTTACACAAGCCAGTGCTACATAAGCACTTAATAATGAATTGAATTGAATTGAATTCATGAATGAAGATCCAGCAAAGGAGACAGAGACTGAGTGGTCGGACAGATGGGAGGAGAACCAGGAGAGACCACTCATAAAAACCCAGAGAGAAGAGAGCATCAAGATGAAGAAGGTGACTGACAGCATTAAAAGCTGAATGAAGAGAGTTCAAGAAGAATGAAGACTGAGAAAAAAGGCCATTAGATTTGGCAATTTAAAGATCATTGGTAACTTTGGAGAGAGTAGTCTCAGTTGAATGATGAGATTGGAAGCCAGACTCCAAAGACTTAAGAAAATAGTGAGAGAAAATGAAATGGGGGTATTTATGGGGCAGCAAGGTGATGTAGTAGATAGAGTTGCTGGGTCTGGAGTCAGGAAGACCTGGGTTCAAATCTAGCTGCAGACCTTCCTACCTCTGACCTTTGGCAAGTTACTTAACTACTGTTTGTCTCAGTTTGCTTACCTGTAAAATGGGGATAATAATTGCACTCACCTCCCAGAGTTGTTGTAAGGATCAAATGAGATAATGATTGTAAAGTGCTTGGCACATACTACGTTAAACTATTGTTATTATTATTATCATTATTATCTGTTATAGCTTCTCAGGGGCACAAACTAATCAAGTGAGGGTTTTTTGAGGATGGGCAATGTAAGAAAGATTTTAGGGGGTTAAGCTTCCACAGCAGGATAAGAAATTCCAAGATCTTATGGATAGTCCCTCAAACAATCAGAAAGTGCTCCAAACTTTTCTGTAAACAATTAGTTCCTTAAGAAAGAGCCCTAGAGGCTAAACCAGTTGCAACCCGTTGGGTTCAAGCACGAGGCTTCGATCAGGCAAAGGCTTTTCTCCACTGTGTTTGCTTAATAAGCTTATTGAATATGAACTGACACACCCCAAGGGCGGAGATAGCCGCCATTTTTTAACGTGGGACCCATGAGGTGGGCAGAGTTAATGGAACATGGACAAATATGGGACGGGCTGTCCAGGAAGGGTGTAACTCAGATGAGCCAGACCAATAGTAGCCCTGATGGGTGGAATATGGATCTTACTAATGGTTTAAAAGTTGATTCTACCACTGAACCAGTGCCCACGTGCTACTAAAGTGCGTTGTGCCCACTTTCCTTCACTCACTCACTGTAGTAGATTTTTGTTTCAGATTTTTCTAACAGGTGAGTCAGGTATAACCAGGTAAAATGAATATCAAGGGAAGCCTTGTTAATGAAAAGAAATCACTGAACATGTGGCTTGAGGGCATTTCGAAAGGGGAAGGGGGCGGATAATGCCGTCCATGTTGCCTTGGTAAAGATGGTACTATTGGGGTAGCTAGGTGGCTCAGTGGATAGAGCATCGGCCCTCGAGTCAGGAGGACCTGAGTTCAAATCCAGCCTCAGACACTTGACACTAGCTGTGTGACCCTAGGCAAGTCACTTAACTCCAATTGCTTCATTTAAAAAAAAAAAAGACCTAGTGAAAATGAGCATAATCTTTCAGGGGAGGAGATGGATATTCAACGAAATAGGGGACATCCATACCTTCCTGATAAAAAGATCAGAGCTCAACAAAAATTTGATCTTCAAATACAAGACTCAAGAGAGGCATAAAAAGGTAAATGGGACAGAAAGAAACAACATGTTATTAATAAGGGCAAACTGTTTACACCCCTATAAGGGAAGATGACACTTATAACTCTTGAGAACTGTATTATTATTACACCATGTTAAAGGGGTATACATAAAGGGAGTGGGTATAAATTGACTTTGATGTAATGATGAAAAAATCTAATCAAGTGGGTTAAATGGATCCAAGTAAGTGAATTAATCTGATCTAACTAAGAAATTTACTGAGAGAAAAGGAAAGGAGGAGGCAGACAAGGGTAAATTCCATCACAGGAAAAGGCACAAAAACCTATTACAGCAAAGGGAAAGAAGGGAGGGAGATGAGCTTTGTTTGAACTTTACTGTCATCAGATTTGGCTCAAGAAGGGAATAACAATCAGTTAGGCATAGAAATCTAACATGCCCTATAGGCAGTAGGAGGGAAAAGAGGAAAGAAAAGGGAGGGGGCTAATAGAAGGGAGGTGGGACTGAGGAGGCAGTGGTCAAAAGCAAAACATTAGTGAGGAGGGAAAAGGAGAAAGGAGAAAGAAAAGCATAAACAGGGGGGGAAAGGATGGAGAGAAAGACACAGATAGTAATCATAATTGTGAATGTGATATATGAATGTAATGGAATACTATTGTGCTATAAGAAATGATGAACAGGCAGACTTCAGATAAACCTGGAAAGACTTGTATGGTTTGATGCTAAGTGAAGTGAGCAGAACCAGGAGAATGTTGTGCATAGTAACAGCCACATTGAGTGATGACTGACTTTGATAGACTTAACCCCTCTCAGCAATACAAGGATCTAAGACATCTCCAAAAGCCTCATGATGGAAAATGCTATCCACATCCAAAGAAAGAACTATGGAGTTTGAATGCAGATCAAAGCATACTATTCGCTATTTTCTTCTTCTGTTGTGTTTTGTTTCCTCTTTCTGGTGGTTCCTCCTATTAGTTCTAACTCACTCTTACAACATCACTAATGTGAAAATATGTTTAACAGGAATGTGTATGTATAGCCTATATTAAATTGCGTGCCTTCTTGAGGAGCGAGGTAGGGAGGGAGGGGGAGAAAAATTTAAAACTCAAAAGCTTATGGAAGTGATTATTGATAAATTAAAATAAATCAATAAAAAAAGAAAAAAAGAACTGTGAAACAAATAAACAAGCAAAGACAAAAGACTAATTAAAAGGGTCAAGGTACTTGGTATGATCCATGGTCTGAAATCAGAAGACAGATTGTAAAACAGATCGTGCTAGACTTGTCTCAACTGCACAATGTCTTGTTTTCACAATTTTATCTTTTTTGTAATTCAGTATTGACTTTGATTTTTTTTATATTAACAAATTGGTTGCCTGAGTGTACACAGTTGGCTATTGACAGATACTTTTTACATCAGAAATAAGTTGTTTCTTGCCTATTAAAATACAAATTCAAAAAAAAAGATGGTATTATCTTCAGGCAGGCTGCCCCCATGAAACAGCATCATGCCACTTGGGCAAGGAACGGGAAGCCTAAGGTAGAGCTGTAGCCACAGAGGTATGTGATTCGGAAGAATGCTGAGTTTATCCCTCTAGTTCAGAGTGGTGCAGTGTACCTTTTAGCTATGTGACTTGTAGGTAACTCACTCTTTCTCTCTTGAGCCTAATTTTCTCATCTATTAAATGATGGTAATAAAACATATATTATCTGCTGGCCGTTAGGAAGAAAAGCCCTTTGTAAACTTTAAAGGGTTAGATAAACGTTCACTTGTTAATAATTAATTCTTATTGACTTTGTTAGGGCCAGCAGCAAATATTACACTTGCAGCTTGTTTGTTCTCAATACCAGCCTACCTGCGTTCACTTTCCTACCTAGAATGTTGACTGACTAGAAAGTCTTTAAAATCCAGTGAAAAATGCACCTCCTCCAAAAAGCCTTTATTTTGACAGATGAAAAAACTGAGTTTCAGAAAGGTGGTATAGTGACTTGCCCAAGGTCACATAGATAGCTTAGTAGTGGAGTCAGGATTTAAACACAGTTCCTCCAGCTCCAAAAGAATTATATTGAGCTCTCTCCACTTCTTTATCTGATCCCTCTTGAGACCAAGCTAATAATGATTGATGATGACAACATTTATATGTTACTTGCTTTGTGCCAGGCACTATGCTAAACACTTTACAATTATTATTTCATTTGAGTTTCACAACAACCCTGGGAGATAGGTACTATAATTATCCCCATTTTACAGCTGGGGAAACTGAGGCAAACAGTGGTTAAGTGACTTGTCCAGGGTCACACAACTAGTAAATGTCTGAGGTCTGATTTGAACTCAGGGCTTCCTGTCTCCAGTCCCTGTGTTCTATCCACTGCACCATCTAGCTGCCACCTAGCACCTTAGGGTGATTTATCAGTAAAACCTCATGACTGTGAAATAGAGAAAACTAATCCAACCCATCTAGATAAGGATCATATCCAGCACCTGACATCATTAGCCCCCTATGTGCTAGTCAAATGAATTCATCAGCCAAAATCCCTGCATTGTTCATTCTCCCTAGCCCGTGTCTGGTGCCATCTTCCCCATCCCTTTACAATTCTCTGTTGGCTTTTATAGGGCTTCACAAATGTTAAGCTTTTTCATGTGTTGTGCGTATCCCCAACTCTAAGTCCTGGGAAGATGAGCAAAGTAACCCTCAGGCCTTTTTCTTTAAAAAAAAAATATATATATATATATATATTTATATTTTTAATGTTTTATTGATGACTTTTTAGGGAAAAAAAGTCATTTTCCAATTGAACCCTGCAACCATTGAGTCCTCTTTCATAGGAAAGAAAAACAGTTAAACAACACCAGCTGACACGGGATTGCATCTGACAGCGTCTGCCATGTTCTACACAGGTGATCCCTCATCTCTCGCCTGAGAGAAGCATTCTGGGCCTTTTCTACCCATCCCCGCACCAGCCACTGTAAATCTTAATATCCAGTGGGTTAGGATACTGTCATTCATATTATGTGATCATTGTTGTTGAGCCTGGAGGTAGTGAGGGGAATTTGTAACATTTGTTACATCCTTTCATTCTCCAAAGCACTTGCAGTTGTCTATCATTTCATTTTATTCTCAAGACATTTTTGTGAATTTTGTTGTTCAGTCATTTTTCGGTTGTGTCCAACTCTTTGTGACCCCATTTGGGGTTTTCTTGGTAAAGATACTGGAGCGTTCTGCCGTTTTCTTCTCCAGCTCATTTTACAGCAGAGGAAACTGAGGCAAACGGGGTGAAGTGACTTGCCCACAGTCACACAGATAGGAAGTGTCTGAGGTCAGATCTGAACCCAGTAAGACGAGTCTTCTTGACTCCAGGCCCAGTGCTCTATCCATTGTGCCACCTAGCTGCCCCTATCTCATGAGACAGGTATAGTTAATAAAGGAAGTGTGAGAACACTGTTTCCTGAAAGGAGGGAGGGAGGGTTTGAAAATAAAGAAAAAAGCATAGGAAGGGGAGGTGAGAGTGTAGTCATTAAATACGCTTCCTAATTTTACCTAGAGTGGGTTCCCGTTTTTATAGTCACAAGGAGGTAAGAATTTTTATTTTCACTAAATTCAATAATTTAATTCAACACACACATATTTGGAAACAACTATATTCAAGGTACTGGCTAGGTATTATAATAGGTATTGTTAGAGATACAAAGATACAGAGAGGTCCCAATTTGTGTGAATAATAAATACTGTGCAGGCAGTTAACTAGACTACCTGAAGTTCAAATCTAGCCTCAGAAACTCATTAGCTGTGCGACCCTAGGCAAATCACTTAACCTCTGTCTGCCTCAGTTTCCTGAACTGTAAAATGGGGATAATAATAACACCTACCTCCCAGGGTTGTTGTGAGGATCAAATAAGATGTTTGTAAAAGCACATAGCACAGTGCCTGGCATATAGTAAGTGCTTAATAAATGCTTGTCGCCTTCATCCTTCTTCCGCTCTTCAAATGATCTCATGGATTCTAATTCCCACCAAGTTAATAATTACGTAAAATACATAGCATGAGTTCCAATAATGCAACCACTTTATTGTTGTGGAAAGTTAGGTAAATCATTTCCCCTTTCTGAGGATCAGTTTCCTACAAGTAAAAGGATTAGGTTAAATAACTGGTTAGATAACCTTCACAGAGGAGGATTTGGGCTTTAAAGGATAGGTAGGATTTTAATAGTCAAGGATTATGGAGAGGAGGGACACTTCTAAGCACATAGGCACAGGAAAAGGTAGGAGGAGGGTGAGATATGATAAGAAATAATCTTAGATTTGAAAATAAACAAACAAACAACATCTCCTAAGTATAAATACAAGGTGAAGGAGATGTGGCTAAGAGCGGTTTTTCTGAAAAGAGCTGGGGTTTTCAGTGAACCACAAGCCCAATAGAAGTCATCAATGTGAGATAGTAGCCCAGAAAGTTGATGCAATCTTACTACACTACATTAAGCCTAGTGTCAAGGACTAGAAAGATGACTCCATCTTCCTTGAACCAAGTCTGGAATATTGGGTTTAATTCAAGGTGCCACATTTTAGAAAAGACAATGGTAGGCTGAAGAGTAAACCAAGGAGGTCAACCAGAATGGTCAGGGACTTCCAGGATAGCATAAAGGAACTAAGGATGCATAACTGGAAGATAGGGGGACATAAGAGCTGTCTTCAAGTATTTGAAAGACATTTATGGGGGCAGCTAGGAGGCGCAGTGGATAGAGCACCAGCCCTGAAGTCAGGAGGACCTGAGTTCAAATCTGCCCTCAGACCAAACACTTGACACTTACTAGCTGTGTGACCTTGGGCAAGTCACTTAACCCCAATTGCTTAAAAAAAAAAAAAGAAAGATATTTATGTTAAAGAAATATCAATATTTGTTCTGCTCTACCCCAGAAGGTACCAAAAGTTGGAAGTTTCAAAGAGGCAAATTTAGGATTGATTTGGGGAAAAACTTCCTAATAACGAGAATGACCCAGAAGTGGAAGGCTATCTTGTGAAGCAGTTTAGTCTCTGTCACTTGGACTCTTCAGACAAATGTTGTATGAAACTTGTAGGGTATGTTATAGAAGGAATTCTTACTCTGGTCATGATTTGTCTAGACCAAGGGTGGGGAGCCTCGAGGCCACAGGTTCCCCACCCTTGGTCTAAATGGCCTCTAATTCTATGATTCAGATTCTGATCCACTAGGAAAAGTTGTATGGGAGATGGGAGACAGAGGAGGTTGTAAGGAGAGAGGGGAAGCTTCATTATTTTATATGTTTAGTTTCCCTTTCTTATTTCTTTTATATTTTTGCCTCCTTTTTTCTACCACCCCACTCATTATTCTAATGTCTGGACCACCCCACTTTTATTTTCAGAGAAATACAGGTATTTGGTGATTTCAGATAGCACTTAACCTTTCCATGAAAGTAGGGATAGGGGCAAGATTTGTGATTCACTGGAATAAGGAACTCTAAGGTGAGAGAATTCCCCCTACCAATGCTGGTCTCTGTAACTTGGAATCTAGAGAGCTGCCTGGAACAGTTAAGTGACATGTGCTGGGTCCTACAGTCAGCATGTGCCAGAGACAGAAGTGGGACCAAGGTACTGCCAGAACCAAGGTCAGATCTATCTACTAAGCTGTGATGTCTCTCACTGATAATATAGTTTATAGAAAGGTGCTGATATTTACGGCCACACTACAAAAAGGCGGGCTGAGCCCCTGTGAATCTCAGGTAACAAAAGTATAAAAAATAATTGAAAATAGAACTTACCCAACGAATGTTTCCTGGCAGAATATATACCCAATTAGAACACCAAAGAACAGGATAGACTTCATGGTCAAAGATTTTTCCAAGGTCCAACAGCCAACACCCACCACCAGATCTTTATTTATAGGGACTGTGGCTAGAACTTTGGTCCTCTCAGGACATGAGTAAATTCCCACATGGCAGAATTCCCACCAGTTTCAAGAACTCTCAAGGGAACAGTTAGACACACCTGCCATATATTTTTTTTTAACCAATCAATATATTTTCCATTCAAAAGATAAGATAAAAATAGCTATTAAGATTTTTTTTTTTTTTTAGAGATTAGATCTTTTAAAAATCTCTTTGGGAAAGAAAATATAGTTGCCAGAGTCTATCAAGGATACAAAACCTATTTATAGTTGGTTTATAAAAGTAACAACTAGGCTTTGCCCAGTGATAGGGAATAGATTTAAAATCCTAGAAATTGAAGTCCTTTCTAGGCCCACAACAAAAAGACCAGTAGCTGTTCAAAGACATAATCTACTATACTCCATTCAGCTTATTTGTTTACTTTATTTTTTTAAATAAAGTGCATCCAGAAGCACCATAGGATCATCTTACAGATGAGGAAACTGAGGCCCAGAAGGGTAGATTAACATACCCAAGGTCACATAGATTGGAAGTTATTTAGTTCATATCTGGTGGGATTCCACATTGAGGTTTTCCATTCATTTCTCTTTTCTAAAGCAGTCTCAATAGAACACTCGTTAACATCCTTTTCAGTGGGTGTCTCTAAACTTTGGTGTCAAACTCAAACAGAAACAGAGGCCACCAACCCATACAGTAGGATCCCTGCCACCACATATTAACTTGGAAAACCCCATATTAACATTAGTTTTTATTTTATTGTATTTTTATTTTGTTCAGTATTTTCCAATTACATTTTAATCTGGCTCAGGACACACTGGGGAGTATTGTGGCTCGAATGCAGCCAATGGACATATATTTGACACCTCTGCTGTAAATAATACTTCCACCTGGCCCCCAGCTTAAAATTCCTGGCATACTAGAACTCTGTTTTTCATTAAACAGTGAAAGAATGCTCTTAGTGGTTTGGGAAATCATGTTTTATAGGACTTTATTTACACAAAAATGGGGGTGGGGGGAGAAACTGAATCTGTGATTTCATTGGCATAGGGAATTCTCAGTGAGGAAACTCCCTCCACCAATGAAGGGCAACACTTTCTCTAACTTATGTCTAATGGGGCATTGAGATGGTGAAAGGTTAATGTATAAGATTTTCCCTATCCACGCCCAAGCCAAAGGAAAAGGGAACTTCCCTAATGTATTGTTCTGGGATTTGTTTCAACCCAGACCCACCTTGGGGAATTATTCCTTAGGAACAGGTCTTGAGGTAAACATCCAGGGACTTGAACAGTTTTTGGGTATTGACCAGAGACATTTTTGACATAACAAAGATTGTTCTTGAGGTCGGAGAGTTTCGGCCAAAACTCTCAGGTCCTTAGGATCAATCACCTGCTCCTTGGCTCCCTGCCTTCTTTGTGTAAGGATAATAAAAAGGGTCTCTCTTGAGAAAGGGCTTTAGGAAGTCTCCCCTTGGAGAGGATGCTCTGCTGTAGGGACTTTCCCAACCAAGACCCTGGGGGCTGTGATACAGGACTCCCCCAGCCAGATGTTCAGGAGTTGGTGTTTGCATTTCTTCCTCTTTATCTCTCTATCCTTCCGTTAATAGTCTTTGCTTCTAACATTGCATAATCACATGTAATCACCTTTATGTGCATGTATGTTTATGATTATTATCATTACTAAATCATTTACAAGCTAGGAAAAGTGTGAACGTGTCTTTGTGGGTACAGATCCGAACCTGGGAAACAAATTATAAGTGCTGCACACCTCACTGTTACAGATGGTAAATTGCTTGGGTCCTCCAGGAAGTATGTATCAGGGGTGGGACTTGAGTTCAAATCCTCCTATGCCGAGGCTGACTCTATCCACTAGGCAACATTGCCTCTCATACAAATCTTTTATGTAACCAGTCCTAACAAACGTGCCTTTAAATGTGAAATTATAAGAATTGTGACTGGACTTATCATTTTATTAGTATGGGGAATTCCTAGATGAGGAAACTCTCTGTATCAATGCCAAGGTATACCTTTTCTGCAATTTATGGTCTTAAAAGAGTTGCCTAGAGTACTGAGATAAAGTGATTTGCCCAGGATCACACAGTCAAGTATACATCAGAAGTGGGTAATCTTGGTTTCTAGGCCAGCTCTCTTTCTACTACTCAGTGCTGCCTTTACAACAACTAATAGCAAGAAAAATATCACCTCTCTGTCTAGCTAATTCTTTGTCTGCAGACATGATCATTTTTCTTCTGTTTCTCAAGTACTTATTTGATGAAGAAAGAATGATATAATGGTTCCTATTTAAGAAATTGCCTATTTACATATATAACCTATATCAAATTGCTTACTGTCTTAGGAAGGAGGGACAGAGAAAATTTGGAACTCAAAGTCTATTTTAAAAAATGAATGTTAAAAATTGTCTTTACGTGTAAATGGAAAAAAAATACTATTTAAAAGAAAAAGTTCTTATTTACCTAGCTTTATCTTTTTTGAAGAGGGGGCAGTAAATGTGAGTAAATGAGCAGTAGCCTAGAAACTAGGAATGTTGGCCTTCACTGGATCAATCAATCAATTACAAGTTTTATTTAGAGCCCATTGGATGAACATCATATGAAGCACTGTGAAGGATTTTTAAGTGAGGGAAAGTCTCTTCGGGCTCCAGACCTCAGTTTCCAATTGCTGAGGGGACCTCTCCACTTGAATGTCTTACTAGCACCCAAAGCTCAACATTCCGGCTATTACTGTCTGTATGATCCCAGACTAGTCATTTTCCCCTCTCTACACCTTAGTTTTCCCATCTTTAAAATGAATTGAACTAGATAATCACTAAGGTCCTTTTCAGTTCTAAAGCCCATGTCCAAAACTGACTCACCCTGTTTTCCTCCAAACCTCTTCCTCCTCCGGCTTCCTTACTTCTGTTGCTGGTTTCATCATTCTCCCAGTTGTCCGTGCTCAGTTATCTTTGGCTCCTTCCTCCTCCTCCCCTCCTCCACAACCAGTCAGTTGCCAAGTATTATAATTTATGCCTCGGCAATGTCTCTCCCATTTTTCTGTAACTTTCCATTACCATTGCTACTACTCTAGCCTAGGCTCTCATTCCTTCTTGCCTCAACTACTGAAATAGGTCCCTAACTTGTCTTCCCACCTAGGGTCTTTTGCCCAATGAATTGGATAATATGTGTAAAGAAATTTGCAAACCTTAAAGCGCAATATGAATGCTAGCTGTCATAGTTATTACTATTGTTATTATACTAATACAGTCTACTTAAATATGCCAGATTCATCTTCCCAATATCAATCTCAGTTCATTTCATTCCTCTCCTCAGAAACTTTTCATTGATTGGCTTCCCATTGCTGTGGTAGTCTAGGAAAAAAACCCTCTAGTATCCCAATGAGCCTCCACTCCTCCTCTCTCTACTCACACAGCCTCTACCCTTTTCCTCTCCTTTTTCAAGGCCTCATCACCTCTCACCTAGTCTATTAAGATAAACCCGTAATTTCTCTTCCTGACTTCAGTATCTTCTCTTTCTAATCCACTCTTACACAACACAACTGCAAAACTTACATTCCTAAAATACAGGTCTAATTGTCTCTTCTCTACTCAATAATCTTCAGTGGATCCCTAGGATAAAATACCAAATCCTCAGTCATTTAAAGCTTTTCACCATCTGACTCCTACCTTTCTAGTCATTTCATATTATTTGTTTTTACTCAACTTTCTGCTCCAGTTAAACTGGCACATACAAAACATATTCTCAGGTAGGTGGTACATTGGATAGAGTGCCAGGCCTGGAGTCAGGAAGACTTGAGTTCAAATCCAGCGTTAGACAACTGTGTGAACCTGGGCAAGTCACGTAACATCTATTTGCCTCAGTTTCCTCATCTGTAAAATAAGGTTATTAATAGCACCTAACTCCTAGGGTTGCTGTGAGGATCAAATGAGATACTAATTGCAAAGTGCTTAGCACAGTACCTGGCATATAGTAAGCGCTATATAAACGTTAGGTATTATGGCTATTAATATTTATTTACATGAATAGAGCACTGGCCCTGGAGTCAGGAGGACCTGAGCTCAAATCCAGGCTCAGACACATAACACTTATTAGCTGTGTGACCCTGGGCAAGTCACTTAACCCCATTGCCTAACCAAAAATAAAAAAAATATTTATTCACCCTTTGGCCTTTGCACAAGTGACCCCATTTCTGCAATATGCTCCCTTGTCACCTCTGTCTTATAAAATCTCCAGCTTCCTTCACAGCACAGCTCAAATGCTACCTCCTAAATGCAGCCTTCCCTGATCCCCTGAATTGTTTGCTCTTTTTCCCACTTGTGATTTGAATTGAATTACTTGCATACAGGTTTTATACCTCTCAGTAGAGGGCAACTCTTTGAAGACAAGGCCTATTTGTCTCTGTCTTCACTGTCCCAGCACCCAGGATGGTGCCTTACATTAGTAACTGCTTAATAAATTGTTGAATTGAATCAAATGGACATTCTCCTTCCTCTTACCTGATAGCCCCACTCCTCCTTTTCTGGAATTCTTTCATATCCAGCTAGAAATTTCCATGTCTCTTTGCAACTGGGTAACTGACAGCTCCCTGCCTGTGACCGTAGAAGTGGTAGCCACAAAGATATGTGTGCCAGGCTAGACTCCAACTCTCCCTATAAAATGCCTACCTTCCCCTCTTACATATCCATGAGCAGCAGCATAGGTGTGCCCACATGCAACTACGTGGAGTGGTGAGAGTTTGGAATAGGCCATGTTCTGGGTTCAGTGAGAGCTGCTTGCTGAGTCTTCACTCTTCTTCCTCCACTTGCCATACCCTGGGTGAGAAGATCATGTCACCCAAAGCCGAAATGCTTCCCTCCCTCACTGGTTAGATCACCTTCTGGTGCCTAAGATTCAGTTGTACCCTTGCCCCATCTCACTCCTCATTCCTTACTCACCCCAGGACTCTCAGGTAAGCTCCTTTCTTTTAATTAAAATATCTCAAATAAAGGCCTGTTGATTGCTGAATGAATAAAACCTAAGACACATGTAGAAAAACCTCACTAGGACTTCATTAACTGAAAATGTGATCATTTTAGCTGGTGTACTTTTTTATGGGAAAAAAAAATCTCAAACTACTGTTAGAAATTAAGACAAAGATCTCCACACCACCCAATTCCTTTCAGTCTTACTAAATTAATCTCCCAGGTTGATTTACATAGAGCACATGGAACATGAAGTTGAAAGGCTTTGACTGAAATTCCCTCATCCTAAGTCAAAGGATTGACTGAATTCGTGAAATGGCAGCTCAGATTCATGGCAAAGGGTGAGTACATAGCAACAGGAATAGCCCAGAAGTAGACATGACCAATTAATAGTCCAGAGCTCAAGAACATTACCAGACCAGCAGATGGCATCAACAGCAGCTCTACTGGGCAAGTAAGTAGGAACAAAGGTGGCAAAGAGGTGTTCCAGTAGGATCTGGCTGTGTATATTCAATCCTGGACACATGCGTATCCTCTTCAAGTGAGTTACCTGACTACATGTGTTCCACATGTGTGTGTGTGTGTGTGTGTGTCTGTATGAGCAAAGCAAATGTTTTCTCTGGGCATGTGTGTTTCACTAAGTATGCTTCCTCTCCCATCATTATGTGGTAAAGTTATATGTATATGGAAAAAATATCCTTGTCATTTATTCTGCTATCCTATTTAATTAAATGACTTTTACTTTAAACTAATATGTCCTCTGATTAATCTGGTAAAATCTGGGTTCATGAGCTGGTTTTGAGTGGATAATGATCCAAAATATTCCTTGAACCTGGAGTAGTTTTCAAAAGGGACTCAGGCTACAAGTGTAAATGTAGGAGTAACATTTTCCTGTTTAAAAGAAATAATTGCTTTCAAGAAATTTAGAAAAATCCATTTACATACAAAATTGATTAATTAATTGGTTAATTAACTAACCAAGAGTAATTACTGGGCCTTCTTTTTTTCCTCCTAATTAGCAAAAAGTATCCTCTTGACTTCATGACCACAAGAGGCCCGACCGAGTTGGGCAGCTGTAATGGTGTTGAGACATGGAGGTTGTGACCCTGAAGAACTAGAGAACAGGGAAGGGCACCTTACCTTCTCCATAATAGGACTGGAAGAGTCATTGAACTGAGATCACTCTGAGTATGGTGCTATATTCTCACTTTTAATAGCAAGAAGGACTTTGGAGTCTTTAACAATAAAATCCAAAATAGCATTCCATTTTAAAACAATTATATTTGCCTTTGGAAAGCATGCATAGTAAATGATTTTTCATTGAAAATGAAAATTATATTTTGTTTGTGTTAATAAAATATTTTTTGTTCAGATCACCCAATTAATGTCAAGGTGAGGAGGTCCAGAATCATACTAAGGAGAAGAGTGGAAGAAAGCTTTCTATTTAAAGTTTGCTATAGCAAATTCTCTACATATGAATAATCAAGAGTTTACTAAGTAAAATATTTTAAAAACAAGGATTCCCAAAGATTAAAATATCAAATAAAAATGAATTTTCTTCCTTAAATGCCAGTTATAAAATATAAACATCTACAAAAGGGAGGTTTTGCATTAGATGATATCTAAAATCCTCATATCTGAGTCTATGATTCTATTCCAAGTAGCTGAATAATGTCATCAACAAACTATTTCAAAAAATCGCTATAACTACTGGCTATTTCCAATAGATAATATTCGGAACACCAGATTTGGACCTTAAAAACAATTCATTTTTATGATATTTGGAATGTTTGTGCACAGTTCAATTCTTTCTACCTAAATTCCGCAGGCACCCATATTTTACATTCATGAATCTATTCTACAAATATTTATTTTCATGAAGGATACTGCTGTCTCCCAATGCTTCCATAATAAACCACCCTAATTTTATTCTTTTATTCCAACACTACCCAATTTATCCCTACTAGTTTATGAGTATAAATCTATCTGTATAACCCCATTCTAGATCCTTGCTGCCATGATATACCAGCCTCCAAGATATTCTCTCTCCTTACTCAATGAGTACAGTACCAGGCTCACAGTTTTCCCATCTATCTTAACTCCTGCTCTTATATGTGGAGAATTCAATATGCGTGATGATATACCCTTGAAAACACTGGCCTCAAATCCCATGACCTACATTTTCACTCCACTTTAGCCACCCACAGTAGTAGTCAATACCAGAAATCTCACCATCCCCCATAACTATGGCATGTCTATGATAGCAAATTGTGAAATTCTTCCTGATTGAAACAATCTGAACAAACTAAATGACCTCTATGTGTAAGGCACTGTGCATAGCATAATTTGTTATTCATCTAATTCTCTCTCTATCTCATTCCTTCTATATCATCTTTATCCTTATCAAGAACTTCAGGATCTCCATTCCTTTCTGTTCTCCAAATCTTGCCCCAGTCTCACTTTCTTCTCTTCACAGACCTGGCCCTAAAGTTGTTTATACAGTATCCTTCCACCTTTTTGCCCTTTTCTTTTGCATTTCACGCTATGCTAATCTTCAACCCCGGTTTACCTGCACTATCTACTTTTTCCATTCCTCTCAAACTAGTGAACACCACTAGCTGAAGTTATATAATCTTACAAAGTTGTCCTACAAATTCATGTTTTCTACTCCAAATTCCACTGGGATCTCACTACTATTCAGTAATTCTTGTATTCTCTCCTCTTATTGAATCCCCATTGAACTCCTCAAAATAGCTGTTCCACATTTTTTCCTTTCTCCTGAAGTTCCTTATATCTCCCTAAGCAGGTGACTTTCTTTCCTACTTTACTGAGACATTCAATGCCATCTATTAAAAGCCCCCCATTTCTCCTATTCCATTTCACAGAACTCAAGACATCTTCATCTATAGCCTTTCGTCATTTCCTCCGGTTTCCTGCCTGTTTCTTTGTTAAAGTTCAACCCTTTCACCTGTGCCCTGATCTTATTCTCTCTCATAAGCTTCAGGATCTTGCCCCAGAAATTATTCAGCTTCAAATTCTTTTTCTCCTGCTTTTTACTTGCTGTCTAACAAGCATACTTAGGTCTCTTCCATTCCTAAACAACCTGGCCCTGCCAATTGCTCAAACTTTCATTCTATTAATATATCACTGCCACACTTCCAAAAAGATCAGTCTACACTAGTTATCTCCACTTTCACACCACCACTCACTTCTCAATCCCTTACAACAAGGTTTCTAATACCTCTCTACTGAAACTGCTCTCTCCAAGTTTATCATATCTTCAATGTTAAATCCACGGGCTTTTCCTCAGTACTTATCTCCTCCTTGCCCTCTCTAAATGTTTACACTGTGAACCACTCCCTCTTCCCAGATTCCTTCTCTTCCTTAGGCTTCCATGACACTACCTTCTTCTGGTTCTCTTTATATAATAACTTTCTTTGTCATCTTTCTCCTTTATCATCTGTCTTCTAACACTGAGCAGTCTGGAGTCAGGAAGACCTGAGTCCAAATCCAACTTTAGACACTAAGTAGCTGGATCACCTTGGGGCAAGTCACTTAACCTCTCTCTGCCTCAGTTTTCTCAACTGTAAAATGGAGATCATAATAGCACCTACCTCCCCTGTTGTGAGGATTAAACAAGATATTTGTAAAGTACTTAGCACAGTGCCAGGCACGTAGTAGGTGCTTAATAACTGCCCATTCCCTTGTTCTTTCCTAAGCAGATTTATCTTTTAAGGCTGTGTATGGGAACATATACTTTCTCCCTTGGCGAGCTCATGAGCAACCATGGGTTCAATTAGTATTTCTACACAGATTCCTCTCAGAACTAGATATCCAAGCCTTATCTTATTCTTGAATTCAATTCTATGATGCCAGCCACTTACTAGATAGCTCTGCCTTGATGTCCTGTTGGCACCTCAAGCTTCTTCCATTTCTGTAGAGAGAACTACTATCCTCCTTTTCATTCAGGTTCATAATCTTACTGTCACCCTTTACTCTTCCTTCTCTCCCTCCTTCTTCCTCCACCCCCACATTCAATCAGTTACCAAAACTTGTTGATTCTCCTTTAACAATCCCTAACACCCACTCTCAATCTCTATACCTTAGGGCACCAAGTTAAGTCAGGTCCTCCTCACTTTTCACCTAGACTATTTTAATAGCCTCCTAATTGGTTTCCCTGCACTTAATCCAGCCTTTATTTAGCAGCCAAAACAATCTTCCCAAAGGCCAATCTGACCAAGAACTCCCCTCAAAATAGAAAAAAAAACGAGGACAAAACATTTCTCAAACTGACATTAAAGGTTCTCCCCAGTGTGGCTCCAACTACCTTTCCAGCTTATCTCACATAGCTCCCTGCCTTTATGAGCTCTATATTCCAGCCAAACTAGACTACTAGCAGTTCCCAGAACCTGACATTTCATCTCTTAACTCCATGCATTTCCACAGGCAACAACCCCAGGAAAAGAATGCATTCCCTCCTCATCACTCTCAAAAACTTCTTCTTACTTCAAGGTTTAGCTAAACTATGGGACCTTCCCAAATCCTCCCAGTTGTTAATGCTCTCCCCATCCTCAAATTACTTTGTGTTTGTCTCTGTTTTCCCAATTCCTAGCACAATGAATGCCCTGCAGACACAAATTACTTAACACATGCTTGTTGAACTGATGGATAAATTATCTGTTTTAAAGGAGCCTTATTTATTTTAGAGGAATAAATAAATTTAGGACCACAATATTTATTTATGCTGATTTCAGTAAAAAGCATAGGATCACAGGTTTAGACCCGGAGAGGACATTATAGACCGTCCAGTCCAACCACATCATTTTAAGATAACTTGCCCAGAGTAACACAGCTAGTAAGCATCTGAGTCAAAGCTCGAGAATCAGTAAGATTCCAAATCCAGCACAGTATGCTACCCTTCATCACGATACACAGTAGATATAAATATTTAGTCATACTCTCATGATACTAAAATGAAATTTACTAGTATTTTTACATAAAAATAATTATCTAAAACATACCAAGTACACTTGTCATTAGCAGAGAGACTTTATTGTAAAGCCTCACTACCTTGACCCTCGGGTGATATTTCATACTTGTTTTAATCTCTTATTCATTTGGCTTCAATAATTAAGAAGTGGATAAAGCTCAAATTCTACTGAATTTTGTGTTAATTTCTATTAGAGAACTCTCCTCCAGAACATCTCCATCCACTGGGGGAGGTGCAGGAGGATGAAGGAAGTGGCGAGTCAGCCACTCGCTGGTTCTCATAGCTTTGCAGTGTAGGCAAGGCCTCTCCCTGATTTTGTAGCATCCAAGGTTCCTCTGCCTTTGAGCTATCTTTCTTCTTCTAAGGCTGGCTGGTGTTGGGTGGTGTTCAGTCTCACTCTCCTTCCAAGAGGAGGCTCCTGAATTAGAGTCCACACTGTCCTTGTCAGTGGTATCGCTATCCTGAAGGCCTTGATTCCTCTGGCTCAGCTGAGAATGAAGTCTGGCTCTTCTCCTTTCTAGGTAGGCATTAACAAGGGCCACTTCTGAGTCAGTTACAGGTGAAAGTTGCATATGCTTTGGTTTCTTCTTAAAGATCTTTCTAAAAGATTCCCAGATGCTGCTTTTGCCATGTCGCTTACAGTAGACATCTTTGATAAGAATAACCAGATAAAAACAACAAATTAGGTGCACTGCAGCTCAACACGACATTATTATGGCAATCTGGAGCAGGAATCCCAAAGATACTAAGTAGTGCTACATTTTTAACAACTTTCAGACCACACATCACTGCCATATACAACAAAGCCCCACTACCCCCCTTCACCCCATGTGGGTCAGACATGTCTCACTCTGGAACAGCAGAAGGAAACAGATGGGAATCTTGGAGACCCACTTTGGAAAGGCAATGCTGATCATGATTTAAGGTCCAAGGCAGAGGTCCCAGGACCTTTTCCAAAGAAGTATCAAGTATCAAGGTTTTATATTCTTGAAAATGAGTGATTGGGTAATGGGAGTGGGAGCTGGAGTGGGACAAACACTGACAAACAGCAAAAGCCTTGATAGGAGGAATAGGGAAGGGGTAAAGGAGGAGATGGGAGACACTATTTCCAGTTCCCTGCAAAACTCAACTTGGCTCAGCAGGGGAGATGAAGGGTAGGGATGGGGACAGGGAAGCTGGAAACCTTCAGCATAAATTTATATTGTCAAAATATTTTTTTTACCAGATGCTAAATATACACTGGCTCACCTTTACATCCTAAATTGTTTGTCCCACTGTCTGTTGATAGTGATGCATCCTTTCTCTCAGACATCTGTGTCAGGAAATATAGACTAGTCACAAAGATTCTCTAAATTAGAAGATCTTCATTATTATTCATTTGTTAAGAAACATTGTTGCCTTGGGGCATTAGGTGAGTCTAATTTAAAATTTTAATTTACCAAGTATTTATTGAGTTCTGCTCTGTGATCCCGCTTAATCACCATTAGTTTGAAGGACAGACTTTTAAGTAATACTATGTAAATATGAGTTGTTGTTTTAAATAGTACCATCTCTTAAATTGGCCCTGGACAGGGTAGAAAATTATTTTCAGGTATAATAATAGTTCAAAGTATAGTCATCAAATCAAATGACATGATATAGATATGTAGATATATATAAATGTATAATATAACTTCGCAAATCTTAAAGCTGTCTATAAATGCTAGCTATTAGTATTATTATTAATGAAAAATTCTTATTTATGTTAGAATAAGAAACATGGGACCAAAAATACTTACTCGTGTTCTCTTTAGTAAAAATCATAGGATCATAGGTTTAGAAGTGGAAGGGACATTAGAAACCAACTAGTCCAGATCCCTAATTTTACAGATGAAGAAATAGGTTCAGAGAGAGAGGTTAAGTGACTGCCCAGAATCACAAAGCTAGGAAGCATCTGTGGCACAACCTGAACCCAGATCTTACTGATTCCAAATACACTGACAGCATAGTACCCTAAGCGATTTTCTAACCAAGGGGGCAAAATGGACTGAACCTCTGCAGGAAACATTTTTTAATGGCTAGTCTAATTTGGGACATAAAAATAAATTTAAGACTTTTACCCTAAACCTCTAACTTCCTCAAATTCCCCCCAAAAACATTCAGAAGTAACATCTCTCTCCAACAATGTGGCCACATAATTTCATCTTTAGCTGTATTTGTGTTTGAGTTGTTTATTTGGTTGTTGTTACTCAGTTGTTTCAGACTCTTCATGACTTCTATCCTTGGGGTTTTCTTGGCACGATACTGGAGTGGTTTGCCATTTCCTGTTCCAGTGGCAAAAGAGGTTAGGTGACTTGCTTAGTCACACAGCTAGGAAGTTTTTGAGGCTGAATTGGAACTCAGGTCTTCTTGACTCCAGGCCCAGGACTCTATCTATCTACTATACTACCAAGCTGCCTCGTGTGTGTGTGTGTGTGTGTGTGTGTGTGTGTGTGTGTGTGTACACACACGAGTGTGTATATCACAAAATATTTAATTTTAATGACAAATGGATAACTATATTTAGAAAAGTAGAAAATGAAGAGAAAAAAATACATTTCATGATAAGGATAATTAATCACTACTGTTTTCCTAACATATTTATAACCATATTACCTATAAATAAGTTTCTTAACGTCAGAAAAAATGAGGAATTTTCATGATGTTGCAGAATGAGAAACGCAGCTCCTAAGATCATTAGGGTTTAGTACTTAAATAAGTAGAACTCCACATTTCAGAATTGTTTTGAAGCAAATATGACTAAAACAGGCAAAACTGGGTCTCCCAGGGTTGCCCTTGACATTAACTACCTGTATGACACCTCAGGAACACTGCTTAGTTAGTGTCAGAGCCTCAGCTTTTAATCTTCCTGAGAATGGAGAGAAAGCTTACCTGCCTAAAGAAAGGAAGGATAGACGATCTTTCGAAGTCCCTTTCCAGCTGTAGGATCTAAGATTCTACGTAGATGGTACAGACAAGAGATTATTGTTTTTTTTAAATCTCTAAAACTAAGGATGTTTAGCCTGAATCAGAGGATGATTGGGTAAAATGAGGTAGAGACACAAACAATAGCTTTTTTCAAATATTTGAAAAGTCATTGGAAGAGGGATTAAATTTGTCTTATTTGGTCACAGAGGCCAAGAAGAAAGAACTTACATGGAAGACTTAGGTATGAGGTTGGAAAAAAAAAGTTCCTAACAGCTATACAGAAGTGAAATGGGCTGCATTAGCAAGTAGTCCTGGAGGTCTTCAAGGAAAAGCTGAATGATCACATCACTTGTTGGATAACAATATAGTGGAGATTCTTAACCAGAAGGCCTCTGGGATCTCTTGCAACTCGAGATTCTGTGAAAATTTTTGGTGATATGCAAGAGAGTAGCACCTTTATTGTTAGGCTGGTCATACATTCAATGTTTAGTGTACGTAATGAAAGCTATCCCTACTCTAATTTTATTGACTGCTGTCAAAGAATCTGCCTTAAAGAAGACTCAGATAAATTTACTAGAGAGAGGCATCTCTGACTATAACCCGTTTTGGCCTCTAATACAGCACTCAGAATAAAGACTGCCAACCAGTCAATATTCTGATAATTACTAAATGATAGTAATAATAATTACTAAAAAAAGTAATGATAATAGTAATAATAATAACTGATATTTGTATTACTATTACTACTAAGTTAACATGTATTTCATATGCACCATCAGTACATACACCAGTGGTTTGATTAGCCATCTATTTTGCATTAAAAATCAGGACCTGCAGCTATATTTAGTTATAAAAGCACTGCCATCCATAGTAATGCTAGTAATAATAATAGGTGACACATACACATATATTATGTATCAGCTAAGTGGCATAGTAGAGTACTGAGCCAGAAGTCATGAAGACCTGAGTTCAAATCCTATTTTAGACACTAGCTATGTGGCCTTGGGCAAGTCACTTAACTTCTGTCTGTTCTCAAATTCCTAAATTGTAAAATGGAGAATATGATGGCACCTACCTCCCAGAGTGTTGTGAGGAACAAATGAGATATTTGTAAAGTGCTTAGCACACAGTTCCTGACACATAATAGGAACTACGTAAATGCTACTCATTAACATTGTTATTATTGCTTTAAAGTTTCACAAAGAGGAATACGCTATAATGGTAGTCCTGCATCTTAGTTTGGGCTCTTATTTTACTTAAAAAAAAAACAAACACCTTTCTATGGAGTTTAAATTCCATAGTACATATTCTGTTAATAACAAATATCTTACCTCCCACAACTAGAATTATGAGGATATTTGGGTCATTAGAAGTTGGGAAGATTTTAGCCAAAAAAAAAAAATAACTTCACAGAAATACATGGCTTAGTAAATGTATTAGTAAGAATGGAAGAATATCCTACCCAGAGAGCAGCCCTATAGAGGATCATCAGGAACAACATAATGATAAAGTACCAAAGCAGAAAGTTCCCTACTGCCCCACAAGAGTCATCCTTCCGGCATTCATATTCCGGTTTTGGAATGAAATTCAAAGGCTTGCTGGGAGGATCCATCTCCCGGAAAAGGGAATAAGGCAGTCCCATGAAGCTACCTTCTTAGAAAATATCAAAACATGTTTTATGTGATTGAGGATGACTGGGAGAATACTTCAGTCCATGATGTTTAACAACTTCCTTGGCAACCTATTATGACATGTTTCAGCTACTGTGACAAGAATTAAAAAGCTACTACAATGGATTCCTTAAAGTTTTTAAGAATATTTTAAGTACCTTACTTCAGCTAAAAGTAATGGGTAGTATTTTTTCTCATCTCAATTTTTGGGCATGTTTTAAAATGCACAAACACCATACCTACCAGTAAATATTTCTTGATTCTTTAAAAAACAATTCTTCCTTGAGGCATTAATTTTCTCTCCTTTTATTAAAATATGTGGTTAGACTACATGTAAGTTTAAGATTTTTGGTGGTTCCTATATAAATGTCCAATGATTAATAGAAAATGAGGCAGTCAGTTATGAATTGGATAAAATTTACTGGGGCCACTTTTTCTTCATAATTTAGGAAGGATAAAGAAAACTTGGTTTCTAGTATTAACTAGTATTGTCAGATGTTTGTATCTGACACTGTGCTCCCAAACTTTTTCAAGACATTTCTCCACTTCAATTCACATCTAAAACTACAGGAAAATTCACTTCAATCAAAGAAATCTGCAAAATGACAGAAGTGTCACTGTTTATAAAGCACTTTGGAGTTTTGAAACATACAACTATGTTTGTAAACTATCAATGTGTATTCCCTCTGTTTTTGTCACACAGGAAAAAAAATTTCATTTTCAAAATAAAATGATCTTGGAAGCAAAATTTGGGATTAATTTTGATCACAGAGACATATACTATGACAGTGGTATCTTTTGTAAATATATACCACCTGGTTATTCAGGGAAGCGATTATCTATGTTTTCCCATCTACTTAAGTCTTTCTCCTTTCTTTTTAACTTGGCTTTGAGCCACTTCTCCCTTCAATGTACAGTTCTTAGAAAGCAAAGAGGCCAACCCAATAATGTTTATATTTATGTGATAAATCACATAAATATGTAATGAATTTGCATAAGTTATCTATGCTACAATTTACACATGTTCCTCAAGAATAAACTTCCTGTTAGCCACATTTCAGAAAGAGGTCTTATTTAGGGGCAATGCACCGTTTACAAAGCGTTCTCACAGTTATGGTGAGGTAGGGCAGATAATATTCTCCTTTCATAGCAGACAGCTCTACTAACAGCGGGAAGACGTGGGTTCGAGCCCTACCAGGCTGTGTAACTTTGAACAAGTTACTTAGCCTCTTCGAGCCTTACATCCTAAATTGCATTAACTGTTGCCAATCTACATTGGAGGGTTTTCTCACAAGGAGTGAAAACTGGGGCACCCGCCCCACCCCAACCCCACCCCCCCCAAAATAAAAAACATTGGAACGGAGACTCTGACAGGTCGAGGGAGCTCTGGCGACTCTCTACAGTGGGAGGGCGACTTCTTGTCATTCGCTGGCGAAACCCTGACTATTTTTAACTAGGCAGGCCACAAGGCCTCCGATATTCAGCGAAAGCTGCGCAAACTGAGGAAGCATCAACGAGGCCCGAAGCTGGACCGGTCCAGAAGGTAACTGGAGCGGCCGGAGAAGGTCAACCAGGCCGCAAGGCCCCGGAGCCCCGGAGCCTGCGTATCTGTTTCTATTTGAATTTAACCCAGCTGGTTGTACTCATCATCTTGGGTTTGCTTTCAGCTTTTTAAGCAGGCCCAGTCACAAACACCGAACCGCGAGCCTCCCCTCTAACGAGCTCCGCCCGCTCCGCCCTTCCCGACCCCCCCCTTCAGTAACTTCCCGAGGCCACTATGCGCAGGCGCCAACCTACAGCACACAGGCGCGCGAGCGCTCCCATTTCCAAGGCAACGCTCCCTCCTCTCGCAAGAAGATATTTCCGCCCGGCCCTACCTTGCTCCCGCGATCCAGTTTTCACGTTTTGATTGGCCTCGAGCCCCGGGGCTGGGCATCCGCGAGCTCACGTGACTGTGCGCAGGCGCGGTGAGAGTGGTGCCGAACCGCGGCTGCGGCAAGTTGAGCACGGTGCGTTTTGTGTGTGTGTGTGTGTGTGTGTGTGTGTGTGTGTGTGTGTGTGTGTGTGGACGTACGTGTGGACGTACGTGTGGACGTGTGTGTCTGTGCACGTTTATTTTTCCTCTCGGGGGAGTGGCCGGAGCTTCCGCTGCCCGCCGGACTTCGGGGAGGCTCGGCCCCGCGGAGGGGGCGGCAGCAGCGGCGGCGGGGAGCGCGAGGCGAGGCTGGCCTGAGGCGCCCTTGGCCCGAGGCCGTGGGGAGCCGCGTGCGGGCTGTGCCGAAGCTAGGGCGGCGGGTCCCAGGGGTGACTGAGGGGGGTCCCGGCGTGCAGAGCAGATTTGGGGAGGGGGCGGGGTGCACATAGGGGCGAGTCACTCCCTCGTGGTTTGAGTAGCCCCTGCTTTGTGGCGTGGGCGGCTGAGACCGACGGCCCAGTATGGGGAGGGAGCCGGGGGTTCAAGGGTTTAGATGTCCTACATGAAGGCCTAACTATCACGGGACCATAGGGCTAGAGCCAGAAGGGGCTTTGGAGGCCACCGAGGCCAACCCCCACCCTCCCCGTTTTACAAATGAAGAAACGGAGTCCCAGAGAGGTTAAGTGACTTACCCAGGGTCATGCAGCTATTAAGTATCGGAGGCAGGGTTTGACCTTGCGTCTTCCTGACTCCCAGGTTCAGCGTTCTACGGCACCTGTGGGGCGCTGTAGTGCGTCACCACGAGTATTATTAACCCAAAGTGAGCGATTATTAACGCCCCCTGTCCCTCCACTCTTCCAGTGCTTGGGGAAGTGGAAAGGGTGAGGAGTTGGAACCCTAGTTCCAGTCTGGCTTATGACAATATCGTCTCACTTCTCAGAGCTTAAATTCTGTTTGTCCATAAAATCAGGATAACAATCTGTAGTACTTACTTAAAAGGGATGCTGGAGGCATCAGATGCAGTGCTGTATATATATGAAATGTAAGAAGTCAATTGCTATCGTCTTTCCCCCCACCACCACCATTTTTTTGTGTGTCCCTTACCAGACACTGCTTGTTTTGAGTACAGGAACACAGGTATACAACAATAAGGGACATTTATTAGGATCTTCCTATTACGTAAAAGACCGTACTAGACCATTCGGTATATGACTTAAGACTTGGTGGTCCTTGTATACATTTATTAAGCTACTGTGTTCCAGGCCTGGTGCTAGATTCTGGGAATACAAAGAAAAGTGGAAACAGGACTTACCCTTAAAGAGTTTACATTCTGTTGAAGAGAAAAAACTGATACACGAGTAAATAAAAATATTTGTAAAGTAATTTCATAATGGACAGTAGTGGAGGAGGAAATGTTCAGGATAGGCCTCAGTCGACAAGGATTTGCCCTCTGTACTTGGCATTGTGCCTAAGCACTGCGGATAGATGAAGAGCAAAAAAAGATTGAAGCTAGCTGCAAGGTACTCACATTTTAATGGAGGAGACAACAGAAATAATTAAGTACATATAATATGATATACAGAATAGATCTAGGAAAATCATCTCATGGGGAAGGCACCGAGGAAGACATGTTGCAGAAGGCAGGATTTGAACAGAGTCTTGAAGGAAGCTAGAGAATCAGAGATATAGAGGTGCTGGGATAAAGCACTACAGGCATGAGGGACGGTAATGCAAAGATGTTGAGTGGAGATGGAGCCTTGTGTTAGAACTGTTAGAGAAGCAGCAAGTAGGGTGGTGTAGCTGAATCATACAATGTGTGGAGGAGAGTAAAGGTACAAGAAGACTGGAAAGGTAGAAAAGGGCCTGGTTGCCAAGAGCTTTAAATGCCACATAGTACACTATATTTAATCCTGAAGGTAAACAGGGAGCCACTTGAAGTTTATCTAGTAGAGTGGTGGTCAGACTTACAGTTTATAGGAAAACCACTTTGGCTACTGAGTGGAGGAGGCATTAGAATAAGGAGAGACTTGAGACAAAAGCAATTAAAAGGCTGTTGCAACTGGTCAGGGCAAAGTGATAAACACTGAATAGCTGTGTATGGAGAAAAGGGAACTTTTTAAGAGATGTTGTGAACATAAAATTGACAAGGATTAACAACAATTTGGACATGTGGGGATAGTGTTAGGTAGAATTCAAAGATGATACACTGAGGTTTTGAACCAGGCTGACTGGGAGGATAGTAGTACCCTTTGATAGCAGTAAAAAGTTGGGGAGAGGGGAAAGATAATGAGTTCTATTTTTGGACATATTGAATTTAATGTACTTATGGGACATCCAGTTATTGATGTCCAAAGAACTCTTGGTGATATGGGACTGGAGCTTAGGAGAAAGATTAGGACTGGATATATAGATCTGGAAATTAACTCTCTAGAGCTAGATCATATTTAACCCATGGCAGCTGATGGTGTTATCAAATGAAAGTGTAGAGATGGAGAAGAGAAGAGGATCCAGGACAGAGCCTTGGGGATCACCCATAGCATGGCTCAGATGACGAGCCAGTAAAGAAGATTCAAAAGGACAGTAGCAACAATGCCATGGAAACCTAAAGAGGAGAAAGTATCTAAGAGAAGGTGGCTTAGAGGGGGATTAAAAGATTTGGAATAGTTGCTATAATGAGTGGGATAGCAGATCTACTAGGGATGTGTAAAAGGATGTGGGTCCATTTGAGATTATGTAACATAAATTTGTAGTAGACCCAATTAGCAGTTACATGATTTTCTTCAGCTTCATTCAGCACCACATGAAAAAAGAAAAAAGGACCTGACTGATGGTGGGAATAATTGGAGATTGGGAGCAATAAGAGAAGGGGGAAAGGGATTTGAGATTAAAGGATCATGTAGAAGTAAACTATTTCACCAGTCAGTCAAGATAGGGAAGAGAGGCTAGGGAGGGAAAGGTGAGGGAGGATATGGTGAGATTGAAGCACAGGGTCAGGACTCGGTGAGGCCTAGTGAAAGATGAAATGATAGAACATGGAGTTAGAATAGTTGTAGTTAATGACAAGGCCAAAGGTAAGACCAACTCAGTGTGTATTTGAGGCGAAGTAGGTCATAGAATGAATAACTCATTCAGTCCAATGCTGCCAAAGTAGTTTTCCTTAAGTATAAATCTGATCATGTGACTACTTGATCAACTGTATTCTCTTCCTGTTGTTTCTGAAATAAAATATGAACTTTGTTTAGTTTTTAAAGCCTATGTAACCTGGCCCCAACCTACTTTTCCAACTTTGTTGGACATTACTAACCCTAACTCTGGTTACCAGTGATCTCTTCTGATCATCTTTTCTCAGTTCTCATTCTTCTCAACTTATCAGCTGCATTTGACACTATTAACCACCCTCCCCTCCTGTTTACACTTTGCTCTTGGGTTTTCATGATGCTGTTCTACCCTGGTTTACTCTGTTTGACTGCTGCTTCTCAGTATCTTTTATTAGGTCTTCATCCACATCATGGCCCCCTAACTACAGGTGTTTCCCAAGGTTCTGTCCTAGGCCTTGTTCTCATTTCCTGTACTCTTTTAGTACTCATCAGCTCCCATAGGTGGTTTTTTTTTATTTTTTAAATATCCGTGTGAGTCTTCTTTAAGGAAGACACAGTGAGAGATTACACAACCAGTTCCAACAATATGTTGTTGCTCAAAAGTATTCTTTAGAATTCATCTCGTAGAACTATTTTCAGTTCCAAATTTTCTCCCTCCTTCCAGCCCCTCCCCCTAGAAGGCAGTTGATATAATCAGCCCATTCATTATACATTTGGCTATATCCCATAGGTTTTACTATCATCTATATGCAGATGGCTCCCAGAATGATAATCCAACTCCATTGTCTTCCCCCAGGCTCCATTGTCAGGTCACCAGCTGTCTGTTGGGTATTCAAACTGGATGTGCTAGAGACGTCTTAAACTCAGCTTATCTAAAATTGAACTTATTGTCTTTTCCCATAACGCTCTCTTCTTCCAAATTTCCCCACAGTTCTGTTAAAAACACCTCTATCCTTCCAGTGTCTTAAGGTTCCTAATCTCAGTATTATCCTGGACTCTTCACTCTCCCTCTCCTCACATATCCAGTCTCTTGCCAAATTTTGTCGTTTCTGCTTTCTCAGCATCTCTTCCATCTGACTTCAATCACACAGATCCTGCCTTTGTTCACATCACCTTTTACCTACATTATTGCAATAGCCTCTTAATGGTTCTTCCTGTCTCATGTCTCAAACCACTTAAGTCCATCCTCTAAACTGCTGCTGCCAAAATAATTTTCCTTAAGCACAAATCTGACCATGTGACTTTCCTACTGAACCAACTCCAGTGGCTTCCTGTTTGTTGCCTACTGTAGAATAAAATATAAACTTTTTCTTTTTTAAAGCCCAGCACAGCCTGACGCTACCTACCTTTTCTAACTCCTTTGGATATTATGCCCCTTCCTGAATTCTTTGATTGGCCAAACTGGCCTCTGAGTTCCTCTCTCGTGACAGTTCCATATGTTGTATCTTTGACTTTGCCCTGGCCATCCCCATCTGCCTTGCCTAGAATGCATTCCATATTTACCTCACCTCTTAAAATCCCTCTTTTCTCTAAGGTGCAACTCAAGCACCATCTTCTGCATGATATCTTTCCTGAGCCCCCAACTGTTTACTAGTGTCCCTCCCAAAACTACTTTGTATTTAATTCTTTTGTATATATATGTGTGGATATATTTATTGACTTTTTGTGTAAGGTCATTGCAAGTAGGGTTTTTTCACTCTTTGTATCTCTAGCACATGCCTGGCATATAGCAGGCACTATTATGCTTATTGATTGATTGATAGAAATTGAATAGTGTGAAAAACTTGAAAGTTAAGGTATTTAAAAGGACTGTCAGTATTTTGAAGTTGGCCAGTAGAAAGGCAGGAGTTGACTGTGAGGCATGCACTGAACTCACTGAGAAAGAAAAGTGAGTAAGTGTGGGTGAGGTGTCAGTATGACCACCAGTATCTGGAAATATGTAAGACATGAACCTCAAAGAAGGAGATGTTCTTCAGTAATGGTGGTAGTAAAAGAAACTGTAAATGACAATGGTATATAAAAAGTATTCCAATTCTCCCACCACAACTAGTGAATGGGGGTAGAGAGTATGAATAAAAATGCAGCAGTACTGGAAATGATAACTAGGGTTACAGTGTTGTCAGGAGAGAGATTGGTGTTGGCCTAGTTGATTTGAAGGGAGACATTGGTTGGGAGTTAGGGAGAGCGGGGTTTGTATATCAGCAGCTGAAAGTCACTGGGATGGACTTCATATAGGAGGTGGTACTTGGAATGTCCTCAAAGAACATTTAGGATTGTAAGAAGGGGGTATGAGGAGGGTGTATTAGTGTTCTCACGTTTGAACTGTTTGTTTTCATTGTTAATAATAGTGCAATTATATTCCATCACACACCTTGATCATCTGTTTCCCAACCTGTAGGCAACCACTTTGATTTTCAGGTGTTTACTACCACAGCAAATGCTGTTAATCTGAGATCTTTAAACAATCTTTTAGCTCCTTGGGGAAGATCTCTGGAGTGGCATCTCTGAATCAAAGCAAATGAACATTTTAATCATTTTCTTCCACAACTCATAATGTTTGAATTATTCATAGTTTTATCAACAGTGTATTAGTGTCTCTTCCCACAGCCCCTGCAAGGTAAACCGTTTCTGTCTTGTGTGATCTTCACCGATTTTCTGGCAAACGGTATGAGGTGAAGCTCCAAAGTCATATGAACTTAAATTCCTCTTATTACTAGTTATTTGGAACAGTTTTTCATATTGTCATTAATAGTTTATATTTCTTTTAAGGGTTATTTGTTCTTATCCTTTGACTGCTTATCTGTTGGAGTGTGACTCTTTTTATTTATTAATTTTCTCTATCATACTCAGATATCAAAATCTTTATTAGAGATATTTAGTGGTGTTTTTTTTTTCCCTATTCTACACTTTTAAATTTCATGTATTTGAAATGTTCCATTTTTTCTTTTGTTCTTTCCTCTTATCTATTCCTCGCATGGTTAAAAATTTTGCTAGCCATTGTTGGTAGAATTTTGGAGTTGGAGGAAAACTTAGCCTTAATCTATTCCAGCCCTCACACACTGGACAAGTGGTCATTTAGCCTCTGCTCAAAGACCCCCCAAGGAAGGGGGAACTTACCACTTCTCAGAGCAGCCCATTTCATTTTTGGACAGTTTTAACTGTTGGGAAGTTTTTCCTGAAATCAAGCCTTGTCTCTTTTCAGCTTCCACCATTGCTCCTTAGTCTTCCCTTTGGGGCTCAGTTTTTAAGTCTTTTTCCATATGACAGCCCTTCAGATACTTAAAAATAGCCGTCATATACATACACCCCCTGAGTCTTCATTTCTCCAAGATAAACATAACCAGTTTTCTTAATCAATGCTACTTTGATGGAGACCCAAGGCCCTTCACCATCCAGCATCCTGATTGCTATTCTCTGGATACTCTACAGCTTAGCAATAGCATTTTTAAACCCTGGTGACCAGAACTGAGCATAGTGCTTTGGATAACATCTGACAAGGGCAGAGTATGGTGGGACTATTACATCTCTATGCCTAGAAGCTTATGCCCCTTAGAACAAGATCATATTCTGTTTCTTGGCTGCTTTATCACACTTCTATTGAGCTTTCAGTTCCTGAAACCCTCTGATTTTTTTCTTCTTTTTTTTATTAATTTATTTTGATTTATCAACAATCACTTCCATAAGCTTTTGAGTTTTAAATTTTTCTCCCCCTTCATTCCCAAATTGACTTGCAATCTGATATAGGCTTCACATAAACATTCCTATTAAACATATTTTCACATTAGTCATGTTGTAAGGAAGAATTAGAACCAATAGGAGGAACCTCAAGAAAGAGGGAACAAAACAAAACAGAAGAAAAAGAATGGCAAATAGTATGTTTCGATCTGCATCCAAACTCCATAGTTCTTTCTTTAGATATGGATAGCATTTTCCATCATGAGACTTTTGGAGATGTCCTTGCATTGCTGAGAAGGGTTAAATATGTCAAAGTTAGTCATTGTACAACATAGCTGTTACTGTGTACAATGTTCTCCTCATTCTGCTTACTTCACTCAGCATCAGTTCATACAAGTATTTCCAGGTTTTTCTGAAGTCTTGCTTGCTCGTCATTTCTTACAGCACAATAATATTCCATTACATTCATATACCACAACTTGTTCAGCTATTCCCCAATTGATGGGCATCCCCTCAATTTCCAGTTCTTAGCCACCACAAAAAGAACTGCTATAAATATTTTTGTACATGTGGGAGCTTTTGCCATTTTTATGATTTCTTTGGGATACAGCCCTAGAGGTGTTGTTGCTGGGTCAAAAGGTATGCACATTTTTATAGCCATTTGGGCACAGTTCCAAATTGCCTTCCATAATGGTTGGATCATTTCACAACTCCACCAACAATGCATTAGTGTTCCAATTTTCCCACATCTTCTCCAACATTTATCATTTACTTGTTTTATCACGTTGGCCAATCTGATAGGCCGCAGAGTTGTTTTGATTTGCATTTCTCTAATCAATAGTGATTTAGAGCATTTTTTCATATGACTATAGATGGCTTTAATTTCTTCATCTGAGAACTGCCTGTTCATATCCTTTGACCATTTATCAATTGAGGAATGACTTGTATTCTTATAAATTTAACTTAGTTCTCTATATATTTTAGAAATGAGGCCCTTACCAGAGACACTAGTTGTAAAAAATTTTTCCCAGTTTTCTACTTCCCTCCTAATCTTGGTTGCATTGGCTTTGTTTGTGCAGAAACTTTTCAATTTAATGTAATCAAAATTATCCATTTTGCATTTTATAATGTTCTCTATCTCACAGGGGGTACTCACAGGAGACTTCCTGCTACATTGACATTGAACCATTAACAACTTCTCTTTGAGTATAACCATGTAGCTCTGAATCCAAAACAACTCCTTTCTAAAATGTTTTAGCAATGACTCTTCCTTAATTTTCTATCCAAATAGATGCAGAGAGAACAGAGTCCCTCTGCTTCCCTCATCGATAGAACCATCAAGATGAGAAAAGAGACAGAAGATAGGAAAGTGGTTTTAGCCTGGGGACTCCTAAATGTTTCTGTGGCTGGCATGATATATACTGAAATGTAAGTCCATTAACTAGAATAAGAGCAAAATTTGTTAAATGTGTGAAAATATTTTCTAACAGTACTATTGGAGATATTTTAAAATAATTTTAATTTTTTTCAGGACTGGGAAATTATTAAGTTCATACTATAATATTACATACTGGCCCCTCTGGTATATTGGTAAGCTTTTCCTGTGTTGTGATATAACTTGTATTAACTACTGCATAAAAATTATGTAAAAATGCAGTTCAGATTTTATTTTTTTTTTTAATGCTTTTTGAATGGGATGTTCAGACAATTTAAATTCATTTTAGTCTTTCTGGATAATGAATGGTATATGCTGTACTGTTGTGTATATTATTGAATAGACAATTAGGCTGAGAGCAATAAAGGAATGTGAAATTAAACTGTAATTTCTTTTTATAAGTTAGAGTTTTGTTTTTTATTAAGATTGGTAGGAATGATGATAGGGTGGCTGTTTTGTGTTTTAATTACCTGGTGTTTCATTCCAGAGCTTGTACTTGCATCTCTCTTCAGCCTGAATGCTTTATTTGATTTCTGGAGGTATTTCAAATATACTGTAGCACCTACGAATCTGGTCATCAGTCCTGGACAGCAAACACTTTTAGGATTGAAAACAACTGGTAAGTGTTTTGTATCTCTTGATAAAATTAGCAACAAATATCTCTTAATTTCAGAAGTTTGCTTTTCAAAGCTTGGTATTGATGGAAGAACCATCAAGACTATGTAATTTGTAGGATCCCTGTCTTAAGTAAGTCTGTATCTAAATATAGAAGACAAATTATTGTCTTTCCTAATTTATCTTTTTGGAAAGGAATTTAATTAGATTGTGAATGTGCTAAGTTTGAGGTGCCTGTGAGACATGAAGGTGGAGATAAGGGCTGAGTGTATTGATTTTTCAGTCACTTTTTTGGGGTGATGATGCTGTTCTTGATATTTTCTCCCAGTTGTTTAGTTATATTCTACCACTTTCAGATATCCTTTCAATATGATCTCTTAATATTTTCAAATTTGTATTGCCTGCAGCATGGATTTCTTCTGATTTACTTGGTCTAATCCATCTGCTCTTCCTGACTTCATCTTCTCAAGTGCCATTTCCACTTCATCGTAGCACATCAGGCACTGATGTTCTGATACATGTTCCTAGTGTGGTTCATTGATGATGAGAGTGATGCTGACCAACATGTTCCATTTTCCATGTATTTGGTGTCCTTTCATTGTAACTGTTTTTGGGAGGCTCTAGCTTAAGTCTAATATCAGGCTTTTTGTATATTTGTGAACATTTTGCTGTTTGGTTGGGCAGAACTGCTCATGATTTGCCATTCTCCTGCTCTGCAGTGCTTTGCAAATGAATTATACTCAAAACTAGTATTGCCTTTGTCTGCCATGTCTTTCCCTTTGGTCAGGAGAATCCGTGATTGCTAAGACAGTTTAAAAAAAAATTTAGTCTTTCATATACTTAAACAGCACTCTTATTCTTAGTCTGAAGACCTGGGTTCAAATCCTAGCTATAGCCATGTGACCTGGGGTAAGTCACTTAACTTTTCTGAGACTGTTTCTTTAACTGTAAACTAGGGGTGACAATACTTGCATTTATCTATTTCACAGGATTGTTGTGAGGAAGGACTTTGTTAACAGTAAATTGCAATAGAAATGTATGCTATTTTATTGGGGGTTTTTTCCAACCATTTAAACTTTTCTTCCTAGAAACTAATTTCCTTTCTCTTGAATCATTTTATTGACACCTCTCTAGGTCCTTTAGGTTCTATTCTTCAAACTTCTTTACAATTATAACACTGACTTGATTAGAATTTTTAAATATTCTAATTGTTGTAATTCTTAAGCTCCTGGACTTAGGTCTCAGTATAATGAAGTTTTTGTTCTCTTTTTTTTTTTTTAAATATTTTTAGGCAATTGGAATTAAGTGACTTGCCTAGGGTCACACAGTTAGTGTCAAGTGTTTGGTCTGAGGCCGGATTTGAACTCAGATCCTCCTGACTTCAGGGCCAGTGCTTTATCCACTGCGCCACCCAGCTGCCCCGAAGTTTTTGTTCTTTTTTAAAATAACAGTGCCTTTCCTGACTTTGACTCCTTAGCAGTAGAAAATTAGCATAATAAATACCAAAGGCTGCTAACCTCTATTTTGCATTTTCTTTTCATTCCAGTTGTACAAACCACTCCTCCACGTGAACTGGTGGCAAACAATATCCCTCCCTCTACACCTTCTCCTCCAATACAGGGTCAAAGTGTGTTGAGTTATAGCCCATCTCGATCCCCCAGTACAAGCCCCAAGTTTACTATGACAGGATATAGCCCTCAACTTCCAGGTCTGTCATCAGGCAGCAGTGGTTCTTACAGCCCTGGAGTGACTTACTCACCTAGCAGTAGTTATAGTAAGGTAAGCCTTTTCTTTTGATTACTCAAGGAGAAACCATCTCTAAGGTTAAATGAACAATGCTGGTATTTTGCTACAATGTCTTGATTAAAACAAATAAAAAATTGTCTCTTTAATGACAATGACTCTGGCCCCTGCTTTCTTTACACTTTCCCGTTTTCCAGCTTCCTTCTGCAAAGCTTTTGGGTATCCTTACAGAATTCTAAGAGTCTTATCTTTCATGGCTTCTCATTTTATCTGAGCATCTTTCCAATTAAAAACACGTTAGGACTCTTCACCAGGGGTTGAAGCTTATACTCCAAATACCAGAATAATGAGAGTTGTTTTGGCATCCATGGTCTTTCTCCTAGTCATTTATCATTTTGGTCTGATAGGACCAGGATAAAGAGATATGGAAATTAGAAGACATTTGGTTGCCTGAAGCACACTGTTGGGGATCATTGTATCAGGTGACTTAGCCACGAGAGTAATCATTTTCTTGTTGCAATCTGTGTTGCTCATTATTAGAGTAGCAGTACCTAGAAGTAAAATTTACCCAATGTTGTTGTTTTTTAAATAGATTTTTTCATTTAATTAACTTTTTTTAAAAACAAATTATATGTATTAAATCTGAATTTGGAAGAAAATAAGAGAATTTTGTGAAAATGACAGTTTTTTTTTTTGAAGTAGCACTTAGAAACTTAGGTTTAGTGGGTCTTATGCATATTTGGTATAGGGCCTCATTAACTTATTTTGATGTACCCTCTGTATAGTATTGCTCATGATTTCTGCTTTGAATACTAGAAAATTCTAGTTAGACTTTGCTTTCCATTTTCGTGAAAGAAATTGTAACTTACCATAGCTTAGAGTAAAATTGAAAGCAATAATCTCTCAGTTTATCTGTTGACCTCTATTTGCTGTCCCTTCTTGTCTTTCCCTTCTGTCTCAGACCACCTCGCATCATTGTGAGGAAGGTTTACAAAACTTTAAGCACTAGAGAAATAAAAGTTTGTAATACACATCATCCAGATGAAAGAGGCTTTATTTTCAAACTAGACTAACAAATAAGGTGGGAAAAAGTCTTTTTACCTTAAATTGCAGCTTTTAAAGTAAATCTCTTATTCTAAATAGGTGTCTGGTTATAGTCCTTCCCCTGGTTCTTCTCCATATCCTACAACCATTGGTCCCGCAGAGAGCTGTGGCTTGCGATCTCGGTACCGGGCTTCACCAACTGTATATAACTCTCCAACTGGCAAAGAAGACTACATGACAGATCTCAGAACCCTGGACAGTTTTCTCCGAGGGGAAGAAGAGAAGCAACATAGGGTTCAGCTGGGTAAAAAAAAGTGATTTCATTCAGTCATAATAAAATTGGATCGTGGTATTTGTTTTTTCCATATGCAGGGTGGTCAGAAGAATATGCCATTTCCTCTGAGAGGCATTGTGGTACAGTGGAAGGCTGAGAGTAAGCAATAGCAGTTTATTGCCTCAGATTTGCTATTAACTAGCTGTGGAACTTTGGGCAAGTCATTTAACCAGTCTGGGTCTCAAGTTTCCTCATTTATAAAATGAGAAGGTTGCACTGGATTTTTCGAAGGACTCTTTGAACTCTTAAACTTTATGATTATATGAGCTGAAATAACTCACTTTTGATTGGCATATAACCCCCCAGTTCATTTCACTATGCACAAAGTTCTATGCTAGGGATACAGAGGTAAAAAAATGATAGAGCCCCAGCCTTTAAGGATATTACAATCTCCTGGAGGAGATAAAACACACACAAAAAGTATGTCATGAGGTAAATATGTTGGCAAAAGAATGTTTGGTAGTAAGTCAATGACCCCTAGTCTCAGCAGTTGTTTTTATTTGGGGGGGTAGGGGGAACTATACAAACTCAGTGAGGACTGGGTTCCATGTTTTTGAACATAAGACCTAGCACAGGCCTGCCAAAGCAGACCACCCGAAGTCCTTTGGCAGGCCGCAAGCAGCCCATGGGTGGTATGTTGTGTAGCCAGGGCCTAGCATAATGTTACATAGTGGACACTCATCTTTTGACTTATTGTGACAATAATTACAATAAACTGATGCTTACTAAATTGGTAATTATAGGGAGTACAGATTCTACTTCACCTTCTAGCAGTCCTACTTTCTGGAACTATAGTCGTTCTGTGGGTGATTATGCACAGATGCTAAAGAAATTTCAATACCAGCTGGCTTGCAGGTCCCAGGCCCCAAGTGCTAACAAGGATGAAACTGACCTTGGTTCTAAACAGGCTGCAGAAGAGGTAAATGAAAAAATGGTGACTTTATGATTTGCTAATCCTCAGAAGTTCTACTAATTGTCATTTGTTCTTTAAAAAACATTCAATCTCAACTTTTAAGTTAAGGCAATGTGGATAGAGTACTGGAATTAGAGTTGGGAAAGCTTGGGTTCATTTTCCCCAAAAAATGTACTAGTTGTGTTACCAAGAGCAAATCATTTAATCTCTGTCTGCCTCAACTTTCTCATCTGTAAAGTAGGAATGACAATACCTATAATATCTATTTTGAGGCTAAAATGAGATAACCTATGTAAAGTGCTTTGCAGACTTGAAAGCCCTACTTAAATGTCGGTTATGAATAAACTGTAACAGGAATCACTAAGTGTCTGGCACACTTGGTAAAAAAAAAAAATGGAAAATCTCGGGGGCAGCTAGATGTTGCAGTGAATAGAGCATCAGCCCTGGATTCAGGAGGACCTGAGTTCAAATGTGGCCTCAGACCAAACACTTGACATTTACTAGCTGTGTGACCCTGGGCAAGTCACTGAACCCCATTGCCTAGGCCTCCCCCCAAAAAATGGAAAATCTGCTATTTTTTGTCTGCCAGCTAGCATTTATTAAGTGCATACTATATGCTAGGCACTATTTCAAGCTTTGGGGATACAAAGAAAGATAAGAAACAGTCCCTGAAGGTGCTCATAGTATAATGGACTGATATTCTTTGTGGGTCTTATACTGAATTAGGTTGTTCTTTTTCATTGTGTTATGTCAGGTAACAGAAACTACTATCCTATAGAAAGTGTTTTCTGCCGTCATCATCAACAAATGCTTGGTGCCTTATTACACTTGACTGACGTGCTGGAGTCTGTTCACTTAGTTACTTTGTTTTACTTAGATTTAGTTAATTTTTTTCTTTCATACTTTGTGTGTGTGTGTGTGTGTGTGTACGTGTACACACACATTTGTTTTTGTACTTTTAACTTGATCGTTTAAAAAGTTAAATAGAGTTGAATAGCAACTCATAAGTACTTAGAAAAGTCATAGTAATTGAGTAGTAAGTGGTGATGTTTGTATATACCAGTTAAAATTTTCCTCAGGATTGATAAGGTACTTTTATCATTGTGGAAATGAGAATTGCTATGGTCTCTGGTAAACCTTTTCTACATTGATTGTCATTTTCAAAAGCATGTACTGTTTTTGAGTAGGTGTGGGCAAGAGTGACTATGAATCGACAACTTCTTGATCATATGGATTCGTGGACTGCCAAGTTTAGAAATGTAAGTTCTGTCATTGATCTAATGCGAAGTGTAGTTAACATGTCACTGTTGTGATTAAGGACAGCTAGATGGTACAGTAGATAACTGCCAAGTCTGAAGTCAGGAAGACTCCTCTTCCTGAATTTAAATCTGACCTGAGACATTTAATAGTTGTGTGACCTTGGGCAAGTCACTTAAATCTGTTAGCCTCAGTTCCTCATCTGTAAAATGAGCTGGAAGAGGAAATGTCAAAACACTCCAGTACTTTTGTCAAGGAAACCCAAGATAGAGTCATGAAGAGTCAGACATCACTGAGACGACTGAACAGCAATAATTGTGGAATTCTGGGGTACTACCTCACACCTGTCTGATTGGCTAACATGACAGAAAAGGAAAATGACAAATGCTAAAGGGTATGTGGGAAAATAGGGACAGTAAAGCACTGTTGGTGGAGTTGTGAACTGGTCCAGCCATTTTGGAGAACAATTTGGAACTGTCCCCAAAGAGCTATAAAACTGTGGATACCCTTTGACCCAGCAATACCATTACTAGGTCTGTATCCCAAAGAGATCAGAGAAAAGGAAAGAAGACCTGTGATGCAATAATATATTTTTAACAGCTCATTTTGTGTTGGCAAAGAATTGGGAATTGGCTGAACAAATTGTGGTACATGATTGTGATGAGATACTATTGTGCTTTAAGAAATGAAAAGCAGAATGCTTTCAGAAAAGCCTGGGAAGACTTATATGAACTGATAGAAAATGAAATGAGCAGAACCAGGAGAATATTGTAAATAGTAATAGCAATATTATAACAGTGATCACCTGTGAAAGATTTAGCTATTCTGATCAATACAGTGATCCAAGACAGTTCCAAAAGTCTCATGGTGAAAAATGCTATCCGCCTCCAGAAAGAAAACTGATGAACTCTGAATGTGAAGTATAAATTTTTTCACTTTCCTTGTTTTTTCTTGCTTTTTTTTTCTTTTTTTGGCAATATGGCTAATATGGAAAAATGTTTTGTATAACTTCACATGTATAATTGATAGCATATTGCTTGCCTTCTCAGTGGATAGGGCAGAGGGGCTGGAGGGAAGGAGAGAATGTAGAACTCAAAATTTTAAAAAAATGTTAAAAATTAATAACAAATTTTAAAATATATTTGTGGGTTACCTAAGGAAAATTGTAGTTTGAATGTCATGTGCACAAAATAATTAACAAACACTTATGAAGTGTCTGTATTTCAAGGCACTCTGCTAGGCACTGAGGAGATAAAGGGGGAAAAGCAATCTGCCCTGAAAAAAAATTTGTATTTTACCGGACCTATGCAACATATGCACAAGTATAATACAAGGTAAATTGTGGAAAGGAGGGAGCACTACTAATAAGGGGGATCAAGGAAGACTTGACAGAGAAGTGGCATCTAAGCTGAGTTCATCAAATTAAGAATGAAAATGGAAAACTCTGAGTGGAATCTGCAGTTGGAATTTGTTGGCAAACAGGAATAATTTAGAATTTAGGTCTTTACTTGGGTATTCTGTCTCAGATGCTAAAAGTGACTTAAAGTTTATTGTTGCTCTGGAAAGTAGAATTTTGAAGCCCTTAGTTCTAAAATCAAAAAGTATTACCTTATCAGAGCAATAAATCTGCTATCTACAACATTTGAGAACGGTGTGCTCTGATTAACCGTGGTTTAGTTCTGTATCATGTTGCTTTATTTTAATTTTTTTCTTTTTAATAGTGGATCAATGAGACAATATTAGTGCCACTTGTTCAGGAAATTGATTCTGTCAGTACACAAATGAGAAGAATGGGCTGCCCAGAGCTACAGATAGGAGGTATGGATAAAAGTATACATGAGCATTTCCATTTTCTTGAGTGCTTCCTATTAGAAGAAATTCTGTACTGAGGGTAGATTATTTAGCCAGTTTCATTTGACTGTTCTGCACTGACACCTGAAGTTGGGAAAAAAAAAAACATATTAATGCCCAAATGTTTCTAATTGAGCAAACAGCCAAATTAATAGAACAAATTGAAAACCTCCAGGAGTTTTCTTTTCATTATATTTTTTATTATCCTTTCACTATTGCAATAATAATAAACTCTTAGGCAGACTATGTATTGATCATTCTTGCATGACAGATTTTCAACCGTAAAACTGAGTCTGTTGGAGCTCCGAATTCCAGTGAGGCAGATTAACTGTTAAAATTATGCTAAAATATGCCATTCTTCGTTAGACCAAAAGTATAATGAATGTATTACCTTGGTAATTTCTAAATCACCTATTTTAAGACTCTCACCTGTTTAAAAAAAATTGGCAGAGGTACTTCAGGTGGCTATGTCCCTATGATACATTTACTCTTCATTATCATGTACTGTGCAAAAGACAGTAGAACTAAGGTCCTACTTAACTGCTCTTTCTTGGCATGGAGGTAACCAGCCACTGGTTCTCCAAGGCCATGCCAGCAGAGTGGAAGCTTAGTCAAGAACCAAAGTAGAAAGCATTCTAGACAGCACCTGGGGATAGATTCTGTTGTCTGTGATCCAGCCTAAAATCAGAGGCTCATTGCCACCTTGGCCACAGGATGATCAATTTTTTGTGTAAAGCAATTCTCAAAGACAGCTGCCAAGTTATAGATGGATTGCAGTCTTCTTCAGGAGAGGGAGTACCTACTCAGATGAAATAGATGAAATTGCAGATCCTTGTAAAAAGATTTAATAATAAAGAATTTTGAAATGATTCACATCTCTGTGAGTAAGTGCTCTTAGGAATATTAAGATCATTTGGATTATACAGTAGTTCTTTCTTATCATTAGGGTGTTTTTTAGCCATTTTCTTCTCTCTGGACTATAAACAGAAATGTTCCAAAATGTCAAATGTATTCCCAGGAATCATTTCTTGACTCTGCAATATACTTTTGCAACTATGCTTGCCCTTTCTGTCTTTTAGTAATATGTTAATGGCTTCATGAGTAGCATAGTACCCTTTCTTGATTGAAAGGATTTTTTTTAATCTACAAAATAATCATCTATTAGTACAACAGGCAATTTTCAGTACAACTTTTTAAATATTATCCAATAAAGGACTAATTATAAAAATGTATCTTTATATTTAGGTGTGTGTCATACAGATTTTATTGGTACATAAACGCTTAAAATATCTCTCTGGCTAATTGCTTATAGATTTAGTTTTTAGATGATAGTCTGTGAGTGAAGGAGAAATTTGTCAATATTTCTTCTAAGGTAATAAGTCAGTAGGCAGGCACTTATCCTTGCTGTCAAGATAAACCATAACCCCATTCTGTAAGAATTTAAAAGTACAGGGGGGCAGCTAGGTGGCACAGTGGATAGAGCACTGACTCTAGATTCAGAAGGATCTGAGTTAAAATCCAGCCTCAGACACATAACACTTACTCGCTGTGTGACCCTGGGTAAGTCACTTAACCCGTTGCCTTGCCCAAAAAAAACAACAAACAAAAGAATTTAAAAGTACTAATTCTTCTTTACATCATGACTGATGTGAAAATATGTTTAATATGAATGTATATGTAGAGCCTATATCAGATTGCAAGCCATCTTGGGGAGGGAAAGAGGGGGAGAACATTTAGAACTCAGAATCTTATGGAAGTGAATGTTGAAAACTAAAAATAAATAAATATAAAAAAAATAAAGGGAAAGGTAATATTAATTTAAAAGAATTTAAAAGTAGACTAATATTTGAGGACACTTCTTTAAAGGTGTTAAGTAGACTTGCATGTGTAATGATCTGTGGTATATGATTTTTGTTGTAATGGGATTTCCTCTCCTCCCTTTATTTTTGCAGAAGCTAGTATTACTAGCTTGAAACAAGCTGCCCTGGTCAAAGCCCCACTCATTCCAACTTTGAATACTATAGTGCAATATCTAGACCTTACACCAAACCAGGAATACTTATTTGAAAGGATCAAAGGTGAGCTATTATTTTTAAGGTTTAAAAAAAAAAACCGTTGAGAATTAACTATTTCATTACCTTAAGGGGGCCTTGAAGGATAAGGAGGGAAAATTCATTTTATTTATGAAAAATAGTAAGTCATATGTATAAATATATATTTTTCTTCACTGAAGTCCTAGTCTAATTCATCATTATGACACAGAAGTGACCCTGGGTTCTCAAAAACTTCAGGTATGATGTCTTGTGACAGACTTTATATATCTATCATCCAAAGACTAGCCTAGCTAAGTTTAGACACATTCATTACTAGAAGGTTGACTAGAAGTGATGAATTTTTTTAGTCATTGCAACTCACAGAAACTATCTTTTGAGGTATGTCGGGGGCTGTTGTCCTCAATCAGTGGAAGGGAATCTATCTACAAGCACAAAATCATGGCTATTGTTTATATGTATGCATATCCATGTTTGGTCATCCACCAGCCTCTTAGGCATATGTTCACATGGATATGGAAGCTCTCTATTGGAGAATATTGACGACCTGTCTATTACTTAAAACCTTTTAGACTAGGGCACCAAAAAAATGAGAACTTGGTCACAGCTAATATCTGTCAAAAGGAGGACTTCTCTTCATTTATACCCTGTTACCTCTCTTGAAGAGTAGGTATGGGTATGAGTATGAGGGTGGGTGTGTGTTGTGACCAAACTTTAAGTGAGAAGACTATATCAGAGTAGATCAGCACCTGCTCTGTAGCGTTGTTGTCTGGAAGCAAGACTGAAAGAAACCCAAGTCTGCCTCCATCTGAGGCTAGTTCTCTCTCCATTACATCATACTGCTTCTTGTTGTGTGTCTCTGTGTTTGAAAGCTTATTAGTCACTTAGAAAAATAAGCGTCCTGTGTATGAGATGTAGGCACTTTGAATATTTAGACATCATTTCTCTTTTCTTCAGAATACTAAAGGTGGACTCTCTCCTTGTTGTCTTTCCAGAAGAATAGAACCCACTGAATGCTATTTCTCCTAATTCATTTGTATTTCTTAGAATAACTTAGTCAATCTTTAATGTTAATGTATTTCTTTCGTGGATCTTTTTTTGCTCTACCTTCTTAACAGGAGAGAAATAGGATTTAGTAATAAGTGACCTACCTTGAAAGTCATTAGCTCCTCAGACAGAGTCATAAAGAATTTCCTTATTCTTCCCTACATGGTGAGGTTGTGAAGGAAAATAAGTAATATGAGTAGTATTTTTAAAAATTGTTTTTGTAAAATGTTTTCATTGCTTAAATAACCTTTAGGGTTAGATTTGTTTTGTGTTGGTTTTTTTTTTCCTTAAAAGAAAAAATCGTTTCTAGAGGTCATTGATGTATTTCATTAAGGTTCTCAGCTGAATCTTTTTTCATTCTTTCGTATCATCCTTATGATTTTAAATAACCTGATATCAACTCTTTCCAATCATAGAACTCTCCCAGGGTGGTTGCATGAGCTCATTCCGATGGAATAGAGGTGGGGACTTCAAAGCACGAAAATGGGATACAGACCTGCCCACTGATTCTGCTGTGAGTCAATATGATTGCTTTTAAATATTTTTGAAGAAATTTATCTATGCCCAGAGACTGTTTTATGTTAGAATAAGAATTTTAAAAGTTTATGTTAAAGCAACAGCTAGAAATTATGTATATGTGTTCTTAATTTTGGTTCTATCTATCTGTGTGGGTTTGGCTAAGTTCTAACCAATTATCAGAAATGTTTATATTTATTATCATTAAATGTATTAAGTAAGTATTAATCATTTATAATGCATTTCCATGCTTTCTTTGGGAGATCTAAGTTCTAGAGGAAAGTTTGTCCTGAGTTTCTTTTCACTGTAGTTACTTTCTGAATTAATGACGAATCTGTTTTTGTTGATTGCCATTTTTCTGTGCTGATGTTTTTTGTTTACAGATCATTATGCATGTATTTTGCACTTACCTTGACTCTCGACTACCTCCACATCCTAAGTATCCTGATGGAAAAACATTTACTTCTCAGCACTTTGTTCAGACACCAAATAAACCAGGTAGAGAATTTTCTTAAAGTAGGTATTGGGATTTTTTGGTGGAGTATCTTTACATTCTAAGCTTAGCTTTCTCTTTTCAAACTGATACTCTGCAGACATTACAAATGAAAACGTTTTTTGCATCTACCAGAGCAACATTAATCCTCCCCATTATGAGCTAATTTACCAGCGTCACGTCTACAGTCTTCCAAAGGTACTTTTATATTTTGTATTTATCATATTCACATTTTTGTAAATGATGAACTCCTTTGACTTTGAAAAAATATTCACTCATTTATGAAACTGAGAAATGCTTTCCTTACAGAAAAATGCATTACTGCAAATTAACACCAAAATAATCACCTGTATCAGTAACTAATGATGATTTTTTTCCACTGTCATGTTTACTAAGATCTTTTACATGTAGCTGTATTCCTAATTTATGATCTCTACCAAATTCCAGTAAAATACGTACAGTGACGTCAAAGGCTGACAAAAATGCCGAAGTAGATAAGGAATATTTGTAATTAGCACATTATTTGAATGCTAAAATCCTTTGACAGTGTTTGAAGTTTTTTGGTTTTTTTATGTAGACTAATTACATTTTTTCCTCCCCCACCTCTGCATAGCCATTTGCTTATCGGATTTTTTTCCTATAAGGTACAAGGGAGTAAATCTCATTCTATACCTGAATTAAACAAGAATTTTTTAATCATTAGGGTCTGACATAATGAAGATTTACTATATTTACCTATCAGATTGAATTTTCATATTTTTTTCTTAATTTTTTTTCCTAAATTCAGGATAGAAATAACATGTTCCATACGTTATTGATGTTCTTATACATCATAAAGACCAAAGAGTCAGGAATGCTTGGGTAGGTATAAAATGCTATTTCAAGTACAAACACTTCTTTTTTAAATGACTTCCCATATCTTGCTTTTCCTGTTTTGCTTTTATAATTGTTATATAATCATTGTTAGCCCAGAGCCCTATTTCTAGTCATAGGGGTTAGTGCCAATTCTGTTAAATTGTTCTTAGCGTCTTTATTGAAATGAAACTTAGTCAGTTGAAATGTATTAAGTTCTTTATTATCATCACTGTTTAATGTTAGTGTAGCTCACGTTCAAGTCCAGCGCACCAAGATAACAGAATAGCAGGAACAAATATGGTCCAGCTTTTCTAACACAGCCACTCCACGAAGATCTAGGAAATATACCAGACCAATCCAAAAAGGGAAGTTCGAGAGAAAAAAACCCCACAGCAAGTCATTTTCCCAGCCCAGGTTAGCATATAGAGAGGTCTGTGGACACTGGGGATGGGATCTAGCCAGGAGTAGATCACATGCACGAACTTAGAAAGGACCAAATCTGTGTACCAGGGCAAAAAGAGATCCTAGTTGAACCCTGACCTTGTGCAAAGTGAAGGAACGGGTGCCAGCTAGAGTCTCTGTTGCTATATCACATATTTGGGTCTGACTGAGGAGGGGCCTGAACTGAGGGATGGCAGTCCAGGATGAGCAGTGGTCACAAGCTATAGGCTGTGTACTGAGCTAGGAACAAGTTCAGAAGCAAACAGTAGTTGTGTGACTCAGATTTTAGGAGCTGAGCAGGGGTCTCAGTTGTAGACTTCAGCCCAGTCTGAAGCCTGCGGCAGAGCAACCAGGGCAGGTATCTAAGATCAAAGGGAAGCCTGTATTTATGTCATTCAGAAGCCACAGTGCCTGAGAGTATCTGATTCCAGCACTAGTCTGTTGGACCTTCCAACCAAGGATAAGCCAATAGGACCCAAACCCAGATCAGGATCTTGTAGAGCTCAGACACAGAGGACAGTGATCAGACTTTGTCCTGGATTATACCTTTTGGGAGCATTGAAAACTTATCAGTCCCCAGCCTGAGATGTCCCTGAGATCCTGGAATAATACAGCGCTCAATATCACAAAAAAATATGAGAAGGAACCAAGAGGACAAAAAACTCACTGCTTGAAGGGCTCCAGACATATGCAGAATCTGACCCTAACATAAAGTCAAAAAACAGAAAGTAGCAAGAATGAGCAAACCAAAAATAAGTAAATAAGAATCACACCATAAAGAGCTGTTATGGTGACAGAGACAACTAAAGACACAATCCCAGAAAAAGAAAATTACTCCAAAACATCTGTAAGAAAGATCTCAAAGGAAAACACAACTTGGACACAAGTTCGGCTAGAATTTTTGAAAGAGATAAAGCAGAGCTTTTTGTTTTGTGTTTTTATTTTTAAAAGCAAAATGAGAGCTATGGAAGAATGGTTGGGAAAGAGAATTACAGCTTGGAATAAGAGGTACAAACCTCACCCAAGAAAAAACTTCAGAACTTAGAAATTGGCCAAATAGAAACCAATGACTCCATGAAACAAGAAATATTGAAACAGGGTGTAAATCTCATTCTATATCTGAATTAAACAAAAAAAGAATTAAAAAATAGAAGAAAATATGAGGTATCTGATACCAAAAACAACTAACCTAGAGAAGAAAGAGACATAATTTAAGAATCACTGAACTATCAGCAAGCTGTGGCAAAAAGAGCCTAAACATTACATTTCATGAAATCATAGAAGAAAATTACCCAGATTTCTTAAAACTAGTGGGTGAAGTTGGAATAAAATCCACTGATCACCTCTTAGAAGAAGCACAAATGAAAACTCCCAAGTGTGCTGTAGTCAAAATCTAGAGCTTCTTAGTTAAAGGAAAAAAAAATACTGCAAGCAGGCAATATTTTTTGGAGAATTCAAGTATAGAGGAGCCACAGTATCACACGGATTGAGCAGCCAGAATTATAAAAGAGCACAGAGCTTGGATTATGATAGTTCAGAAGGCAAAAAGATAACAGGGTTACAACCAAGAATAATTTACCCAGCAAAACTGAATATAATCCTACAGGGGGGAAATGGACCTTTAATAAGATTTCTAAGCATTCCTGATGAAAATCAGACAGAGCTGAGTAGAAAGTTAGAAATACAAACACAGGAATCAAGAGAAGAATTTTAAGAAGTAAACAGTCGTAAGGCACTAAACAAGGATAAATGTTTACATTTTAATGTATGGAGATGAGATACATATATATGTATATAGATACACATTTGTATATACATGTATGTTATATATATAAAATACATATCTCCCCTCAGAATTCTGTCATTATCAGGGGTTCAGAGAGGAAGTTTAATTAGAGGGCCTAGGTGTGGTTCTGTTCTGATACTCTTAAAAATGGAAAGGCAAAGGAAGAGAAATACTAAAGAGGGAAAGGGAGAGGAAGGATAGAGAAATTATCTGATATAATTGGGATCCACACACGTTTATACAAGCAAAGAGGACATAGGGGATGGGGGTGCATGAAACCGGCTATTCTTGAACCTCTCATCTGAACTGGTCAAAGGAGGAAAGAGTATAAATATACTTAATTGGGTGTTGAAATACATTTCATCAACAAGGAAAGGGGGGAATAAAAGGAAGGGTAGAAAAAGGGAGAGATTAGTAGTAAGCAAAACAAACAAAAAGGGGAGGGCAATGAAGAGAAGGAAGAGTTTAAGAAAATAGAATGGAGGAAAATACACAATTAACAATCATAACTGAATGTGAATGGGATGCACTCACCTATGAAATGAAAGATGATAATTGACTGGAAAGCAGAATTCAGTGATGTTGCATACAGTAAACATACTTGAAATAGAAAGGTGTATACAGTTAAAATAAGGGGCTAAAACAATCTTTTATGCTTCAGCTGAAGTGAAAAGGACAGGGGTAACAATCATCCCAAAGCAAGAGCAAAAATGGACAACTAAAAGAAAGAAATAGGGAAACTCCATTTTACTGAAAGTTGTCATAGACAATGTCAATATTAAATATAAGCATCAAATGCAATAGCATTTAAATTCTTAAAAGGAAACTCAAATGAGTTACATGGAGAAATAATAAAACTGATACTGGGGGACATCAGTTTACTCCTGTCAGACTGAGGTGAATCTAACCCAAAAAATCTTAATCTTAAAGGATAGGTCAAAGAACAAATAATAGAAACAATTTTATTGATAGTGACAGTATATAGGACAATATACGAAAATTTTCTAGGATGCATCTAAATCAATCAGTCCTTGGGGAAAAATTTTTATTTCTAAACACTTTAATCAATAAAAGAGAAATAATAGATTAAAGAATTGGGTGTGCAACTAGGAAAAAAGTTTTTTTAAGCTTCAAAGTAGAAATCCGGAAAATCAAAGAAGAATTTATCAGAATTGAAAGCCAAAAAGCTGTTGAATTAACAGATAAAATGTGTTTAAAAACTTACTCTTGAAACAAAACAAACAGCAAAATAAGGTATTAGCTAACTTAGTTTTTAAAAAAGAAAACAAAATCAATATCAAAAATGAAAAAGGTGAATTTAAACCAATAAGGAAGAAAGAAATGATTAGGAATTATTTTACCTAATTTTGTGACAAAACTAAAATCTAAATGAAATAGATGAATATTTATAAAAATATAAAATGCCCAGACTAACATAACAAGAAATATAGGACTTAGATAACTGAATCCTAGGAAAATGAATTTCATAAGCCATAACTCGACTGCCAAAGTGGGGGGGGGGAACAACTGGGTATCAGATGGACTTAGAAGAAGCAAACTGGATCAGCCATTTAAAGAATAATTCATTCTAATGCTACTAAAATGTTTGGGAGGGGAAAAAAAAACAGAAAAAGGAGGGATCCTACTATATTCCTTTTGTGATACAAATATGGTCTTGACTATTACTGCCTTTGATTTGGTTCCAAGTATCCAAATATTAAGAATAGATCTGTCATCAATTAGGTTGAAAGACTCAGAGGTGGTTTCCTAAAATCATAGTAAACAACAATTACCTCTTATGTAATAATCTAATTATCTTAGAGTACAGAATTAGACATGCATGTTTTGGACATTGCCAATGAGGTAATTTGATTTACTTGACTGCATATTTTTACAAGAAATTTACTTTTCTTTCATTTTTTTCCAATAAGATGAAGACTGGAAGGAAAATGGATTTCTATTCATTTTTTAAAGGGAGAGAGCAGATATATTTTAGTGAAAAAATTAACAACGCCCCTCACCCACAGCCCAAATGTGGTCTTGATACATAAACTAGGAATAATGAAAACAAAGGAAGAAAACTATAGACTTAATATCTCCAATAAACATTAATGCAAAAAAATATATAAGCAAGGAGACTATAGTGTCATATCGTCGAGATTATACATCATAACCAGGGTAGATTTATAGTAGGAATTCAGGGCTGGTTAAATATTAAGAAAATTATTAACCATATTAATAACAATACCAGTAAAAGCCAAGATTATTTCAATGGATGGAGAAAAATCTTTTGACAATTCAATAACCATTCCTGTTTTTTAAAAAAACTGCAAAGGAATAAATGGACCTTTCCTTAACATAGGTGATAGCTATCTAAAACCAAGAGCTAGCCTTATAATAAAAATAAACTGGAAGTATAAAACAAGGGTGTCTGTTATCACTATTACTATTCAATATTGTGCTAGGAATTCTAGTAATAGTTAATAAGACATGAAAAAGAAATTAAGAGAATAAGCATAGGCAAAGAGAAACAAAATTTTCTTTTGTTCCCAAAACATGATGATTTACTTAGAGAACCCTAGAGAGTCATCTGAAAAACTAATTGAAACAATTAACATCTTTAGCAGGGTTGTAGGATATAAAATAAACTCATAGAAATCATCAGCATTTCTATATATTATCAACAAAGTCCAGCAAGAAGAGAGAAAATTAGGGTTACAAAACACTTTACACAAATAAAGACATCTAAATAATTGGAGAAATATTAATTGCTTAAGGATAGGCTAAGCTAATAAGATAAAAATGATAATACTGCTAAATTTATTGTGTCCTCCCAAAAGTTATTTTACATGGCTAGGAAGAAAAGACAAAATTCATCTGAAGGAACAATCCAGCTCTGTTCATCTTTACAATAATAGTTCACATTTATGTAGTACTTTTGATTATCAAAATTATTATTATGGTTATTTTTTTAAAAACTTAAATATGGTCTAGATCCATCAAAACTCTTTTTTTCTTTACAGGAGGGTTAATCTCGGCCTTTCAGGAGTGAATATTTTGTGGATTTTTGGAAAATAACTCGCTTAGTCTCTTGCTTTTGATCTCCTTTATTTTAACTGGTAATTAATGAAAAAAATCGGGAAGAGGACCTAACAGTAGCAGATCTCAAACTATACTACAAGCAGTAATCTTTAAAATAATTTGGTATTTCTTAAACAATAGGTTGATCAGTGGCACATATTTTCTGTGGCATAAGCTACAGAAGAAGCAAATGAGCACAGTAACCTAATGTTTGATAAATCCAGTGATCCTGACTACTGGGGCAAGAACTCAATATTCGATAAACATTGTTGGGAAAACCAAAGGCAGTTTGGCAGAAACTTGGCATAGACTTAACACCTCACACCACAAATAAGTTAAACTCCAAAATGAACACATGACTTTAGATGTAAAGTGACATCAAAAATAATTTATAAGAGCAAGGAAAAAATTACCTTTCAGATCATTGAGCGAAGGGTGAGTTCATGATTGAACAAGAGATAGAGAGGACCACAGAAGGTAAAATGGATGGTTTTGATGACATAAAGGTTTTTGCACAGACAAAATAAATGCAGCTAAAATTAGAAGAGAAGCAAGTAGTCATTCAATAATCAGTAAACATTTATTAAAGTACCTATAACGTGCCAGGTACTTTACTAAGCACTGAAGATCTTATAGACTCCTTGCCTTCAAAGGAGCTCCAATGTAATGAGAGAAGACAACACATAAAATGAAACTGACTGTCTGGGCTGTGGGGGCGAGGGGTGGGTGGACGTTTGAGGGCGGTAGATGGTGGTGGTGAGGAGTTACCCAAATTGGGATTGGGGGGGTGGGAAGAGATCTGAGCCAGATTTCTTCCTGAAACTTACACCTTTCAGAGTTTCTAGAGATAATGAAATCTAGGAAATTGGCAAGGTGGAAAATAATGAGGTGAATTCCCTGGTGCCCTCACAGGTAAATGGGGAATGTGGTTTTTTTTTGTTGTTGTTTTGTTTTGTTTTTGTTTGGTTTTTTGGTTTTTTTTTTTTGGCTAGGCAGTGACTCACCCAGGGTCACACAGCTAGTAAATGTCTGAGGCCAGATTTGAACTCGGGTCCTCCTGACTCCAGGGCCGGTGCTCTATCCACTGTGCCACCTGGCAGCCCCAGGAATGTGTTTTTCAACAGGTTTCTGATACAGGTCTCATTTCTAAAATGTATAGGGAACTATTCAGATTTATAAGAATAAGAGCCATTCCCAATGATAAATGGTCAAAAGATATGAACCGGCTGTTTTCAGAGGCAGAAATCTATGCTGTCAGTAGCCACTTGAGATAATGCTCTAAATCACTAATAATTAGAGAAATGTAAATTAAAATAATTCAGGTTCCACCTTATACCCATCAGATTGGTATTTCTAAATATTAAGTGGAGCAATCCATCATTGTTCATCTTTATGATAATAGCTCACATTTCAGGTAGTACAGTCATCAAAATTAGTATGGTTACAGAAAGAGACAAATATATTCTGGATAAAAGTCCATTGAAACTTTTTTTTCTTTTACAGGAGGGTTGATCTTGGTCTCAGGAGTGAATATTTTGTGAATTTTTGGAGACTAGCTCATTTATCTTTGATTTTGAGCTCCTTTAATTTGACTGGATCAAATAAAAATGTCATCCTTTTTGAAAAAGATTCTAAGACTCCTGTTGCTGCACAGTCTGAAATAGGATACATAAAACACTCCTAACAAAATGAAAGCTGGAGTAGTAAGAAGCTGTTGTCATTGTTAACTCTGACATCTTCTGTTACAAAAAAGTCATCAACTTTGGTTTACATACATTTCAGGGTTTTGTAATTAAAATATTGCCCTCTAGAGTTCCTTTGAAGAAAGCGTGTCATCCTTTTAATAAACTAGGGTTTTGGGGTGACCCTCAGAAACAAATCCAATCCATAGGATTGCAAAACCACATACCTAAGATAGTTTCAAAACTATCACAATGATAGTTTTCAGTCTCAAATATTTTGGCATAGGTTCATATCTTAAAGACAGTAAATTGTGAACTCAGTTGGTAATTTGTCCTCAAATTTCCCCTGTCTTATGAATCACACAAAACATAAAAGCTTAATTATTGGTTAAAACTAATTTACCAGAGATGGTAAAAAGATTTTACGGTATTAGTTCCAAAGAATCTGAATTCAAGTTAAACCTGAAATTTTGACAGAATTTCATTCAGCTCTTTGATCAATGTTCTCAGGGGTATTGGGGATTAGTGAGTAACAAAGAACTTTATAACATTTGGTTTTGATGTGCCATTCACAGTATTGTATTATTTGAACATTTCTGTCTTTTAAAGTTAAAATGTCAGCCTACCTGTTTTAAACTCTCCAGAAAAAAATTATTAATGCCAAGAGAAAGTATATTTTTTGTATTTTCTTGCTTCTTTCAAAGAAGGGAAAGGGGATAGATTGTAAATAATTGAGTGTGATAGTGAATGTGTAGCTAGAAAGGAAACTAAGGATTACTAGGAGTTTGAGTTTATTAAAAAATGGGTTTATTAAAAATGTCATACCAAACTTTTTTTCCCCCCCAAAACATTACTACATCAGGAAAATGCTGCAGACATGCCTGGATTTCTCTAAGGCTTTTGATAGTCTGTCATGATACACATGTGGATAAGGTGGAAGAATATGGATGCCAATCTAGTTAGATGGATCCATAGCTCTCTGACCATATCCAAAGAGTTACCTGATTATCAGTTGTCCTCCTAGAGGAAGAATTCTAGCAACATACTACAAGACTGCCTTTCACTCTCTTCTTATCAGTGAATTCAATAAAGACATAAATAGTATGTTTACAAGATAGAGTTGGTAGGCTAGCTAATATATTGGCTAATAGATTCATCCAATCTTACTTGGTAAAATTATGGGCTAGATAAAGCTCGATATGAATTATAGTGAGAATGACAGCTTAAAAAAGCTAATGTAATTTTAGGGTGCATTTTCACTTGTATGTAGTACTCTAAAGTTCACAGAGCACTTTGTTTATAGCAGCCCTGTGAGGTACGTTAATGCAACTGTTCACCCAATTTTATGGAAAAGGTACCAGAAAGGTTAGGTAATTTGACCATAGTCAAAGTGCTCAGTGGGGTCAGAGCCTACATTTGCCCTCTAACTCCAAGTCCAGTGCTGCTTCTGTACCATATTTCCTTTCTAGTAGCCGGTAGTGTCCAAAAAAAGGGACAATGATTGTTCCACTTTTACTCAGCATTGATCAGATTAAACCTGATGTGTTTGGTTTTGGGCACTACAAACAAACTTATTTTTACTATCAATACAGAAACTGTTTGTTTTAGGTTAAGCACATTGGCTGTGATGTCTTGGGGGGGGAAATGTGAACAGAAGTTGTTACAAACGTTAAAATTTGACAGATTTCAGTGGGTGGTGATTGAAAATATCATTGCAGAACAGTTGATGGGAAAATATATAATTTGTTGTAAAATGTTTAAAACCAGAAAACTGATGATCAAGCATTTCCTCTTCCTTTATGCCTTCTACCCAGGATTTTCAAAAAATTAGATCCATGATAAATTTTGTTTATATTGATGGTACCATTCTGTCTTTGGCAAGAGTTTACAATAAAAATAAAATGTAAAAAACTGGCTAGATGATATATTTGGAAAACAACAAAATGTTTTCTGTGGGTATTAAGACTATTGTTTTTTGTATTATTGAACTATAATTTGACTTTGGTTTTAACACGGTTTTATTTCATTTCCATTCTAAGGGTAACCAAATTTGGTCCTATACCTAACTCAGGAATCTGTTAACGTTTTAGTATTAGTACTGTCGCTTAAGAGCACTGGTAAAAACTGTTCTGAGTCTGAACTTCAAGAGGAATGCCCATGTAGTAATGGTTTGAGTGCCTTGTTTTAAGTGAAAGAGTTTGGATTACATTTGTATATTGTCTTTTCTCTTAATTTCTAAAAATTAAAAACAATGTCTTTTATGTGTCACTTGAATTTTGGTTATGGAATCAGTCCACTTCTCTACTTATGTTCATTCTGTTAGTCTTTCCTTCCTGCCCCCACCCCCCATCGATTATAGGGTTTCTGTATGAATCAAGTTTTTTCTATAACAGCTATATTCATGGACCTAAATTTTAGTTTCATCTGACTTGTAAATTCTGTGTTGCTTGGCTGAATGGTTATTCAACAATCCTAATGGTAGAGGTTTCATTCGTGACTTTATCACAACTGCTATACCATCTGCAAAAGCCCAGTCTCCCTGCCCCCCATCCAGTGTGCACTGTCAAGATATATAAAGCACGGCTTGCATCAAATCTCCATATCTTCAAAAATGTAGAACCATGGAACTTTATGGAACTAATCCCTAGACAGGATTAGTTCAACACCTAAACTGAGTTGAAAGGCAGTACCTGCATTTTACAGTTGGCAATAGCCAAGAGGGGTCACATGACTAAGGTAATACAGCAAATTCCATGGTGGATATCTAGGCTTAGTACCTAGGTATCTTCGTTACAGGCCATTGTTCTTTTTCCTTGAAAGTGAAAGAATGGAAAGGCGTTTTTTTAAACACTCCATACCAAGATTAAAAGCAAACCCTTTAGCCTTTTATTCAGAACCTTCTACAAGACCTCAACCTACCTTTCTAATCTTAATGCCTCCTTATACTACACAAATCCTCTGTTCAGCCCAAACAACTTGAATGTGTAATTTTGTTTTCTGGCCTCTGTACTAGTCCCTGTCTGTAATGCCTCCCCACATTCTATACCTATTCCCAAAGACCTATTTAAAATCCAGTGTACTCTGGGAATACTGACCACTCCAGCTGGAATTGATCTTCCTGCTACAATACTTACACTCTATTTTCCTGTGTAGATTATGTCGTTTCCCCAACTAGGGTGTAAGTTCCTTTAAGGAAAGGATTTATTTTATGTAACTCATTGTAGTTCAGTGCTTTGCACAGGGTAAGTCTTTATTTATTGGTTGATTAATAAATGTGAATATTAAGTGCCTACTACCAAGGACCTAAATACGAAGACTAGTTTTTTTTTTCTTCTTATGGTTAGGCTATGGGGTTAAGTGATTTGCCCAGGGTCACACAGCTAGTAAGTGTTACATGTCTGAGGCCGGATTTGAAGTGAATTCAGGGCTGGTGCTCTATCCACTGTGCTACTTAGCTGCCCCCGAAGACTAGTATTTTTTAATTACATTCACTGACCTTAAACCTTCTGCCCTTCAATTAGATAGATTCCTGTAGCAACAGTCCATGCTCTAAGTGGACAGACAAAACCTAACCATGTTATATTAGCATATAATTAATTGTTAAATTGTAATGTAAACAAACACCAAAGTTGTGAAAATGAAGGAATAAGTGAGGGAGTGGGATTGAGCAAGAATGTTACCACTGTACCCCAAGCTGTTGCATCCTGAGATCAGTCCACTTGTTTCAGTAGTCTTAGAAAACACAGAATTTTATAGCTGGAAGGTAGTTTAGAGATCGAATCCAATCATTTTACAGATAAGGAAACAGACCCAGGATGTGAAGTGCCTTGCTCAAGATCACACACCTAGTTAATGGCAAACCTGGGACCAGAACCTAGATCTGACTGCCAGTACTAACCATATGTAAGTTACTAAGCCTTGTCCACTACACGCTGACCTATCTTCAGTCATCTGGAAGGCACGCGAGGCAGTGGAAGGAACTTGTCTGGGATAGGTACGTGGGAAGAATGAAGCCACGAAATCCTTCGTCTTTGCTTCCAGAGCTTCGTGGATGATCGTCACGGAGGCAGGCACACCTGCAGTCACCCCGGGAGAGCGCAGGTGTGGCCACAGAGTCTTTAAATGGCCACTGGTGCCACGTAGTTCCCACCCACACAGAGAAACCTTCGCGTGGGTGCTTTCCTAGTCCTAGCTTCCACAGGCCATGGAGCTGAGTGCAGAGGACGAGCTACCTGAGGGAGTGGGTCAGAAGGACAGCAGCGGCGCGATGGGCTTCCTCGCGGCTGCATCCAAGAACACCCAGGTAAGTGGAGGACTCCAGGGCTCCACTGCTGGGAAGAACATGTGGAGGCCGTGCTAGGACTCGAGCCTTCAAAGTCTTCTGTTTTCAGAGAGGGTTTGGGCAATTGCCGCTGCCCGGCACTCGTAATTGGCACCTGCGGCTTGGCCGCATTTATACTTTCTTGGGATGATTTTTGGAGCTTGAGAAACCCAGACTTCCTTCGCTGCACGCAGCAAACCCAGTTTCTTGTCTGCCTGTGGAGTGGTCCTTCGGTGGCTTCTGGCTAATCTTACGACGAAGGTTGGATTGCCCGGGTTGTTATTTGTCACCAAGGTGATGTCTCTCCTTTTTAGCATGCTGTCCAGATTTGCAGTAACTTAACATCATGTTCTTTTTTATAATAACTGATCAGTAGGTAATACTTTAGGGCATCTGGGTGGTGCAGAGGATAGAGCACCAGGCCTGGAGTCAGAAAGACTCACCTTACTGAGTTCAAATCTGGTCTCGGACACTTCCTAGTCGTGTGACCCTTAAAAAGTCACTTAACCCTGTTTGCCTCAGTTTGCTCAACTGTAAAATGGGGATAATGAGCATCTACCTTGCAGGATTGTTGTGAAGATCAAATGAGATCTTTGTAAGTTCTTATCACAGTACTTGGCACACAGTAGGCATTATATAAATGTTTATTAGTTCCCTCCCATGAAAGTGATATAAATAAAATGCTTATAGGATGCATAGGAGGGAGAGACCATACCTGGCTGAGGTGATCTGGGAAAGAGCTGACATTTGAGTTGAATCTTTAAGAATAAATAGACTTTTGATAGATTCAGATATGGACAGGAAGATGGGCATCCCCTCAATTTCCAATTCTTTGCCACAACAAAAAGAGCTGCTATATTTTTGTGTAAATAGGTCCTTTTCTCTTTTTCTTTAATCTCTTTGAGATACAGACCTAGCAGTGGTATTGCTGGCTCAAAGGGTATGCACAGTTTTATAGCCCTTTGGGCATAGTTCTAAAATGCTCTCCAGAATGGTTAGACCAGTTCACAACTCTACCAACAGTGCATTAATGTCTCAATTTTCCTGCATCCCCTCCAACATTTATCATTTTCCTTTTCTGTCATATTAGCAAATCTGATATGTATGAGGTAGTTGTTTTAATTTGTATTTCTCTAATCAATAGTGATTTCAAGCATTTTTTCATATGACTATGGATAGCTTTGATTTCTTCTTCTGAAAACTGCCTGTTCATATCCTTTGTTCATTTATCAATTGTTCATTTACAATGACTTGTATTCTTATAAATTTGACTCAGTTCTCTCTATATATTTGAAAAATGAGGTCCTTATTATGAGAGATACTTGTAAAAAAAAATTTCCCCCAGTTTTCTGCTTTCCTTTTAATCTTGGTTGCATTGGGGTTTTTTGTGCAAAAACTTTCAAATTTAATATAATCAAAATTACCCATTTTACATCTCATAATGCTCCTATCTCTTGTTTCTTCATGCATTCTTCCCTTATCCATAGATCTGACTGGCAAACTATTCTATGCTTCCTCATTTGCTTATGGTATCACCCTTTATGTCTAAGTCACGTACACATTTTGACCTTATCTTGGTATATGGTGTAAAATGTTGGTCTATACCTAGTTTCTGCCATACTGTTTTCCAGTTTTCCCAGCAGTTTTTGTCAAATAGTGAGTTCTTGTCCCAAAAGCTTGGGTCTTTGAGTTTATCAAACACTAGATTACTATGGTCATTTACTACTTTGTATCATGTCCCTAATCTATTCCACTGATTTACCATTGTTTCTTAACCCAGTATCAGACAGTGATGATTATCACCTTATTATATGGCTTCAGATCTGGTACAGCTAGACTACCTTCCTTCACACTTTTTTTCATTAATCCCCTTGATATTCTTTTTTTTTTTTTTTTTTTTTAAAGGCAATTGGGGTTAAGTGACTTGTCCAGGGTCACATAGCTAGTAAGTGTCAAGTTTTTGGTTTGAGGCTGTATTTGAACTCGGGTCCTCCTGACTTCAGGGCCCGTGCTCTATCCACCTCACCACCTAGCTGCCCCTCCCCTTGATATTCTTGACCATTTGTTCTCCCAGATGAATTAGCTCTATAAAATATTTTTTGGTAATTTAATTGGTATAACACTGAATAAGTAAATTAATTTAGGTAGGATTGTCGTTTTTATTATATGGGCTTGGCCTACCTGTGAGCAATTGGTATTTTTTCAGTTATTTAGATCTGACTTTATTTGTATGAAAAGTGTTTTGTAATTGTGTCCATAGAGTTCCTGGGTTTGTCTTGGCAGGTAGACTCTCAAGTATTTTATATTGTCTACAGTTGTTTTAAATGGAATTTCTCTTTCTATCTCTTGCTGCTGGGTTTTGTTGGTAATATATAGAAATGTTGACAATTTATGTGGGTTTATTTTATATCCTGCAACTTTGCTAAAGTTGTTAATTATTTCAAGGAGTCCATTCTCTAGCATTTTTTTGGGGGGGGGGGTGAGGCAATTGGGGTTAAGTGACTTGCCCGAGGTCACACAGCTAGCACGTGTCAAGTGTTTGGTCTGAGACCGGATTTGAACTCAGGTCCTCCTGACTTCAGGGCTGGCGCTCTATCCACTGCACCACCTAGCTGCCCCTCTAGGGTTCTCTAAGTATACCATCATATCATCTGCAAAGAGTGATAGTTTTGTTTTGATGGTACTTTTTGGAGCAAGAAGAAGGATCAGGGTTCTAACTTTCTGCCCATTTTCCAGGGCACAGTCTGCTCTTCCCAAAGATAATGAGTGATGAGTGGAAAATCTCAGTTTTGCAATGTGACCACAGAGAGTAGTATAACTCTCAGACTCTTCCTGATCCTTGGAGCTCTTGCAAGCTCACTTAATTGCCTTCTCTTCCCTTTTTCATTAATTAATGGGGCTGGGCACCTAGGGAAAATACACAGATGAATAAAGCACAGTTACTGACTTCAAGGAGATTATAATCTAATACTCTGCATTCATCAAGGCTGTGGGGTGGCAGTAATACAAACTCAGAATTTTAATTACTTAGTTTTCCATTTAATTGAACAATTCAATTCATCGACTCTATTATGCACCTTCCATGTGTTGGATACCGTAATAGACACAAGTTTAGATAATTCATAGTCCCTGACCTTGTGGAGTCTACGACCTCATATAGAGATAGGTAGGACACACACAAAAATATTGTGTTTTATCTTATACTATGGTATAAGAGCTCATGAGGGAAATCTAAATAATGTAAGAGGATGGGAAGACCATTTCCTTTGTGTATTGTCTGTAGCTATGAGAGTTGCGACAATTGTTAGCTCTCTTGGCTTTCTAATAACTCCTGTAACTCCTTACCAGAATCCTCCAGTTCTTAAAGTTTGGGGCAATACCAATGGGTTCTTCTACTTCCCCTAACTGATCAGGGAGGGTTTTGCTTGGAGGACACCAGAGGGCTGCATGGTACCTTGGTTGTATACATTACTGCAAGAGGTCTCATTCCCTTGTTTCTACCCAGTCCCTCAGGTTGGGTATAGAGTCACAGCACAGTAAACTCTACAAGATCATAAGGAGAGATAAGAATCCAAGAAGCTTCCAGCGCTATTGCTGATCTTTTCCCTCACTTCTTCTCAAGCCTACTTACTTGGTGTGATCTGAGATTGCTCCACCACCATTCAACATTCTCTGGATTGCAGACCTCTTGATAGTGTTTGGGCAATACAGACAGAGGTAACACATCCCAGTGCCCACCAGCATAACTAAATAGCGTCCTGAAATCCTGGATCCCACCATGTACACATAGAACAGTAGTACTTAATCTGGGGTATATAAATAGATTTCAGGGGTCCACTTAGTTGGATAGGAAAAAACTTAGGTGAGCTCCTCTAATGCAGTGAAAGAAATAGAGCATTTCCTTCAATTATGATTTTTAAAAATTAATCTGAGAGGGGGCAGCTAGGTGGCGCAGTGGATAGAGCACCGACCTTGGAGTCAGGAGGACCTGAATTCAAATCCAGTCTCAGACAAGACACTTGACACTTACTAGCTGGGCAAGTCACTTATCCCCAATTGCCTCACCAAAAAAAAAAAATTTTAATCTGAGAAGGGGCTTCACCAGTGTGCCAAAGAGATCCACATCACAAAAAAAGTTCTAAGAACCCCTAATCTAGAACCTGGAAGAGAGAAGCAGAGGCCTATGCAGGCAATTCAAGACCCATGGCAAGAGAATAAATGTTTGCCTTCTTCCTCCCTACCCCTAAGCTGACCTCATACAAAGAACCATAGAACATACAGAATGTTATTGACAGAAGGGACCTGAGATCACCCAGCCCAAACCTCACATTCTACAGATGAAGAGATAGGCCCAGAAAGGGTAAGTGGCCTCCTCAAGGCAACAGCTGGTTAGTGGCAGAGTTGGGACGACAGCCCCGGCCTCCTGACTCCCAGTCCAGTGCCCAGAACTGAGCTCTGAGGGAGTGATGCATGAAGGTAATTTTTTTTCCTGATTAAACTTGATTTAGGAAAAATGGAATATTTGGTTAAAAAAATTAATAGGTATTACCTTAATAAAACAAAATTAATGGATATTCTCCCAACAGTAGAGCCAGAAGTGCATTCCAACATGGTTTATTCTGCCAGACTCTACGTATTTGTGGGAGTGCTTCTACTCAGGGTGGTAAACTGAGGAAAGCAAGGAAGATAAGTTGAAGAAAGTCATGAACATGGGGGGGGAAGAGGAAAAATTATAATATCTTATTTATTGTAATTAACTTACCTTGAGATGTTTGCTTAAAAAAATCCCCAAACTTCCTGTTACTTATTGGTTTCAGTTTATTTCTCCATCTTGTCATTGGGCTGTTTATAAACAGTCATACTGACAATGACATCATTCTTTTTTCCCCACCTAGTGTGGTGCAAATCAGTTGTGAAATAGCTTAATGACAGCAGAAGTGGGGTGTGGGATGGAGGAGGAAAAAAAAAAAAGAATCAAGGGATTTGAAGAGCTAAAAACAGGCTCATCTTATCACGTGTTGCTGACATTTTTGACATTGCTGCGATGGAAAGGAGGCTGGATTTGGAACTGGGGGGACCTGTATTCAAATCCTGCTTCTTCTACTTATTACCTGTAGAACCTTGGGTTAGCCACTTAACTTTCTGCACAGGACCTTAGTTTCCTTATCTGTAAAATGAGGAAGTTGGTCTAAATGGGCTCTGAAGTCCGAGGTCTGTGGTCTGATGAACTTGGGTACAATGGGTGGAAACCAGGGAGACAGATTCCAGTTCAGTATTCCTTTTTTTTTTTCTTTTTTTCTTTTTGGTGAGGCAATCAGGGTTAAGTGACTGGCCCAGGGTCATATAGCTAGTAAGTATCAAGTGTCTGAGGTCGAATTTGAACTTGGGTCCTCCTGACTCCAAGGCCGGAACTCTATCCACTGTGCTACCTAGTTGCCCCAGTTCAGTATTCCTAATGGAGGTCCTAAGTAGAATGGGCCAAGTTGCTTGTGTTTTCCTCCTAATTGGGAGGCTATCTGGACATGTTATACAGGAAATTCTTAGGTATGCACTAGATTAATAATAATGTAAGACTTGCAAAGCATTTTATAAATATTGTCTCAGTTTTATTTTCAGAACAGTCCTGGAAAGGTAGAAGCGATTATTATGCCCATTTTATAGATGAGGAAACTAAGGCAGACAGAAGTATAACAGTGGCTTGCCCACAGCCACACTGCTTATAAATGTCTGAAGCTGTATTTGAACTTGGATCTTCCTGACTTCAGGTCTAGTGCTCTCTCCACTGCACAACCTAGATGACTGTAGATAACATTAGATGGGCTTTGAGGTCCCCTTCCACTGTGCAGTTCTGTGAATGGAATATAGAGTGAAGAGCATCAAGTACGCTCAGATTCTTCTTGGAGTGCCTGGTACATAGTAGGTGCTCAATATATGCTGCTTGTTTGAGTGTAAGAAGGAAAGAAAGTTAAGTTGGTCAACAAGCATTTAGGAGGAGAAAATGAAGCAATAACAATGTAATTACAATGTGCTGTAATAAGCCTTGCTATACAAAGACAAAAATGAAATGGTCTCTTGCCTTCATGGATCGTATGTGCTGATGAATGGGGAGAAGTCCTTGGGCCGGGCTCAGCAGTAGAATGGACAGCACAGAATTCCTACGATGACATCACAAGGCTGGGGAAGGGGAAGTCTAATGCCCAGCTCCACTCACTCTGCCTGAGGCTTAGAGCAAACCTGTTTGTACCCCTGCGCCTTGGCTTTTTAAGACCCCACGAGAGTGTGACGCTGGACTCGTTTGCACTGAAGAGTCCCTGCCTTGGAGGCTAGCCCGGGGATGCGGAGCCGCTGAGGCAAGTTCCTTTCATTCCCTCGTCGTCCTTCACAGAGCTGCTCACTCCCAGGTGTTGCCATCACCAGTTGGACCACAGCCTCGTGTGCGTCAACTGCCTGGTCAAAACTACCATCCTGGCGGAGAATGAGGTGGAGGCCAACAAGCCATCTAATAACTACAAGGTGAGTCTCTTCCGAGTTCTTAGAACTGGGAACAGGCAGCTGCCCCAACCCCTAATCCTCCAGTGTGGAGGCTCTTGGGGTTTCCCTCCAAAGTTCTGGTGGCTGGCAGCACAAAGGAGAACTTGTCGCCCCATACGCAGTGTCTAAAGTGTCTTATTATGGTTTCTGAAGGGTAAAATGGAGCTTGGCCTCCTGAAGGCAGTCCTCCTCTCCCAGGGACTCTGGTCAGAGCTATGTATCGATAGATATTCCGCAGGCTGCATGGAGTTCCAGGTGATTGATTCTTGCCATCGAGACGGAATAATGTCTATCCTAAGCAGGCAAAAATCACCTCATCGCCCTTCTCCCCAGATTACTCTCAAATGTCTAATCTGGTGAGTAGAAAACTCTGAGGCTAGGGATAACAGCAACAACATTTATACAGTGCTTTAAGGTCTGCACAGAGTTATTTTAGATGTGTTATCTCCTTTGATCCTCACAACTCTGGGAGGTAGGTCTTGTTATTACCCCTACTTTACAGATAAGGAAACTGAGGCACAGGGGGGTTACATGACTTGCACAGAACTATGCAGTAAGTGTCTGAGGATACATTCGAACTCGGATCTAAATTATTTCAGGTCCAGCTTTCTAAGCCCTGTACCATCTAGCTACTTCCCTATATATATTATATATATATATGCCCTACCCCATCTAATAATTCTTCCCCCACAAGCTTCACAAGGAGAAACCCTCACTCCCTCCTTGTGTTCTTTTGGATGGGTCTTGAATGAGTGACGGAAACTGTGCCTCAGTGAGCTCAGAAGGGAAGGCTGGGTCTTGATGGGGCTCTGCTGAGGAAGAAACAGCAATGTACAGAGATCTGGAGACGAAGCCTTCCCAAATTGGGGGGGGGGGGCAGTAGGGGAAGGGCTGCTACCCCTGCATTTGCACGGACTATCTCTCCACCCCCCATGCACTCAACTTCCTCTTAGAATCCATCCCTAGTTTCCTTCAAAATTCAACTCGAGAGCCACCTTTTACAAGAAGCCTTTCCTGATTGCCCCCCTTCCGTAGCCTCCCCCAATAGCCTTGTCTTTGTTTTGTTTTTATGTAATTGCAAAATTTTCTTCCATTATTTCTTCTTTCTCAGGGGCAGCTAGGTGGCGCAATGAATAGAGCACTGGCCCTAGATTCAGGAGGATCCGAGTTCAAATCTGGCCTCAGACACAACACTCACTAGCTGTGTGACCCTGGGCAAGTCACTTAACCCCAACTGCCTCACCAAAAAAAAAAATTAATAATAATGAGAATAAAAACATATTTCTTCTTTCTCAAGCTTCCCAAACTACCCCTTCCCCACATCCCAATTCTTTCACCTCAGGATCTTATCTTTACTAAGAGCTTTTTCATTTCCCCATCTCAAAATCCCATAATGTCACCCATCCCTCATTCTTTGATTTTTTTTTTATTCATCTCTGTTGAAGAGATGACCCTTCTCCTCAGCAAGGTCAACCCCTATACATGGTCCTTTGCTCCCATCCTCTCCTGTGTTTTTCAGCAGATTGCCCCAATGATCATTGCCTGTGTCACTCAGTCCTTCTGTCCCTCCCTTCCTTTCTCTTTCTCTCTTTCTCCATCTCTGTCTTCCTTTAATATTCACTCTCTCCTTATAGTGTCCAGCCTCAGAGACTAACTGTGTGGTCTTGGGCAAGTCACTTAACTTCTGTTTGTTTCAGTTTCCGCATTTGTAAAATGGCAATAATAATAGTACCCACCTCTTAGGATTGTTGTGAGGATCAAATGAAATAGTAACTGTAAAGTGCTTAGCACAGTGCCTGGCACATAGTAAGCGTTATGTAAATGTTTGCTATCATCATCATCATTATTACTATGTTGGTTTCTTTGCCACTGCCTATAAACTTGTCCCCTAGCTGTTAAAAAAAAAAAAAAAAAATCACCAGGCCCTATCATCCCTTCAAGTTATTTCTCTTATTTCTTTCCTCTTTTACCAGCTAAACTCCTAGAACAAAGCTGTTGACCTCTACTGTTCTTACTCTCTTCTCTACTCTTCAAAGTCTGACTTCCAACCCCAGTTACTGTCTCTGGACTTCCTAATGATCTCTTAATTGCTAGATCTGATGACCTTTTCTCAACTTTCATCCTTCCCAATCTCCACGCAGCCTTTGGCAGTGCAGACCTCAGCTCCTGGATACTTACTCTTTTCTGGGCTTTTGTGATGCTACCCTTTCTTGATTCTCCTACCTGGTCACTTCTTTGCGGGTTCATCATCAGTCTCCTGCTCTGTCACCACGGGTGTTCCCCCAGGACCCTGTCCTGGGCCCTCTTCTCTCTAAGCTCTCTTACTTGGTGACCTCACCAACTTCTATGGGGTTTCAGTCACGTCCAACTCTTCATGACTCTATCTGGAGATTCCTTGGCAAAGATATCGGACTAGTTTACCGTTTCCTTCTCCGGCTCATTTTACAGATGAGGAAACTAAGGCAAACAGGGTTAAGTGACTTGCCCAGGGTCACACAGCTAGCAAGTATCAGAGGCCGGATTTAAACTCTCAGGGAGATGAGTCTTCTGACCCCGGTCCTGGTGTTCTATGCACTATGGTGCCACCTGGCTGCCTGTTCCTAACATATGATGTGCCAAATCCTTGACTCTATGCTTTTGTACTGATTTGTCACCCGTGTCTGGAACATAATCCCTCTTTACTTCTTAAAAATCCCTTGTTCTCTTCAAAATGCAGCTCACATGCCACCACCTACGTGAAGTCTTTCCTGATTTCCAGTCCCCCTCACCCCTGCTCCAGCTGCCAGCACCTTCCCCTCCACGGTTGCCTTGTATTTGCTTCTGTATAGTTCTATGTGTACATAAGCTTCTGGGGGGCAGGAATTGTTTCATATTTTGTGTTTGCATCCCCAGGACCTAGCACAGTGCCTGACACATAGTAGGTGCTTGATAAATCTTTGGTGACTGATTATCTGGGACTGATGAATCTGAACAGGGACATTAGGGAGAGAACAGAACCTAAGGTTTATATGCATACATCCAACCTGTAAAACTCCCACCATCACCTAGGCAAAACCTTCACTGCCAGCCTTCCATTAATATGCCCACTTCCTAAGGCATCATGTTGTCTTTTTTGTTGTGACCCCTTTTCTAATTGGTGGTCCTCACTCAGTGTTCATTTTACTGATTTTACTTCTAGAAAAAAAAAGTTCCCATATCAAATTGCTCATCATCTTCGGGAAGGGAGAGATGAAGGAGGTAGGGCGAAAGTTTGGAGCTCAAAATTTTCAAATGAATGTTAATTTGTCTTTTCATGTAATTAGAAAAAATAAAACATTATTAAAATTAAAATTTTAAATTAGTAAATTATTTTATTTAATATTTAAGTAATTGATATTTAATAATTATTTAAATTAAAATATTACTAAAAAAACCAAACCAAATATGTACCCCCAGGAAACTGAATTTGTTATTATGAGCAAGAGCAGATTTCTAAGAAATCTCTTTACTTTAAAAAAGAAAAAAAGAAAGAAAATGTTAAAGGTGAATGAGATGGTCCCAAACCTAGTGTGGGTTTCATTTTTGTTTTGTTCTGACCCAGCCCTGGGACTTATACGTTGCCTACCCTTCCTAAGAAGAGATCAGGCAAATCTGGAGATGCATTATATGGGAAAGGGCTCTCTGTGCCAGCTCTTCTAGCCTTCTCCCATTTTTCTCCCTGGAAGTTTGGTTTCAAGAAGTGGAAGAGTCATGTGACTGCTCGGCCCTGGGAAGACAGACCGGAGATTGTGCGGGAGCTCTATGATGACCTGTATGCCGTCAGAAGCCCTCCTGGTAGGCTGCTGGGGTGGGGAACACAGCTTAGCTGATGGTCCCAACTCAGCCCTAAGAAGGAGCTTAGAGGGTCAGCAAGGGCAAGGCAGAGACTTACTAGCAGTGGGACCATGAAGGAAAGAGAGAATGTGGGCTCCAAAATGAGGGAAGCTGGCATGTATGGTGTGATGGAAACATGGACATGGCCTCATCCAGCGGTTTGTCCTCACGCTCCGCTGTGACCTGTGGGAATGTCTTCTATGTGTTGCTGTTTGGCTGGTGGCTTTCCCTGGTCTACCTCCTCATGTCTGTGCTGATGTTTCTCACCATCCTGGCAGCTCCTTACGATTCGTCTTCCCAAAGGCATGGGCCACCCTCAGATTCCGATTTGGTCATCTCTGCCATAATTTAGTGCAGTGGAGAAAGTGCTAGACTTGGTCAGGGGACCTGGGATCCAATCTGAATTCTCATACCTACTACCTGTGTGACCCTGGGGCCAGTCATTTCCCTCTCTGAACCTCTGTGTTCTCGCCTGCAAAATGGGGATGCTGATAACATTTGCCCCATCCTCCTACACAGGATTGTCGTGTGGCGTTTCATGAACTTGAAAGCCCCTCCATATGCTGGAGTTGCTATTTAGTTCCAGAATAAAACAACTAACAATGGGAGACCCTGGCCTACGATAGAATTCTCAGGGGCCATCCGTACTACTACCACTGCCTCTCTGGTGATTTTTTTTTTTGCTGGGCAGAATTGGGGAATCTGAGGGCTTTGTTATGCAGCTTTCTTCTGCCCCCACTTCAGCCCACTTTTTCCCTGTGACTCACAGAATCCCATATAACCTCAGAGGTCATCTGATCTAACCCATACCTGAACAAGAGTCCCTTCCACAATACCTGTGACAATGCCCAGCCTTAGCTCAAATACCTCCCTCTATCCATCTTCTGAAAAGGAAGGTCTTTCCAGAGCTCACTGGGCCCTTACCCTTCCCATTCTCTCTCTCGCCTACAGGGAAACTATGCTGGCACCTTGCTGGATATTTGCTCTGGCCATTTGATAAAGTGATCCAGAAGGTATAGATGGAGAAGGGTGGGGGTAGGGAGGCTGAGGTGGCCGTAGACAGACCCAGGCGATGTTGTGGGACGGAGGAGAGTGGGAGAGTGTGAGAGAGAAAAGCCCACCTTAGGAGTTGCCAAGGGTGTTTAGAAAATTAGTCTTTTGGGGCAGCTAGGGGGCGCAGTGGATAAAGCTCTGGCCCTGGAGTCAGGGGGACCTGAGTTCAAATGTGACCTCAGACCCTTGACACTTACTAGCTGTGTGACCCTGGGCAAGTCACTTAATCCCGACTGCCTCACCAAAAAGCAAAAAAAAAAAAAAGAAAAGAAAATTAGTCTTTGTAGGCAAGACACACCTACCTCTTTCCCCCAGTAAGGCTATGTGAGGCCTAGCTTGGGGTTTCTAGGAAGGGCTTCTGATTCCTTCTCCATTATTTCATGTTGAGGGGCTGGATCTGTACATGTGTGAAGTCTGTGAGGCCTCTGATGGCTCCTGTTCCTTGTGGGCACAAATATCTTCCCATACACATACACTGTTTCTTTCTAAATAGCTGGTCAATGGGTTGCCTGAAACCCTGACGTACTAGGTACCTCGGCCATACCCAAAAGTGCTCCTGGCCTCCTGATTTTTTAAGTAAATACTGTTTTTTGTTTTAGGTTCCTTCTCCGACTTCCCTTTTTCTTCTTCCAGAAGCCTTTCTCCCTTAGGTTGTGCAAGGATGCCAGTAACTGTGACTCTGAACTGGAGAGCAGCCCACTTCTCGGTCATCCTGATGGGCCACTCAGGGCTCATAAAGTGTCCTCCAGCCACCCAAAATGTAGTCACTGGGTAAGCCTGTCCTCTTGTGCTTCCCCTCCCCTTCTCTCTTCAACCCTGCCACTCGAGATACGGGCATCAGGGACTTGGAACTTTTCTATCCTCTTTCTGTGCCTTCCGTATCAACACGTTTTTTTGAGCTGTGTGGTTTTTTTCTTGATTTGGTTTCCTTCACTGCCTCCAATTGTCTCCGTTATGAACTGGGACCAGAATAAATATTTTCAATGGAATAAAAGGCAACTAACTATTATAGGTTGTTTTAAAAGGCAGTGACTTAGAATCTTTGCTTCTTCTCCATGAAGACCCAAGGATCTGTGAGGACAGGGTCCGACAAAGCTTCAGGATCCCCCATGTGAGTTGTTGGCATGGGATGGAACAGCGTGAGTGGGTCATTTCCTTCTTGGTCTTCTCTTGCTAGTTTCGAGTCAGCATGGACATCTGGCTTTTCCTGGGTTACCCTGTCTTGGTCATCATTCACAGCCTAATCTGCTGCTTCTCCTGGCTCCTGGTGTTCATTGCCAAGATGAATGCCAGGATGGTGGCCAGGATCCTACTGGCAGACCCAGAGCAGGTGCGCGTGCAGGCGATAAAGGTGAGGTGTCCTTGGATGGAGGGGAGAGGGCCACACCTTCCTGGGAGGGTATGACCTCTAATAGCTCTCTGGGACTTGGGACTGGAAGGCCAATGTCACTTGGGCAGATGTGGGTATAGGCAAATGAGCAACATTGGCTCAGACCACATCATTTAGTCCTTAAGGCAGTATGGTAAGAATGGAAGGGAAATCAATTAGGAATCAGAAAAATCTAGATTCAGATCACTTCATACATCTTACAGATGAGGAAACTGAGGTCCCAGAGAAGTTCAGTGTCTTTCCCAAGCTCACAAAGGCAGTAGGCAGCAGAGGCAATATTTGAACCCAGGACCTCAGCTTGATGCTGGGCTGAGTTCCACATGTAACTAGGATCTGAATTTGCATCTTGTTGAAGGCAGAGGAAAATCTGATTTTCAATTGTTATTAATTCTTTATTGGTCTTTCTCCACACCTCTCCAACTCCTGTGGTAGGGAGCCCAGGATGATGGTAGCTAGAGTTGGAAGGGGCTTGTAGGTCACATCTAGTCTACCCCAACCCCCATTTACAGTTGGGTAGAAGCCAATGGCTGGAGAGGTTAAAGTGGCTCGGCCAGAGTCCTGCAGCTCACTAGTGGCAGATGCGAGACTAGACCCCGGGCTCTCTGACTCGGAAGTGGAAGGGCAGACACATACCTGGAATCTCACTTTCCCCCAGAAGCCCACTCTTAGGATAAGAGGTACAAAAAAAGAAGATCCTATCAGAAGTCTCTGGGACTTAAGGCTCGAATAACTTAATGGATCTTACAGGCCATTTTGTTTTCATAGAATCATTGGAAGTTGAAAGTAATGCTCAAATCCCAAAGGACCCAGCCAGCCCAAGTCCAGCTCTGGCTCCTGCTGCCCGCTTCTATCATTCCCTCACAATGCTTGCCTTTTTTGGTCAAAAGGAAAATAACAGCCCTGCATCGACATTCCCTGCTTCTTTCTAGGACCATTTTGCTCTATGCAAAAGGAAGTATGGGGTGGGAGTAGGGGAGGAATATCCCATCATGGCATTCAATGAATCAGGGAAAGGTCTGAGACCAGATCCATACCCGACTCCATATGCTCCAAAGGGTTGTAGGAGGGACAGATTGGGTGGGATGTTGCGAAAAATAGGCCCAATTGTAAATAGCCCATCAGAAGAAAACCTGCCCTTCTGAATGTCTTCCGTTACCCCACTTTAGACAGAGGCACCTCTGGACACTGACACGCTTCTGTGCTGCTGTCGTGCAGCTAACTGCTATTACTACAAGTATACAGTGGATGGTGTTAACGTCTTTGCCATTAGTATCCTTTGCCACGTCAAAGAGAAGACTCATAAATGCCATTTCTCCATGGCAGCCCTGTGGCTGGAAATAGTGGGAAAGGATAAACTGAATCTGGGAAGAGGAAGAGAACAGTGGTGAATGAGGGAGACTTGTCTAGAAATAGAAAGGAGCAAGACTTTGGCAATGGAGGTCTCCTGTACGTGGTCCTGCCCTTCCAGGAGCAGAAGAAGCTTCTATGAGACTTAGTCCATGGTTGGGTGGTGTGGGGCACCAGTTATAACAGCCTGAGATGAGGGGAAAAGATTGAGGGAGGTGGGGAGGAGACTATCTAATGTTCACTACAAATGAAGGTCTATCCCATGCCATAATCAACAACAGTTTTTCAATTTTTCAGGAGTGCCCTGCCCTACAAAACCGTGAGGACAGGGTTGGAGTTGGTCCAAGCAAAGAGCCGTGCAAACCTTGACCACAGTAGTTGTCACTGATAGGCCGGCTCTAAGGCATCCTGGCTTCAGATGGAGCAGGCTGCCTTGGTAAGTGATGAATATTCCGCGGCCACAGGCCAGAGGGTCTTAGCTTTAGAGCTGGACAGGGGCCTTGGAGGGTATCTAGTCCCTGTTACTTAGTGGTTTCAGTTTATTTCTCCATCTTGTCATTGGGACTTGATAAACAGTCATACTGACAATGACATCATTCTTTTTTCAGATGAGGAAACTGAGGCCTACAGAGATCAAGCGATTTGTCCAAGGTCACACAGGGACCTTCAAGCGTGGGCCTTGAACCCAGGTTCTGTGACTCCAGAGTAGGTACTCTTCTCACTCTATGACAATACTCAAATAGAGGTTGAATGACTTGTCAGAGGTATTGTAGCAATTTATGCACTGGGCAAGGGTTGGACCAGTTGCCGTCTATGGTCCTTTCCAGCTTGGAGACTGTCTGATTCTTTGATGAATGCAAGTGACCCAAAAATGTCAAAGTTTCTTGCAGTGACCTTGGCACAGCTGTTTGCGAGGAAAGATGGTGTGGTGTGGTTCGGCTGTACCGAACTCCTCGGAGTGCCGCGTCGCGTCCCCGGCGAAGCGACGAGGGATGGTGGCTTCCAGTCCTATTTTTGTCTCGGTTCCCAGCGTTTCAGCTCAGAGCACTTTCGCTGTGGGTGCCGTGGTGAATGCCACATTTGGTCCCATTGTCGAGCTGACGTTTTACATCGCTGCGCTAATCAGGGCAGCCCAGGAAGGGAACAACTGCTATGAGGTGGTGAAGTCTGCTCTAACGCGCACCGTGCGTCCTACTTGCACTGGTGAGCCTTGCTTCTCTTCAGAACCAGGTGTGGAGGGCTCCAGCAGCCTGGGAAGGACATGGACCAGGTTTGGAATTCTCACTTGGCTTATGAAAAAGTTCCTGTCCCAATCCCTGAGCCCAGGAAAGATGAAGGATCCTGAGAGGTTAATTCTGGCTTCTCTGCTCTTCCATACATCACTTCCCTCTCCATGCCCTCCCTCCAAAACATGCTCATAGGCTTATATCTCTGGAGCTGGAAAAGCCCTAAGAAGTCATAGGATTCAACTCCCTCGTTTTTCAGATGAGGAAGCTGAGGCCCAGGGAGGCTAAGTGCCTACCCTAAGATCACACAGGCAGTAAGTAGGAAAGATAGGATTGAAAGCCTAATCCTCTAACCCCAGAGTCAGCCCTCTTTCCCTGTACCATGCAGCCTCTCCTTAAAACCAGTCTGCAAACATTAATTCATTCAAAAAATGTTTATTGAGCACCTACTATGTACAAAGCATTGCAGGGTGTACTAAGAAAATGAAGATGCCATTGCTCTTCTCACATAGATTACAGCATCTTTTGAACATGGAGAGTATTATAAGCTTCAAAACTTCCTAGTCCTTCCTATGGACCCTGAGGGTCCATCTCCTGATCCCCTATAGAGCTCTACCTTTGATAGGAGGGCAACAGGTACCCCTGTTTACTCTGCTTGTACTGTGTCCTATTCAGAGGATGTGCTCCTGAAAACTAGTGTTGTTTTTGTCATTCGGATCTGCCTGTAAGAGCCATAGAAGATTTTTATTTTAAAAATATGCCTCATTCCAACTCTGTGATCTAGGTGGGATGGCCTCCTACTTGGTCTACCTTCCCACTCTCTACCTCCAGCCCCTAAGGTCTAACTGGTCTCTTGTAGGTAATAGTTGTAACACAAGGGTGCTTCCTTTCTGATAGCTGATCAGTTCTATTCTCAATTTTTCTGGCGATGGAAGCAGGTAAGGGAGATGATCTACATGGGTCTTTTGCTTCAGGAGAGAAATCCATGTTAATGAAAAACTTGAGAGCCACTGCCCTGGAGAACTTGCATTTGAAAGCAGGGGTTCTGAACTCTGGTCTGTGAGCTTGTTTTTCTTGACTAATATTTTGCTAATTGTCTTGTTTCTATGTATTGTTTTATATATTTAAAAAAAAAACATGATTCTGAGAAGGGGTCCATAGGCATCCCCAGACTGGCAAATGGGTTCTATGACTTAAAAAAAGATGAATAATTTTAATTTAGAGCAGAAATTGTCTTACTTTGCTATTTATATTCCCAGCACTTTGCACAATAAATGCTTTATTCATCGATTTAAAGGAAAGTGGCCATGAGGCCTTTTGTAAGACCAAGGAATCCTGTTTTGATAATCATTTATATTAAAAAGCTCACCATCAATGTTCCCAGATATGGTGGGAAGAGGTCAAGCTATGACCTGATGATGCAATAGCTTTCTCTAATTTGGATAAATTCAGATTTTTGTCTGACACAGTTTTGTTTTGTTTTTTCCCCAAATTGGGCTTGCCTCTAGTGAAATGGCAGGTGCTGAAAGTTGCATTGGTTAACACAGCTGACTAAATCACAGCTGCATGACCAACTCTTTCCTTTGCAATCCTATCTCCTACATATATTCTGTGTCAAAGATCTCATCCATTCCCATGGAGTCAATCCTCAAAACCACAGTAAACATTTGTTAAGTGTGTACAAAGTATGGGGACAGGAATCATAGAAATTTAGGTAAGACATGGTCCCTGCCCACAGGACTTTGGAAATGATAAAGTACCAACAGTCCTTTGTCTTTCTCTAATGTACTTTATGTAATTTTGTACGTCACAGTTATGTGAGGTCCAAGGTGAGGAGCCTGGGAGGGAGAAGGTCGTCATCAGTCCATTTTCTGGGAGAGATGACATTTGAGTTGTATTTTAAAGCAGAGGTGTTAGACTCACAGTGGATACAAAACTCCCTCCTACAGGCCCAAACCAGATTAAAAATGCAATTGGGAATATTTAACAAAATAAATAAAAATGTAATATAACATAGCTAATGGTAATTTTCAGGTTTTTAAGTCAATATGTGGTCTGCAAAGATAACACCACTGCTTTTAAGTATGGGTAGGAATTACACAAATAAAGGGGAGGGCAGAAAGACTCCAAGCATTGGGAAGGAAAAGACAGCCCTGAAAGCAAAATTTAAGCATGTAGGAGGAAGGACATTAAACAGGGAGGAAGAATAGTCTAATTTGGCTAAAGCATTGAGTGCATGGGGAGGAGCAGTATGAGAAATCTGCTGCCAAATCATGGAGGGTGTTAGGGAGCCACTGAAGAATTTTGGGTAGAGAAGAAATAGGAACAAATCAATAAATCTAATAAGCAAGAGGAATAAATCTAGTAGATTATTTTGGCAGTTACATGACTTGAACAGGAGAAAGCAGGAAAGGAAGTGACTGTAACAATCCAGGTGGGTGGGAATGAGGTGTGACACCAGGGAAGCAGAGGGAAGTGACGTGTTGTGGGAGGACAGTCAACCCACAAGTCTTGGTACCTGACTGGACGGGCGAGGGAGAGAAAGAGAAGTAGACGTTAGTGAATACTGGTGAATGGTGGTGCCACCAAAAAAGGCGAGTCAAAAAGAGGAGAAGGTTTTAGGAGGTAAGATAATTAGCTCAGGTTAAAAACGTTAAATGTGAAGTGCCGATAAGATAGCAAGGTGAAAGTTTTCTCTAGGCAGTTATAGATGGAGGTCTGGAGTTCAGAAAAGAGATGTAACTGAATTCACTTCAATAAGTGATGGCGATGTGCTAGGCATAGGGGATACAAAGGAAGCAGTGAGAAACAGGCTGTCATTCTAATGAGCTATTTTCCAAGTCTTAGAAAAAACTGCAGATTAAACATTATTTCTCACAGGCCAAAGTGAAACTTTGTGAACTTACGGGTTCCCTCTTTCTGGAGGGCCTCAAACCGAGGCTGGATGACATAAAATGTAGGAACCGCCTTTTGTTCAGGTTTGGCTGGAACTAGACGTCCTCTGGGGAATCTTACAATCACCTAGGCTTAAACCATCAGTCTTGGCTCTTCCTTAATATTATTCACATTCACATTCAATGAGTGTGGGAGTCCTGTCAATTCTTCCATTCTGTTTCTCTTATCCACCCCTTCCTCTATGGCAGGTGTCCAATTTGTCAAAAGTCTCAGCAAAACTCCCCAGCAGCTTAAACCAGATTAAAATGTTTAACGAAAGAAATTCAAAAAATACAGCATAGATAATGTTCATTTGTGCTTTTCCAGGTCAGTTTGCAGCCCTCAAGGATCTGTTTCTATTTGAGATGGACACTCCTGCTCCATGGGACCCTGGTTCAGGCTCTTACTGACAGGATCATAGCTTTAGGATGGGAAGGAACCCTTAGAGGCCATCTGGTCAAATACCACTGTTTCACAGATGAGGAAACTGAAGTTCAGGGAGGTAGGTGACTTAACCAAAACCTCACAGGAAGTGAGTGGCAGAGCTGGGACTTCAATCCAGGGCCTTGAACTCAAAATCCAGTGTACTTTCCACTGACCAATGCCACTGTACTGTTAAATACCAGCCTCTTACAGGTCTCTCTGGCTCCCGCCTCTTCTCCCTGTATCCCAGTCCCCTGAGCATATCACTAGATTAACTTTCCTAAAACACATCCCTCTCATGCTCCACATCCTGCCCTGGCTCCCCATTGTCTAAAGTTCAAGTTCCCTAATATGATATTCAAGGTCATCTACAACCTGGGCTCTTCTCTGGCTGCTTCCTTTTATGCCTGCCTGTGATTCTGGTCTGACCCTAGAGTTGCTGAGAGAAATCAGATTGTGTCTGTGGCACTTGTGTTGATGCCTCCGTCATCTGTGTTCGTGGGAAGAAGCTAGACTCATGCATGTGTGCCCATACCCAGACCCAAATTCTCCTCTTCCTTTCTCTTCGCCTGCTGATCTCTCTCTTCCTTTTGAAAATAGGCCATGTGGGTGGCAGCCACACAGAACTCATAAATCAGATTCTTTGTGGATTATCAATAGCTTGACCATCAGGCATGTCCTGGCTGGGCCTGGAGCTGGGCGAGCTATCTTGGAAGTGTTGGCTTTCCCTAAAGACCTGATTGGTGTCCCTGTTTCAGTTTCTTCACTTTAAAATCCATCATCTGCAGAGTTTCCAAAAGAATCTTCCTAAAGCACGGTGTGGCTCTGCTTAAGCTTCAGTGACTCCCTATCATTTCTAGGATCACATACAAACTCCTTACCCTGTTATATTTTCAAACCTAAGGTGTTCTAGTCAAACCAGCCTACTTTCTGCTCCCCAAACTAGGGATTCCATTTCCCACCTCCCTACTTTTGCATAAGCTATCCCCCATCGGTCAGCCAGGCACTCAGCTTTCTGAATCCAGAAGCCTCCTTTGAGCTCAGGTCAGTTGCCACCTCCTACAAAAGGCCTTTTCTGTAATGTTTTCTCTCCCTCCTCAAATTACCCTCCATTTATTTATCTCTGCTTGCTGTGTCCCACTGAAGAATGTGAATCTCTGTAAGGTAGGGATGGCCTAGTCTCTGGCACAGAGTAGGCACCTAAGAAATGTTTGAATTGAATCAAGCTGAGCTAACCCTCCATTTTTACAGGGTCTCCATTTATCCTTGAATTAATGGATTTTTCACTAGTAATTGCTTTAGAGGACATACTCCTACACCACTGACCTTTATAGTGCTAAAATAGGAATACCTGACATTTGATTTGAGCAGATACTCAACAAATGATATGCACCTGTTTTATAGGGGGCACCATACTGAGTCCAGTCCATCAGCAGGCATGGAAGAACTATTGGCTTTGGCAACTACTTGGCCAGAAGAGATGCTTAACTAGTGCTCATCAGTTTACTGTGGTGGGTGAGGAGGAAGGGAAGACAAAGCCATAGTCAGAGACCAGAGCCCTGCTGTAGCTTTCCTCCTTTTGTACAGAGACAGTCCATAGCAAAAGTGGAGGAGCAGGGTGGGTGGAGTTTGAATGAAAACTTTTCTAGTAGAAAATCAGTAGATCAAAGTTCAAATGCTACTCCTGTTACTTACTACTCATGTGTACCCTTGGGTCTCAGCCTTTCATCTGGAAAATGAGAAAACTGGGTTAGACAAATGATCCCTAAGGTTCCTTCCAGCCTAAAATCTGTGATCTGATGATGCTGATATTTCCAGGGTCTCTGCATGGTGATAGGAGCAATCCACCACCCTAAACAGAAGTTTAACAACTGGTCAGTGGGGGTCAGCTCTGCACTGCTCTTCCTGTCTGTGGCAGGTAAGCCAGGGATGTATGGGGTGGGGGTCAAAGTATCCCACAAAGAACAATGGCAGAGAATATCTGGGATGCATTTACCTGGTTTAAATTCTGGAAACAATGTACCAACACCCCAGATTGGGGGGGTGAGGGTGGGAAACAAAACTAAATTCAATCAGGTTTAGAGGGTGCTTAGGGACAGCTAAGTGGTACAGTGGATAGAGATCTGGGCCTGGAGTCAGGAAGACTCATCTTCCTGAGTTCAAATGTGGCCTCAGACACTTCCTAGCTATGTGACCCTGAGCAAGTCACTTCTCCCCACATCTGGAAAATGAGCTGAAAAAAGGAAATGGCAAACCACTCCAATATCTTTGCCAAGAAAACCCCAAATAGGGTCACTAAGAGTCAGACATGACTAAAAAACAACTGAACCTCAACAACAGAAGGCGCTTAAAAGCATATACAGGAAAGCCGAATAAATCTTTTTCTAAGGCCTTGGAAGTAAAACTCCCGTGTTCTCTGATCTGATTTCCACTCCCTTCTCCTCCTTCCTAATGTAATGGTGACTAAGGGAGAACCTTCAAGCCAGAGGCAAGTTTACAAGTCATTCAGTCCAGCTCCCCCAACCACTCCCCTTTTGCAGATGAACAAGTTGGAAGGGCAAAGGTGACTTGCCCAAGGTCACACGGGTTTTGATTATGAGTTTGGGGCTTTTTTTCTACAGTTGCCCCTTTCTTCTCTCAGGAAGGGGAAGCCTCCTCTGTTAATATAGGAAGCTTGAAGGCTGCTCAAACTTTATTCCCAGAAAGAAAGCCTGGACCTAAAAAACCTTAAATGGCCCCAGATGGGCTCAAATCTCAGGTTTCACTTAACTGCAGCCCTCGATTCCTACTTCCTGTCTTTACTTAGTCCTTACTTTTACCCTAATAAATGGCAATTTCTTAGATTCTTGAGATTTTAGGTCCTTAATGTGCTGAGCTCCTTTTACAGAGAATAGGGTACCTTGCCCTTTGAGAGGTAGCTGGCTGGCCAAATTGGAAGGCCATCATGACTTTGGGACCAGTGATAGAATTTGTTTGACCCTGGAGAAGTCTAGAGAACTTGTTCTGAGCCTTCAGGTCTCGGGCATCAGCAAGTATAGTGACCAGAAGAGTGAGGTCTCGGAATCCTATGTATCCATGAGACCTGACGCTAATTTCCTGACTGCGGCAGGTGTGATTGCCCTGATGTTATTCTCCAAGGTCTATGGGAGAATGATCTGTGGAGAGTGCCAGAACATTACCCCGGACCTCTCAGGAAGCTATCTGTGCCACAGCTGCCCATTTGACTTGGTAGGTAGAATGTCCTGCCCTGAGTTTCCCTGAGGCCAGCAAGACAGTAGGATGGAACCCAGCTAAGAAAACCTCATAAAGTACTAAATATGTACCTATATGTAGTACTGAAACTATTATGGGGGAAGAGGGGAGGGGAATGGAGAAAAAGGTAAATGCTGAACTAGGAAATAGAATTCCTGGAGTCTTTTTCTACTACTACTCAACTCCCTGTGTGACCTTGGGGAAGACTAAAATCAGTTTTCCCAGGAACACTCTCACGAATGATTGGTTATGGGCACTGCTAGCTTTTCTAACAGGGTTTAAGGACCCTAGAGGAGATGGTATATTAGACAAAGTAACTGGGTAGTCAACTAAAGTGTCCCTCAGCTCCTAGGTTTTTGAGGGGCCATAAATAATATAGGAATTCAGAGAGAGGGCTAGAATAATCAGGGGAGACTGTGGTAGAATTTAGATGGGGACCATTATAAACTGCATTCTAGGCAAGATTAATGAGAGTAAGGGAGTGGTGGACATGGAGATGAGTGTGGTGGGTGTATTGAAGACAGAACCACCCGACTGGAGTGAAGGATGCATTAGGCATCACTGGGAAAAGTAGAACTGAGGTAAGTCTGAGCCAGGTCATAAAGGGCCTTAAAAGAATTCTGGTATTCTGCTCAGAACAGCAGAGTATTGTTCTGGGCTTCATGTTTTAAGCCCAACAGTGACAAACTGGAGCACATTCAGAATAGGGCAAAGCGTGTCATGAGGATTGGTAAAAGGAAATAAGAATGTTTAGCCTGGAGAAGAGAAAACTGAGCATATTCATCTGAAGAAAACCTTATCCCATTATAATTTCTCTCCTCCCTAGCCTTTCTTTGTGTACTTCTACCCCCAAACCACTCCAGGCTCTACAAACTCTAGGGTCTCTGTAAGGCCCTGTAACGAAGCAAGCCCAGTGGAAAAACTGCCAAAGGGGAAGGATTTCCTAATCTTCTCATTTTGTATGGAAAAAATTCTCCCAAGGCAGTAGCTTCCCTTACCGATCGCCCTAGCTCTTTAAGAGTTTTGGTCAACCTCGTACTGAAACCAATATCCTAAGGATTATATCACTGCCTCCCTAAAGTTTACAATCCAATGAAGATTTCAGACTTCATCCTTTATCTATCCCTTTTCGTGTTCCCCCCAAGGGTAGGTTCTCCAAGTGCCAATCCTCTTTTGAGGCGGTCATCTCTTTATGTGAACTGGGCTAAGCAGGCGGCAGGGACAGGAGGATAAGTGGAATGAACGAAATGAGCCAGAGCCCAGACTCGATCCTGGGGAAGCACGAGAATCTTTTTGGGGGAAACATAAGACATAACTTGGACATGATGGAATAGCTCTTAAGGGTAATAACCCCTGTCCATCTGATTAATGGCTCAGGTCTGCCTTTCAGATGGAGAACAATGGAACTCTCTACTATAGCCATGTGCAGTAAGTATGACCTTGACCCTATGACCAGAGGGGAACCACTACTGGTTTTCTAGGATCGGGAATCTTTCATAACCAGTATCTGACTGCTTTGCCCATATCCCACCTGCTTGGCCCAAACACTTGGGACATTCTAGAAAGAACTGACTAGCCTTGTGACCCCTCCCTTCTCTGAGCTTCAAATTCTTCTCTAAATTGGGAATGTGTGCTACCTGCTTTGTAAAGTGGTTGTGAGGTGTGTGGAAGAGGCATTGAATTTGGAGCCAGAGGGCCTGTTGAATCCTCATCTGTGGCATGCTACTTGTATGATTTTTGTCTTATCTACCTCTCTGGGTCTCCCTCAGTTTCATCTATAAAATAAGGGGAACTGAAGTAGACATATTTTAACATTCCATGGACCTATGACTTGGAGATTCTCTCTCAAGAGGGCTTCATTCTTTATGGTCCCCCACAGGTAATAATAATGTGAATTATTTATTATTGGCCCAGTGGGAAATGGGCAGATGGGATGGAAAGAGGTTCTGAGAGTTGGAAAAGTGACTCATTATAACGGAAGTACTGATGTTAATTGTTATTTGTGGTGGCATCATACCAGCTGTGATATGGTGGCACTTGAGGCTGAGGTTTTCTCCTTCTAAACCAGCATACCTGCCTATTTCTGCTGTTGCGTCTCTCTGTATTTTCTTTGCCTTTCCCATCCCCAACTAGCTATGTCTTGCAGACATGGGCTCAGTCTCCTTGTCATTCTCACAAGACCTTCTCCCTTGTGGGACGAAGATATTAGGGTCCTTGCTGGGGCTGTTGGCCTCTGCCTTCTCCCCCTTCAACACAACATTCCGTTCCAGGCCCTTGGTATACATGGTGTCTCTCCTCCTCCCTGCTGCCTACCTCGTGGTCCTCCTCTTCACCCTGAAGACTCGCTCTCACATCTCTGACATCCACATCAGTGACTTCCCTTGTGAGTTGCTCGATGGTTAAAACCATCCTTCCCTTTGGCTTTTCTCTACATGGACCAGAGATTAGCAAGAAATTAACCAAGTTTCTCAGTTATGAAAGTGGTAGGAAGGGGGACAAACCATTTCACTTGGCAGAACCTGAGGGGGCTCCTGCACCTGGACTGTTATGCCCCTTATGATTAAATTGTTCAAGTTGAGAGTGGTGTTCTCCTTGCCCATCCCCTCCCCAAATCCCTGAAGCAGCAGAAAGGTGAACTCTGGAGGGACACTGGGGTCCACAAAGTTGAAGAGAGGAAAGAGTTTAGAGAATCTACAAGGGGCAATAACTGTTAGTCTTAAGGGTTTCACTTCAGTCTTCTCCCTCCTTCCCTCTACTCGTCCCTACCAGTGCCTGGGCACCATCATGGTGCCGTGGTTCACTGGCCCCGATGGCACGCGCTGCTCTTGCTGCTACTGTCCACCCTTTGCATGTCTGCCTGTGCTGACCTGACCACAGAGCACATCAGCCCCATTCTGGAGAGTTCCACCGTGTCCCAGGTGAGTTGGTATCTCCTGCCAGCTTCATTGTGGAGGCAGTGGCTCCATTCAGACAGACAGCCAGTGTTGCGAGGAGGGTCTATATAAGGAAAAAAATACTAGGCTGAAACGGAGACCAGGGTTCTAATTCTGACTCAGCTCAAAACTCACTGGGAGTTTTGAGTCTTCAAATCACTCTTGTCCCTCTTCTCTCAGAGGGGAGTGGTAATACCCAACATGCTCATTTCATAGTCTTGTTGGACCTGATATGATGCTGAAAAGGAATAAGCCCTCCACCTATTCACAATATCTATCATAAAATTCCATACATGAGGGTGACTGTTCCCATCATGTTCCTATCCTTGCCGGGCTCAACCAAAGCTCAGAGCCAGAGTAACGGATCCAACTTTGCTTTTACCCCAGACATTACCTTCTAGACTTGGGGCTCAGTATCTGTATCTTCTCACCCCATCCCCTGCCCAGTGGGGCTGCCTCAACTGCCTAAAGTAGCCCTTTTGAATGGTAGAGTTTTCCCTGTTGAGACTAAAGGCACTACTGCCATTGCCCTCTGAATGGGTACATCTGGGGCTTGCTGCCTTGGCCTAGGACTGCTGGGTATAATCTGCCCTGACCAAGTTAGTCAAATTTCTTGGTCCAGTCCAGATGCTAGTGCTCGGTTGCTTTTTAGAGATTTTTCTGTAGATACAAAAAAGATAGCAAGTTGTGGTTCAAGTGATTTTCTCTTTTCCTTCTCCCAGTATTTTGTAGGAGTAACTGTACTTGCCATGGTGCCTGAATTGCCTGAGATGGTCAATGGGATTCAGTTTGCCTTGCAGAACCACCTGAGTCTTAGGTGAGGATGCTATCCCTGCAGGGGTGGAGGGGCAGGGCAGAGCAGAGGATAGTCAGTAGGTAGTGCTGGACTCCTGGCAATAGTCTATTTCCCACAGGCCAAACACACACTGTTAGAGGTGTCCTGTAGAATATACTTCCCTAGTCCTTCCTCAGCTGGAGATCTTGTGACTGAAACCAGCATCAACATTCCAGCTAAAGAACTCTCAGCTTGAAGTAAGCAGAAGAAAGCTTTGTTAATGGAACCGAAGTATAGTAGGAAATACCTTCAAATAGCTTTGAGGTCCAGGCATATTATAAAGCTGGCTAGAGAGTAGGGAAGCCAGATTAGCCAAGGAAAGAGGTAGACTGAAATGAGACAGATGGTTCTCTCTGATTAGGCAGTATGACCTAATAAAATGAGAAGAATGATCTGGATTTTAATCCATTACCTAGCTGAGTGAACTAAGGCAAGTTACTTAACTTGTCTAAGCAAGCCCCAGTTTCCTTATCTGTAAAATAGGATTGGAATGGAGGTCTTTTCTAGCACTATGATTCTGAGTACTCTGTAGATAAGGTCATTGATGGGTCGCAGCTATTTCAGAAGGAAATGAGCTCTGGCTGTCACCTGGGGGTACAATTCAAGCACTGTGGGAGCTGTACTCCTCAGGTAGATACTTTCTCCATGGACAGGGGAAGAGAAGCCCTCAAGCACAAGGGAAGCATCCAGTCACGTTGCCCAAAAAGCCCTGTTGTTTTGAAGTGAAGAAGCCCTTCTGCTCTCAAGCTGTTAATTTTGCAGATTAAAAAGTAAAACTTTCTGTGTCCCTGGCAGAAGATAGCTTTGAAGCAGTAAGGACTAAGAAAAGGCTGGTATAATAACACTGTGAACAGAGGGTCAGAAAATCTGGGTTTGACTCTCAGGGTGATTTTCTGGGGAGTCTTTTTACACCTTTGGGCCTGTAAAAGGACTAGGTGATTTTTAAGGCCTCTTTTCAGTCAGGGGCATGGGGCACTGATTGCACCTACACCTGTGGCCCAGCTCACCTGGACAGGCACACCTTTCTTCCAGCTTCCTTTTTGACCACCTCACAGTCGAGAAACTCTGCCTATTCTTCAAGTGACTTGATCCCTTTTCTTTTTTTGACACACCAAAAACCATCTGACACTTATAACTTGACCTCTCTTTTTTTCTATCTCCCATTCCAATTCTTTCTTTTAGCATTGAGATTGGCAGCTGCATTGCAGTACAAGTCTGTATGCTGCAGATACCTATCCTGGTGCTGTTCTCTATCTTCTATGTAAGTCAACCGGGGAGTGCAAAGGATTTTCAGGGGGTCACTGACTTCGAGCACTTTGTGGAGGTGTATGCTACTCTCAGGAGTCCAATGGGCCTCCCTTGGGAGATAGGACACTTGAGTGTCTTCTGTGGACATTCATTCAACCCTCTGGAACACCCTTTGCTTGTGAGTAGATTAGACCCAGTAGTTCTTGGTTATCTTTTATAGTTACCTTGGACTTTTTCCAGATTTACATGTCCACTAAGGAAGGCTATCAGAAAGCACAGGGCACTCCTCTGCCTCTGTGCAAGAATGCTGATGAATTACTGAGACCTCTCTTGGATTGGAAGGGACCCACATAACTCAATGTGCCTGGCCTATTTCCCCACCTACAAAATGAAGATGACAGCATGTTACCATGCGAATAAAACGTGATGGCTGAGATGATATAAAGGGTTATGACAGAAAGAAAGAACACTGGATTTGGGGGGTCAAAAGATCTAGATTTCAATTCTGGCTCTGCTCCTAAGTAAGTGCCTTTTATGACCTTGAGCAAGTCAGAATGTTCATCTTTTTGGGCCTCAGTTTTATCTGCAATATAAGGAAGGTTGAAGTAGATCTCCAGAATCATTTTAAAACATGGAAGCACTCTGGGAATTGGGAAGTGTTTTAAAAGGGCTGTTAAAAAAGGGACCCCCTGTGGTCCTAAGCCCTCCCATCCTCATTACAAAGTTAAATTACCAGTAAGTTATTCTCTTCAGCCAACATGATTTACGCTGTTCTTCAGTGACCTTCACGTCTATGCCACCATGTTCAGTGTCATTCTCATGAATTATATCTTCATGGATGGCAAGTGTGACTACTTTCAAGGTACGTTTGAAGGGGAAGGGAGGAAAGTACATACAGGTAACCCTTGTATGGTCCTAGCTATTAGAACCTTTTTAAGTATGAGGTGCATTTTTCAAAATCCCCTATTTAGTTCTAGGTAGTAGCTCAGAAACTCCAGGTGGGACAGAGATACATATGTCCTAGGTAATTCTGAGTAGGGTAGCCTCTTGAATTGATTGTCCACTTACTTGTGGTGGAGGGGAGCAGCCTCTGTTGAAGGGAGGATATGTTAAGTTCTACTTTAAACTACATGACAAAGAAGGCTCTTAACTAGCCTCCAATTTCCAGGGAAACAGAAAAGTGACTGTTTTCTGAAATGGCTATTACCAAAACTTATTTAAAGTTTTGGTTTTCAGTTTGCTCCCAGGTAGTTGAACTATGAGCCCAAATGTGTCCCTCTCCCTCCTCAGGTACTGTGCTGGTAATGGTCTACTTCCTCCTCCTTGCTGTCTATTTCTTTGCTCCTTCTCCTGCTGGCTGCTGACATCTGCTTCCTATTGGACCTAGCATTTGGCTGCATCAGAGATGACTGGGTATTTCTCTTTGAGGCTGATGGACCTACATAGGTCTTAAGGATTTACCTCATCTGGTTTGAAATCTGCAGAACTACACTGGGAAGCCAGTAGAAGACAATCCAAATCTCTCTCCAACCTTATACCCCTTCTCTCTCTTTTTTTTTACATTGTGGGAACTATTACAGAAACAAAAGCCTTTGTACTTAAAACTTCATTCCCCTTGATTTTGAGGGGGAGGGAAAGAACTTGGCTAATGAGATCTCATTTTTTCTTTGGTCATTTTTGATTCTTACCACATCCAAGGATGAGTCTCCAAAGGGAAAGTGGTAAAATGGTCCCATGTTTTTCAGTCTCAATCTGTTTGTACTATTCTCCTTCCCTACTAAAGTATAGTTACTTTACACAAACTGCAGGTACCAAGATTTTTGCCGTGTCCTGAAAGTGTGAAGGCAGATTAAAGATGAAAAAGGGATCTCTGACCATTTACTCTGCTGCTATAAAGTGACAGCAGAGATAAAACCACCCTCACCTAAAGCCTGGGAAAGCCAATAGCTTTTGCATCTTTGTTTTAAAGAGATAAGCTGTCAAAATAGTAGAGATGCTAAAGTGGTTCTCTCTAGGTAGAAGGAGGAGGATCAGTTACACCGAATTCCCTTCTCCTTCACACATCATAAACTCACATGCTATTCAGCAAACACAGATTAGAAACTCAAAGGGGGAGGGAGAAAGAAAGGAGGTATAAGACTGTTATCTCCTTATTACCACTATTGCTAATTCACTGAAGACTAGGTATCAGTTGTTTGCTTGCTAGTCCTACAAGATGAGGACACTGCTTCAAAAGAGATTCATTTCAACAAAACAAAAATTTGAGCAGTCTATGAAGTTGGTTGTGAAGCTGCTTTTTCACTGATTAATTTGATGGAAATTATTTCCCTATTCAGGGAAACTTAGGTAATTGATATTGAGATAAGATAAAAGGGGGTTTGCACTGACAAAGAAAACCAAATGGAAGAAGAAGGAAGGGGATACCTGAATGTCCTTGGAGGTGGTATGTAATGTGTTCTGAAAGGATGAACAAAATTAAGTCTGAAACATGTAGATCTGCTTATGGAAAGCAGTACTTTACCAAGGGTATCAAAAGCCAAGTTATTCTATGGCCCTGACCAAAAAACTTTCAGGCAGCACTATTTTGATGGTTCCAAATTACCTTGGGCAGATAGCAGGGTCAAGGGTGGGATGAGTTATGACAAATATTAGCCTTCATTCCATCACCCAGAAATGGCAATTCTGGTGAAGAAGAGGGTATGTCCTTTGGTACTGTGTCTTATTAGTACCTGCTAGTACACACTGATTATATGACTATTAAATTTATTCCCCTTCACGATCCATAGGGAACCTTAAAATTAAGGATCACATAGATGAGGTGTAAGAGGTAAGCCCAAGGTTAAAAAGGAAGGCTGGGACAACTGGACTAGCTCATTAAAGTTTCTAGGCTTCTCCTCTGATTCTAACCTCTCACGTGACAAGGAAGGAGGGAACCATGCTAGGAACTGATTAGCAAATATTTGGGGCTAGGTTAATATAAGCTGGGAGGAGAAAGGGGAAAAAAAGGACAAAAAATTAGAGCTGCTTCTAGGTAGATAAAAAGCAATTGGAAACAGGATTTCTTTCCATATCTTATTAGAATTGAGTGTTAAAATGGGTGGGGAGAGGGGTTCTTCAATGGGAAATCTATCAAAAAAGGGAACACATAGTCAACATACTCATGACTTTCTGCCCCTTCCCTTTACAGGGAAGCTTCATGTTAAGAATCATAAAGAGCTATGTCAGTATCTGATTTGGACTCCTATGAATGTAATCTTAGAATAATCTGGCCAGGGACAGCCACATATTTTGGGGGTAGTGTTCAGTGTTGCATCAAGGTCCCTATCAATATTAACAAAGATGGGTTGTGTACTTTGTGGACTGTACAGTTGAAGCGAAATGAGCTCTATTAAACGCTGTTCCCCCTTAGGATCGTGACTGTAGAAGGGGACAGGCAGAACTAATACTGCTCTATTCAGACCTGGGTAACTGCTTAAACCTCCATGTTTCTACGGAGAAAGTAGGGCCATTTTTCATACAACCAGCTAACATAAGTGAAATGTGGGGACCATGGGCAGCAGTTCTTTTGTCTCTACTTAAGTGTAATCTTATTAAGGTTCTTGCCCTTAGCTGACAGTGAAGCCAATGAGCTACAGAATATAGAAGGGTGAATGTGGTCAAGGTCATTACTTCAATAGTTGCTACTGGCTTAAAAAAAAAAAATTCCACAGACTCCTACCCTTGGTCTCTTGCTTTGTAAATATATCTATGCCCATCACCCCTTCATCTGGTCAAGTGCACTTTGCATTCTTGCACTGACCTAAATTTGTCATGCAGGGGGTGGTATTAGAATCAGGTTCCTGACTCTCCTAAAATTCTTAGCATCTAATTCAACTCACCTCCTCCTACAGATGAGGCAACTGAGGCTCAAAGAAGGTGTGATATCCTTCAAGGTCACACAGTTAGTGGCAGAGTCAGACCTAAAATAGATTAATGACAGCCAACTTTACAGGGTACTTTATATACTTTGTTATTCCATCTCTATCACCGTATGAGTTGGATACTATCAAATTCCCATTTGACAAATGAGGAAACTGAGGCTCAACATTAAGCTGTTTGTCCTTGGTCACACAGCTCATCTTAGAAGCAGAACTCAAAGCTAGGAGCCTCTTATCACTATGTCTAGCCCCCTTTCCCCTTGACCATAGTGCCTCTTTCCCAAGTTTATATTTTCAATCTTTTTCAAACTATTTCCACCATTTTAGTTTTTATATCACAGGATACAAACTAAAATGCTATAACTGGAATGGTCTAAACTGCCAAGTTTTGGAGGGGAGGAGTTTGTTGGTAAGGTGTGAAATCCTAAATTATTTGGCCCCCAACTCAGAGTGCAGCTTACATAACTACTCTAAGGAGACTAGGCTGGCCATTAAGTAACTGAATTTTGAACAGGTTTATTGAGCAGATCTCTTTAGAAAACAAACAGCAAAATACTGACAAGGTATATGAATACACAGTGGATATACTAGGGAAATTTCCCTATGCTCCCTACTGCACAGAGAAAACCAGGCAAGATGGAAAAATTGTTCTATTTCATGCACACCAGATTGCAAAAAGACATCTGGAGCAGTCTAACAGGGCTGTACCATACAGGCACAGGGCAAGGCAACAATGTATGACCCCAAGCATACTATACTTCTGGTAAAGAGCTAGGCCTTGGTTCATTCTTTAGAACCTGTATCAAATTTGACTAGTGTCTCCTGGTATATACCTTCACAGTTATTTACCAACACTCCCACTTTTTGGAATAATGGATGTTAAAATGCTCTTCTGTGCCTTCCTTTGTATATTAAGTGGACAGCTGGACAAGATGCCAATCACCCACTTCAAATAGCCAAGTGGCGACTTCTCATTAGGACGGACATTGTTATGAACTCTGAAAACTTCTGGGTTTACATCCTGCTCTGCCTACACAGGGTTCGTGCCTTTAAAAAAGAGCCACGAGTACTTTTTGGAACTATAAACCTCAAAAAACTAGTAATTTTGTTCCAATGTCTGATAACTTAGGCACCCATCTTCTTATTTTAAGCATGATGTTTCAGCACTGACTCCAATTTACAACTTGTCCTGCTAAGAGGCCCATGCCGTTCCCGAATATCTGAGGAAGCAAGACAACCTGGACAAGAGTTTGGCTTGAGTTCATGGTCCCTGGAATTCAAACCTTTATTTCCTTCCCCCAGCTCCCTTGGAGCAAAAAATATTCAATACCACAACTGTTAAGATGAAAAGAGGGCCTACTGCATTATTTCAGGATGCTGGCAGGGAGTAGCTTTTAATTCAGTAAGCTGTAGACTTTTTCAGCTTCTATGAACATGGTAAAACAAGATCATTTTAAAGAATTGAGGTTTATGCTCCTCGAGAAAAATTTCTCCTAACCTGTTTTCAAAACTATGCAGCCAAATAAATAAAATGCTCAAAAGAGTAAATGAGGGCTCCAACCTTAGTGGTGATATGAGTAGCTGCAAAAAGTCAAAGAAATGTCTTACCTGTTAAATAATGTTTTCCCTTGTACCATATACCAACCTCCTTTTCCTTAGGTGCTGGGAATTCTTTGGTGGTTACAGGGGAGACAGAACATCTACAACTGAGTAGGTGTGTGTCTGAAAGTTACTCTTAAATTTCTTCCTATCTGTGCAACATGAGGATCATAAAGAGCTCCCGAAGTTACAGAAGTGGACAGAAAGCCAAAATGAAGATAATGGAGTGAATAATATTGACTGAAACAGAACCAAGGGCTACAGCAGGTCACACTAAGAGAGACTGACTTATCAACTATAATCAGTCTTGTTATTCATAACTGTTTATCCAATGGAACCCAGACACTTCTGCTCATTCTTTCCCTACAATTAAATACTTATTTAACCACGGTCATTACCATTACCCTTGCATTCCAAATAGACCCTGTTGACATTTCCTTTGTTTGAGATAATTCCATCTCAAGAACATGGTAACCAATGACATTCTTCTACTTTCTTTTTTTCCTAGTTATATTATCAATGCAAATTACTTAATACATATTTTCAATTTTAAGTCACTGGAAAAACTGACCTCCCAAAGAAAAAAGTTTCACTTTGGCCTATGATGAATGATTAACTATTTCATTTCCAGTCTTGTACAGGCTTAAAGAATTTAGAAAATACTTAAAAGAGTCACCTTCCAATTCACAGATAAACTACTTTGAGCATACTTTGGGAAGAATGGCATTAAGAAGTAAATTCAGATTTCTCCATTGATAGGTTAATCCTTTGATCCTAGGAAGGGAAAACTGATTTCCAAATGAGAAACAGGTGCCTTAATTTTAAAGCATTCTGTAAATATACGTCATTATTTTACTTCGGGGACAAAGACAGCTAGGAGATGTGCAAATAGTAGATGACACAAAGGAATTTTAAATAGACATTCCAACTATCATATGCCACCAAAAACTAAGTCCTTAAAACCTGATGCCAACACCCCCGTCCAATCTAAAACCAGACATAAAAATTCCAGTTTTGCCAAAAACTGGACTAAACCAAGCTGTCCAGCTAAAAGTCTGAGTGAATGTATGTGGTGTGATTATAAAACAAGGGACTGATTTCCCTAAGCCATACATGTAAATCTGTCACACTGTTCACATACCTATACATATTGATAACCTATGCCCAAGTCCTTCTCCAATGCCTTACAGAAGCATGGAACCTTAGGCCTACAACCCAGATGAAAAGGCTTTTCATGGACCACAGACTCTGTCACTCAAAGACCAACAGAAGCTCATCACCAGAAAAGAGGCCACTGGGTAAATTTTTGTGGCCTCAGCAATCCATGAAGACTGTCTACTAAGACAGAGATTTTTATCTGTAGCAAAAGGAGATGGCACTCAACAGCGATGAAATCACAGATCTTCTGAGGTATTAAAGAAGCATATATAAACACACATGCACATGTCTATATATGTGTGTATATATTTATACATGTTATCTGTATATAAATATATGGATTATTGCACTTAAATTGTAGGTGGCAAATAAGAGATGGTTAAGGATGTCTGAAAGAGGCAGAGAAGCAGGAGGCATATGCTTCCATGCGATAGGCACTAGAGTCAAGGTGAAATCATTTTGCTAGTTATAGAATTAATTTTTTTGCAAAGTCTTAAATTAATTCCAACAAGATCACATAAATATATACTACACACATGGGCACAGTGGATAGAACGCCAGGCATGGAGTCAGGAAGACTTGTATTCCTGAGTTCAAATCTGGCCCCAGACACTTACTAGCTATGTGACCTTGGGCAAGTCACTTAACCATTTGCTTCAGTTTCCTCATCAGTAAAATGAGCTGGAGAAGGAAATGGCAAACTACCCCAGTATCTTCACCAAGAAGGCCCCAAATTGGGTCAGGATGAGTCAGACACGGCTGAAGAACAACTCAATAACAAAACACAGATGGCATAGTAGAAAGAGTTTTCTGACATGGAGTCAGAAAAAAATGTGCTTGATTTGTGGTTCCAATCCTTTAGTAACTATGGGACTACTTAGCCAGTCACTTCAACTCAGCCTGTTTCATCTATAAAATAGTGATAATACTTAAAATACTTTCACAGTGAAGAAAGCATTTTGTTTATCTTAAAGCATTATATAAATGTGAGCTATCATTCAGGAAGAATTGTGTGTGCTTAATTATGCAGCATCCAGTCACACACATTCTTTTACTACTGCTGATTAGAACAGGACACTCTGGATAAAGGATGGAGGGAATCCTTTTTACAAGGAAGCAAGGTATACTGACTGCTGTGGTCAACAAGCCTCCCATGAGGCAAAGCTAGAGGGAGTGTTGTTCTTCTTCTGTCTCTGGTACTTCCCAAGGGTCTGCTAACAGAAGGCTTACAAAAAGGAGCAAGTCAAGATGGAACCAGAGCCTCTGTCCAGCTTTCTAGAGCAGCTGTCAGTTTCTGCTACAGAATCCAAAGGCTGGAAGCTGAAGGATCATTCGTGGGCCTCCACAGAAATGCCAGCCCACCTGCCCACCCCACCTAACAGCCTGGCTTGTTTGATCCTCCTGCCAACACTCTTAGCTTGGGTTGGCAGCTGGCTGACAGCAGCTTCCTCTGAACTAGAAATGGGCTTATCTAGACTAGTCATGACAGGGAAATAGTTCTCTTAATGAAGCAACTATAACAACAAACTATAAAAGGTAACTGGTTAGCAAACTATTAAAGCATAGGAAAGGGCAAGACCTACCATGTGATTGCCTCTTGCCTTAGGTACCCCATATCAAAAGAGGAACAAGCCAAAATTTCCAAAGCCCAAACAGTTATCCCAAACTACAGAACAAAAAAAAAAAATCTGTACATCTTCATGCCACACAGATGGGATGTTATGTAAAGGCTTGGAAGATGGATTAAACACTATACACTTCCACACTCCACACAGCTCTCCCCTCCTTTCCCAGATACTGGATGCTTTTAATTTAATTCAGAGACTATTTTAAAACATACACATCCTCAAGCAGTTTTTAAAGTGAAGGAAAGATAAAATTATTTTTAAGAGTTAGCTGAAAAAAAGGCACTTAAATGGAAAAACATGTCCCATATCTACATTAGACCTAGCTGGGACAACCAGGTCTGCATTTCCTGTATTTCTTAAGCACCTTTATTAACTATGTGTGTCTACATGTCCACCTGACAATGATCTATCTAATTATTATCTAAACAACTAGAGAAAAAGCAAATTAGAAATTCAAGTCACTTTCCCAAATTTAAAAAGAACAAGACTAAAAACTCCACACAAAAATGAAAATGACATTCAATTGCATTCTTCCCCCATGATGGTTTTAAAACGACACTTGGTTTCGCAGAATGGATAACATACTGATTTTGGCTTTTTCAAGCAACAAGGATCATATGACTCAGAGCACAATGCACGTCTGAACAGAAAGAAAAGCAGAATTATTTAAGGAAACAACCAAGTGCCAGTTGGCTTTCTAGAGGGAAAATCCCAATGCCTGAGAAAAAAAGAGGCTTGTGGTCCAGAGCCTAAAAAGCAGCAAGTTATTTACTAAGAGCAAATGGCATCAATTCTGAGAGGAAGATACTTTAAATGAAAGAAAGCCAAATCTTATGTTTCAGATCAGAGACCAAGTCTGAAGTCTCCAGAAAGGAAACAGCTGCAGGTCACCCTCATACACTTTGAACTACATGACCCTAGGACCTCATGATCTACTTAGTAGCCCATATTACATGACTTTTAAGCCATTTGTTTAGACCTACATTTCACCATGAGGTGAAAGAGAGGAGACACTTAGAAGAAAAAACACTGAGAAGATATGCCAGTGTTTTTAAGTCATTCTGGCTTTGTTTGGCCCACAGTCCCTTTTTATCCGGAATGTTCTTGGTGTCCTGGTCTTCAAGAACATCACACAAGTTTTTGATAAGTCAACATTTCCCTATCCCAAAAGGATAAACAGGTTAACAACTTAGTTGTGTTACCCTTCCAACCAAAGCCAAAGTATGCATTTGGGCTGTCTACAGAATAAGATGTCAAAGACTGTTGCAGTTAGGAAGATCTACTCAATTAAATACCTCTTTAGAAATAACATACTAAAATATGTGGCATTAAGGAAAACCAGCAAGGCTCTCAACAGGCACCCTTCCCATGTTTCCTGAACTACTGGAATTTGATGGTGGTATTTTAAAGTAGAAGAGCACTAGCCAAAAGTTGCTGACTGTACGTTCAGAACTTTCCTGAAAAAGCAGTCTATACTTTTATCTTGATTCATGACATTTTAAAGAGATTTTCAGAAAGCTAACTCCATCTCCCCCTTTTCCCATCAAGGAAGAGGGAATTTAGGGAAAGGGGGGAGGGAGAAGCAGCATAAGGGGAAATCCCCACATTTCCATCTACTTAAAAACAAATTTACAGAAAGGCATCTGATGTATTTTCTGAGTAAGGCCTTGATCAGGGTACTCAATCCTCTTGCTAGCATACTCCACGCTGCCCATAAATAGAGAAGGAAGTCTCTTTAAATTAGGATTTCCATGGTGAATGAACGGTCCAGAAAGCCTCATTTCAACCGCTCAATGAGTCCCTGTGTGAGTCCGAGGTGCAGAAGTTGTGTCCGGGAGAGATTCGCTAAGTGAGGGAAGGCCCCAAGCAGTTTCTCCCATGACAGTTCCAGAAGACTGGGTACCACCAGCCACATCTTAAATAATGACCCAGTCCGTTTATTTTCATGGATGTTCACCACTCCTCCATGAATGTACATGCAACCAGCCTGTAAACAAAGAGGGCAAGCAGAAAAGTACAAATTAAATGAGGAAGAAAGACATGCCAAAGATCTAGTGAAGACTCTCCTTCTTGGAAAAGATTTTTATAAAGCAAATAGAACCAAAATGAGATTAGCTATCAAATATGATGAACAAATACTGCTATCAAAAAAGGTGTGGCTGATGCCCATTAATAAAGAAAGCTATGGGTATTTAAGGTGTATCTCTTACAAGGCTGACATTCAGGAGGATTATAGACTTGGAGCAAGAAAAGACCTTGCAAACCATCATCTAGCCCAATTCCCTCATTTTATAGATGAGGAAACTGAGGCTTAAAGAGGTTATGATTTGTCCAGAGTCAAATAACTAGCAAATATCAGAGGAAGGATTGGAACCCAGTAATGGATCACTGATTTGACGCAGTGTGGTGTTTTGTAGGCATGGGTCTTGGTGTCAACTGTTCTGTTTATCTCCTAAACTCAGGAGTTTAGCAAACCTTGGAGGCAAGCTTCAAAGCAGAATCTTATATATAAAGGAGCTTAAACTGCTTATATTAGAACTTCTTCACCAAATATCTACAAACAGAAAATACCATCCACTCCCATGCAAGTAATAAAATAAAAACTTACTGGTGTTACAGCTGCACAGTGGAAATAAACTGGCTCAGGCATAACAGCTGGAAGCTTTACCCACTGGAAAGTTTGCAGACTCAATTTCCAGACATCTCCCAAAATCACTTCTCCATTATAACCGCCACAAACAAATACATCTACAAAGGACAGAAATAAAGAGCAGATTATATGAGCCAAATAAACTCAATATTTATGGCAGATTACAAGACTTGCTAAGGTAGGTTTTATTTTCATGCCACCTGAAGACACCAGTTGTGTGGTGCCGGGCTCCACGATGAAGGAAGGGAGTTGATGGGATAACTGGTAGGAAGAAAGCAAAATGAGGAAGATCAGGTATTACAGGATCTTTTAAAAATACCCATAATATCCCAAAAGAGTACAGATTCTCTCATCTACACCCCAAGTAAGTAGGAACATTCCCACAGGGGCAAGCACAACTGCTCCCTCACTTAGCTTTTGGTCACAAAAAGACAATCCCTGGCTTTCCTGCAGCCAGAGAGAAAAGGGTGAGATGAGGATCAGAAAGAAGACCCAACTCACTTGGGACACTCAGCATCACTATGTTCTAACTTTACTAAGTATGTTGAGACAATAAACTATCCACTTTCCATGATCAAAAGTAGGAACAAAAGTATATCAAAGTGAAAAGGTATTTTAGTTAAAAACCTGTAACTAACTGAAAAATTTATTAAAGAAGTGTAGACATTTGAGTTCTGTACAACAATTTAGGAATTTGAGCTAGAACTTGAAAACATAACTGCTTTTGCAGCATGTCTGTAAGATAAAGAACAGAAAATTTCTGAATCCCAAGAGTTCATCGTTAATGAAGTCAAAATAGCTCACTCAATTACAATTCAAGGATGATGACGATAAAATTTAGGTCACCCTTAGGAAAGATGTTTGGTTTGGTTTGGTTTTTAATCTGCTTTTTTAGTCTGAGTTCAAGAAAAACTTTAATATAACAGTTTGACTTCAGTCCTAACTAGAGTAGAAATAAGGAGTTAAAGTTTGTCCATCTTTCTGTTTCGAGGTGTTTTGTTTTTCTTTTTAAACTACCTCTGTTTCAAACTGAACTCTATAAATCTTACCCAAAAAGCACAAGCAACTTACGAAGGGCTCTCCATACCAAAAACAGTTCCTCAATGGATGGTACTTTTCCCAGTTCTACTTTTCAATGACTAAGATGCTATCATATTGTTAATAACTTTAAAGGAGATTGTGGGGCAAATGAAATAGAATCTTACAAGGAAAGGTTATTTATAAAACTTAGATAAAGAACTTAGAAAAATACTACCTCCTACTTCCTGAATGACGCAGGATATCTTTTGAAGCTACCAGTTCCATCTGGCACCAGAGAACAGATTCCTTCACTCCTATACACTACTGTTGTACTCTCCTATTTTCAATCAATCCCTCACTCATTGAGCACAGAGCTAGAAGTAGTATTCAGTTTAATGTCCTTACCATGTTTTATTTGTACACAACTGTGACATCTTCTGGCTGCAGGAAAACCTGCCAAACACACATATACAAGAGCTCTATTATTCACACAAAGCATAATGCTAATATGACATAGCAAAGGACATACTATAAATTGCTCAATTAAATTAGACACACAAACAAATTACTACATTAGGAAAAGCTGTAAAGTGGAATAACTTTGGTTTTACTAGAATGAGAAGAGACCACAAAGAATGGAGATACCTAATAACCAGCACAACTCTGGTATGATAAAGAGGTAGGGAGGCAATAGAGCAGGTTTTCCTATCCTTTGCAGAATCTGAGTTTTCCCAGGGCTCTTTACCCATAGAGGATCACAACTTCTAGACTGAAAGAGATTGTGGTGATCAACTACTGCAATGCCCTCATTTTACAGATGAGGAAATGAAGGCCCAGATAAGGGAAATGACTTGCCCACAGTTACAAAGGTAGCATGAAGCAAAGTTGGGATTTAAACCCAGGTTCTCCAACTCCAAATCTAATTCTCTATCCACTAGGAGGTTTTTAAATATAAATTTTCTTAACTCTGCTCCTCCATTTCTGTCATAAAATTCAACAATTCTTGTCAAAGCACATCTCTATACAGTGGCTGAATGATGGAAACAATTTTCATCTGACTCTTGACTATAGCTACCGTCTAACATCAGTCCAAATTAAAATATCAAGCATCTCTACTTTAGGAGCACAAATACCAATTAATTCATTTCCCCCCTTAAAAGCATTCAAAAAAGGAAATTAAATTTACTCAAGGATGGAGAATCAGCATTTATGATTTACCTATTTTTTCATGAGGTCTTGTTGCAATTTCCTCCCATGTGTTCGTTTCAAGGTTGTATGCGTGGATCTTGGGAAAAGAAAACACACACACGTATGCACATACATAAAAACTCACTTAGTAGAAAAAATGATAATCATTTGTGACTCTGGATGTCGAACAAGCCATATTTTAATGCCTGCCTGCAAAATTCCATGCATTCTGCTGAAAAGCTTTCCTGGGCCTTGCATCTCTCTATCTGTCCTCACTCTTTTAACAAAGACAGTAATTAGATTGAATCATTTGAAACACAATTCATCTGCAAGATGTATGATAATGAAATACTCAGTAGGACTGATATAATTTTCCAAATTTTCTCCAGATTAGGAGGCAGACTCTAATAGACTCTAAATCTTAAGACCCCTCTGAAGAAAAAGGATCCCAAATACATCAACAAAGAAAGGATAAGGATTGGTATACAAAAACCCATTTGGACTCAGTTCTCTAAAAACTGCATAACCCTAGTAATTCCTAACATCATAATTTACTGGATTGTACCTTCCTAATTCTATCCTCCAAGGAAATTAGACTGTGCCATACCATACCATGATTTAATTCCTTCCTATATAATCTTCTATTAGAAAACTAAATTTTTTCCTCTTATAACAATGGAAAAAGTACTGTAGTTGTGTGACATCAGGACATTGATCATCTCCACTCAGCAATGAGGTCAATGAAACAGAGATTCAAATAGCCCCTAAGGAATCAGTTTACGAACCTCAATGCAGTTTAATTTTCATTTACTCCCTTAACAAATAATCTGAGATATAGATTAAATGAACAAATAAAAGGCAAAAATAAAGTGTTAAGATATCCAGATCACATCATATTTCTATGCATGGTTAAATGCTAAAAGACCAAGGTTAAGCTATTAAAAAACATCAAAGTTTTCTTACTATATAGCTGTCTTTCAAGTAATGTCCACAAAGGTCTTTAGAAATATGAATTCACAGTTATACACAGTAGTGGGGCATGTAAATTATTTTCTATACAAGCTATTACTACTCAAAATGACTTGCTTCCTAGAGAACTCAGCAGATGCCAAAATTGATTTTATATCATAGATCCTGGGAAGAATGCAAGAACATGGAAATCCTAGTTCAAACTCCAACTCTACTAAGAACTTACTGGAAGCTTCTTTCAATTACTATATCTTCACTTCAAGTCACTTTCCTCATCTCTCTAAGGAAATATATTTCATAAAGCATATTCAGAAGCATAGGAGAAGATGACTGTCTGATGTGATACTATTAAAAGGTATTCTGAAAAAAATGACGTTCAACATATGTTAGTAACTCACCCTCTAAAAAAACCACAGTAACTGAAAGCTACATTTTCTTCATATCCTGTTCTGAAAAGCTTTTATACCTTATTTAAGGGATAAGCTGTCCAGGAAGTCCCACCTCCCAAGATGTATATCCTCTGCCCATCATGTGCAATTTCATGTCTATACCTGAAAATATCAAATATATAATTAGAAGAAATGTATTTTTGCCCAAATTTAATAAACAGACTTAGGTTACAGATCATCCAACAGGTCAAATTACTTATTTAGAAAGTCAGAAATCTACTTCAAAAACCAAAAAAACAAACCAAACAAAAAAAACCCCAAAAAACCCCAAAACCCTGTTTCTGACACCAAGGAAACATATGAAAGAACTTTAATAAACTAATCCAAAAAGAAGATCAAGTTGTTTCCTAGGGAACCAGTTTTCCTTCCTTCCCCGAGGGATATGATACTGATAAGACATCATTTTGCAATTGCTTTATCTACACGACAAAATAGTTCTGTAGCAATAAAAATAAAATATAACCAAGAGAAAGATACTCCGTCTTCCCCTATGCCATTTTGAATAAGTAAGACTCTTTAGGACGAACTAGGAGAAGGAAAAAGTTTGTTATTCAATAGAAAAAATCCATGAGTTTACGTGAGCTTAATCTTAAGAACAAGCAATTACTAAAAGACAGTGTATCAGGAAGGATGAGGGGAAAAACACTAGGGCTAGTATCTAAAAAGCAGAATAATGTAATGACTACTATTACAAGGCACTTACACTCGTATCTCCCCCCAGTACTCAGCAGCATGTATTATACAAACTAAGTGCTTAGTAAATATTTGAAGAATGAATAAATGAAAAATAGATGAGGGAATTAGGAATAACTGTCCTAACCACATTCCACTTATTTGGTTACTAATACTACTACTAACTTTTCTTCAAGATTTCAGTTGTTTTTCTAACATAGAAATTCCATATATATCCATATATTGAAAATTTTAATATCAAGGAGGAATGAAACAGAAAAGATTCTCCCATTAAGGGAAATGTACCATTCCCACATCAGAAGACTACTACTGTCTAAACTGAGATCTACTGACCAGTTTATTATTCTAAATTTAGCTAAATTTTCTTCAAGCTATGCACTGACATTTTAAACACGTAAAATCTTAGCAGCAAACACCAAATATATCTTAGAACTTTACCTTTCTTCTGGCAGATCACAATTCAGGTTGTTCGGTTTTAGCTGTATCCATTCCCGGGTATTCAGGTCTAACCGATGTAGGTCTGTACTGTAAACATAGCCAGTTGTTCCTCCAAAGACATAAAGGAAGCCATTTATAATAGCCATTGCCTAAAAAATAAAAAAAGGACAAAATCGATCTATTAATATCACTGACTCAAGTCATCTGAGTTACAGTATGGTTGTGCTACAAACAGACACTGATGGGGGCAGGTAATTAGGTAGTGTAACTAAGTCAAAGGGCAGTAGTGGTATAAAATTCAGAAGAAAAACTAAGTTGACTACTGGGGAGAAACAAGAAGGAACAGGTCTGGTAAAGAAAGAAGATGACCTTATATCATCTCAAATTCTTCACCACCAAAAATGCAAGTGATGGTGTGATGTTTTGGAAAAAGCAACAACAAATAATTAAAGTAAAAGAAAGAATGTCACGAGAGGCACAGAATCACTAAGACACACTTAGAGTGCTACAGTCTAAATATAAAGTATACTTAAAGTACTCTTATTTTGTTTAGAAAACTATTTTCCATTTATCCCTTCTCACTACAAGACCATAAACTAAGCTGTAGATGTCTTGGAGGTCCAGATTCATGTACATGGTGGCCATCGAAAGTTCAAGTATGGCAGGCACCAATGAAAGGAAGTACTAGTCAAAGACAGTAATGTTCTCAATAATAATTACACAGGCAAATTTCTTCAATTTCCTTTCTGAAAAAGAGTTTGAGACCCCACTTAGAGAGGCTGAAGAGTAGATGAAACCTTGTCACAAGTGGGTTTGCAAAAATGTCCATGTGCCTATGGTGTGGACTCTGTCAGAGAGCACATTAACCTTACCAGGATTTGTGCCTTGAAATATAATATGATGGTGCAGTCATATAGCTGCACTATCATATTATATTGGAGGAGGGAGGAAAGAAGGATGCTAAGGAGAGGATCTCTGCCATCAACAGGAAAAAAAAAAGGGGGAGCAGGGTGGGAGGCATTCCAAAAGGAGCAACGTTTTGACTAACAATGATTATCCTGGGCATCACCAGTACTGTTAGCTGACAGTAAAGTAAGGCTAAGATCATTTCATGGGACTACAAGTATATAATGAAGTCATACTGGCTCAAACTGTGCCTATTCATGAAGACAGCAAAGATGCAAGTTGAGGTAGGTAGTATCTTAAATCTAATCATCAATGAGTGAAAGAGAAATAGGCAGAAACTGGAAGAAGTAAGTAGCCAGAAACTGAATTTACAAATAAAACTGCTAAGAACATCTATTATTTGCATTAGGGCATTGGCAAGAAACTGCTAAATTATATTGGCAAAGCAAGCAGGAAAAGCAAGGAAAACCCATTAATGATAAAACTCAGGAGCTGCCAAGGACAAAGGCCCTGAGATGGGAAATAGACCTGACAAAAAAAGCAAGTTTGTTGTGGCAATTAACTATAAGAATTACCAACCCCCCCCCCCCAAACTAGCAACAAGACCTTTGTCCCAAGAGCACAATGAATCTGGAAAGGTATGAGATTTTGGTTGTTTCACCACCAGAAATGACTATGATGAAAAGACAAAAGATATCAATAAAACATAATTTTTAAATGAGTAGTAAGAACAACAGAGAACTAAAGCTTCTAGTTCCAGCAGGTGTATAGGGCAAGGAGAATTTTTCAGTAAGCTGCAAAGAGTACACTATGTTTTTGCCAACGCCTAGTGAGACAGATCTGTATAAGATGCAGGCAATTTTCACACTATAAATATAAAATGGAGAGAATGACTCCCTCCTCTCTCCCTTATCAGGGAGAAAGGAAATGTTCCTTGAAAGTAGAAATACAGAAAAGACAAAACAGAGAAAAAAGAATTTTGAACATATAGACCTATCCTATGTCAAGAGGTAAGAAGGTAGAAGGATCAATGAATCTTTATAACTAAAATAACAGGTAAGAGATTCTTCTCACTATAGAGATGGGCTCTCTGAGAAAGAAATCTTTTTCCATGCTCCAAAGAATGATGATAAGAATTCACAGGCACCACTAGGAGAGAGTCCAACCACTACAGGTTAAATAAAATAAATAATGATGGCTGGTGACATTTGGCTAAATGGATACTAAATCGCCCTCACATGAACCTGTAAAAAACAGTGAGCTACATTGTTTTTCTAGACCACATGTCCAAAATATGACAGAGAGCCTCTTGAGACTTGATAAACTCAGCAGCCATTTCCCACAGAGGAAAAAAATGATACTGTCAAAAGGAACCTAGAAAGCACTGCTAGAGACTATGAAGTTCTGGGCAAGAAACTGAAGAGGTTCGGAATGCATAGTGTTTTTATCCCTGCTGCCAAATCAAAGTAGAAAGGCAAATTTGTGAAATAACTAGTTAAGAAGATGGCATCAGAATAGAAATGGTATTTCTGATTCAAGATATCATTCACAGGGTCACAGATTGAGAGCTGGAAAGTATTTTGGAAGTTATAAAGTAAAACTCCCTCATTTTACAAATGAGAAACGAGAGACCCAAGAGCTTAAGTGAGTTCTCTAAGGTTATATAGGAAGTAAGTAGCAGACTCAATATTCAAACTCGAGTCCTCTGACTTCAAATGCAGTGTTCATTCCATGGCGCCATGCTGCCTCAAGTTCTTTCTTGGCTCTTAAGCTGTTAAAAATAAATTTACCTAGAGATTCACAAATTTGATCCAAAGAACTTCAAACTGAAAACAGGAGCAGGGGGTGGTAGAAACAGCTCATATGTATCCACTAAACTAGAGAACAGTAGGAATGACATAGGAAGAATATCAACATATAAAGGAACACTGAAAAAAAACATCCAAGAAGGAGGGAAGAAATAAAACTTGTGTTCTTATACGTTTATGCATTCATGTGATCTCATGCATTTATACATTCATTTATGCATGTATGACTACTTAACAAGGTAAAGCAGATACCTTATAAGGATATAAATTCAACCTCCTTTGAGATATACTAAGGCAGCATTGTATACTGGAAATGACACTGTGACCCCCTGGATTTAACTCCTGGCTCTGGTATGAATGAGCAGCTAGGTGGCACAGTGGATAGAGAGCCAGGCCTGGAGTTAGGAACACCGGACTTCAAATCTGGCCTCAGATACTTATAGCTGTGTGACCCTGGACAAGCCACTTCACCCTGTGTTCCTCATTCCTCATCTGTAAAATGAGGTGGTGAAGGAAATGGCAAACCACCCCAGGACCTTTGCCAAAAAAAAAAACAAAACAACACCCAAAATGGAATCACAAAGAATAGGACTGAAATAAGTCAACAGCAACAATCTGGTATGGACTCAATGTGTGACCTTAAGAAAGTTATACAGCTGCTTTAAGCCTCAGTTTCATCTGTCAAATAATGGAAGAAGTTAACCTAGCTGACATCTGAGTCCTCCTCTGGCCCCAAAGCCAATAATATGTCCTATACATATCTGAAGACAAGCGAGAACAGCATTGTTTTGTCTGGACCTAAACATCAGGAGTGGAGTGCAGAGGCACATTTTGGCTCAACATAAGGAAAATTGTCCTGACAACAAGAGTTGCCTCAAACTAGAATGGGCTTCCTCATAAAGCAGGAAGTTCCATCTCACTAGAGGTCTTCAGTTGGAGGCTGGATGCCTGCCTGTTGGCCATCTTGTAGAGGAGATGCCTATTCAGATAAGGACTGGACTACATGGCCTCCAAGCTCTCTTCCAATTCTAAATTTCTCTGATGTTAAAATTAAATGGCTTGTGACTGGAACCAGCAGCATCAGAAACCAAGTGTAATGAATCACATGCCCAGGGATTAGCAGTTAGCCATCAGTGACAAAATCTTTTCCTAGCCTATGTTGATAAAGATTCCTAAGCCCCACAAATTCAAAATAATTTGGGGACAGCTCATACACCAGTCAGGCAAAGGGAGCTCAATTTATAAACAGAAATGTTGGCAATGGGATTTATCGATCCTATAGGACCAGGGAAATAATGGCCAGTCCAGGGGACCAACCCACTTTCCCAATCTAAGTCAGCTGGGCACCCATCAAAGTGGCCATATACCCAAAGTACAGACACAGATGGGACATCGTTCATTTTGATAAGGATGAAGAAGTTGCACAGGCTCATGGCCAGGCCAGAATGTGAATGATACTGAATGCCTTAAGGGGAGGATAGTTCAGTGGACAGGCCCATCCAAGAATTCAGTTGAACCTTGATCTGGTGTTACTGCTTTATTAACTCAGGTAGTGTCAAACCCTGACCAGTTTATCCTTCACAGGATCACTCAGCCCTATGGAAGCCAAGTCAGCTTGATTCTATTCTAGGTCCTGTGAAAAGATATGGAGTCATGAGCCCCTTTCCTGTGGAACTCTCAAAGGCTCTCTTAAGTTTCAGCACAAACTCTTCATGCAAAACGCTGTTTTTCCTTACAAATTTAGAGCCACCCACTTAGTAATGCAACTTGTGAAATAGCCTGAAGGAAAACCAACAGGCAAGAATATCAGTAAGAATCAGAGCTGTATAAGAAACCTAGTCAGTTAAGACCAATATGGGAATTGTTTTGCTTGACTATGCCAATCTTGTTACAGACATTCTTTGAGGTTTTTTTTTCCCCCTCCAGTAAAAGGGGGAGGGCAGGAGGGAGAGAATGATAGATTTTTGTTCATTAAAAAAAATTTAAAGAAAGAAACCTAGTCAGTGGTTCAACTGTCCCCTTAAATTTCTTGGTAGGCTAAGTGGGCACCCAGGGCAGAGGTTAGATTTGTCAAGTGATGGGGCTCTGAATATCACAAGAGGCCTGATTCTCTTCTGTAAAGAGTCTTTTCCCAAAGAACTGCAATCTCCTCTACCATTTGCTAGACTGACACCCCTCTTGGGGTGTCCCCTTCCTAAAATAACCATAGGAAGGCCAGTGATGCTATGACTCACAGTACAGTAACTGACTGATTGAAATAAGATGTCGTTTCTAAGAAACTGTGGATAGCATTTTCAAAGCTAACCTACAGATAAGGTATTATAATCAATGAGATTTGGCCATCAATGAGAAGGATATGGAATAGATAAGTAACTATGTGGCCCAGCCCACCACCAGAAAGAAAGTCGAGTAAATTACCAAGGAAGACACCAAGAAGACTCCAAGAAGTAGAGTAGGTAAGGGAGAGGCAGGGCAGGTTAGCGAGCAATGCTCACCAATGTCCAGTCCGAGGCCAAATCATGGGGCCAAGCCAGAATCAGGAAGAGCCAGGGCTGGGGTCAGAGCACAAGCTGAAGTTAAAAAACCTGTGGGGTCAACAGAGCAGGACTAATGGTCAATGCCAATTATTTCCCAACAAGGAGGAGTACAATGCCATTTCCTTCTGAGTCACTGGAGATACTACCTGGGATTTCAAAGGGACCCTAACCGAGGGAACTAAGTAACCATTAATAAGGCCTAGGTCAAGAGCTATGTGTCCTGAGACCAGTTTTCAGATGACTTTTCTCCTACCCAAGCCTCCTAGAATATAAATCCTTGGCAGCTTAAAGATTATGGAGATGAATACCTATTATTCTTAAAGAATAAAACTCTTCCCAATCTAAAGGCAGGTACCATATGCACAAGATAGTTGAGGGGAAGCTAGATGATTGCTAGCTACAAAATTCTAATATCACAGACGTGAGTATGTGTACTAAATAATATCCGTTCTCTAAACAATTTGAAGAAAAATGCTTTAAAGATGATAAAGAAGTTATGAAAAAAAGAATCACCAAGAATCTCTGGCAACCACTTAGCTTCTTCCCATGTTCCCAGTGGGTTCGTCTTTAAAACAGATTCGGCTATCAGACAGTAGCTGTTCAGAGAATAAATACCCTAGGACAGGATTAAAGAGTCATCCAGCATAGCATAGAAGCCTCTTCAAATCTACTACCATAGCTAAGCATTTCAAGCTTATTATTTCAAGCAATCTTTGAACTGCGGCTTTGGAGAGGCTATGCTGGACTGCCCTCTATCACTGAATGGGGGCCCTTAAAGAGTCTGAAGAGCTGAAACTTGAATCAGTCACTCGAAAAGCTTTTGTTAAAGAGTATAATTGCTGCTCTTCAAAGTTAAAACATCCCTATAACAAGCACTGAAAGCATTTTTGTCCTTAGTAGTTCAGTTCAGTACCCACTGAGGATACCTCAGAAAATCCACCTTTTCAAACAGGGTATCTAACTGCAATATGGTTTTAAGAACAACTCTGAACAAATTAAGTCATTTTGACTATTAGAAATACCCAGATTATGTACAAAGGACCAATGAAGGAAGACATTATCTGCATGCAGAGGAAGAACTGATAAATAGATGTGTAGAACGACTTTACATACACATACATATTTGTGTCTGATGGTAGCCATTTCTAGGGGACGGGTGGGGGGCACAGAAAAAAAGGAAAAAAAAAAGAAATTTACATAACTGTATTATATATTTTAAAAGAATAGCTAGTTGTACGTAACAAAATTGCAGTTTCATGTGCAATCATCTTTTTCTACCATACTCACAGCCACAAAAATGTGAACAAATTAATGAACGTAAATTAATACCTGCCCATAAATCCGATTTGGTTTCTTCCCTCTACAGCTGAGCAGAGCCCATCGTTTGTATTTCACGTTGCAGACATGGACATCATTGCCATTGCTCTCACCAAAGGGAATGCCAGTGCCTCCAAACACTAACAGGTTGTTCCCATGCAACACAACTAGAAAGGGACAAAAAATTCTGTTCATGTTCTGTGTGTAGTATATGTACATACATGCACAAAATTACTTAAAAGATAAAAAAAAAGTCTCTGCTTTAGTAATTTCACAAAGTAGTTCAAATCAGTAACTATATGGCACAAAGATCTTTTCCAATGCCTTACTAAGCCCATATAATATGAAAGCTAGAGTAAACATATGATAGAAATACAGAACAATTTTAGATACGTATATAACAACACTGTAATTTAATATGATTGTAATTTTTAAAAATGTAAATAGCTTCCAGAGCAGAAGACAGTGGAGTCTTTACCTACCCACCTCTGGGCAAAGACACAATAAAATCCCTAAGGACTTCATAGGGGAAATGATTAACATGTTTCTCTGGCTCCTCATAATGATCTTTTGCATTTTAAATTTTGGCTACTGCTGCCTCCTTCTCCTCTGTGGGAAGATGGTGGCCTGTATCATTCAAGGTGCCAAAATAATAACTCTGACTAATCATTCCTCCTTCAAGTTATCTTCTCCCATCTATCCTTTTATTTTAACAGATAAACAGCAAATGCTCTTGAATGTCCAATTTATAAATTGGCCATTTGGGGATACAGACTCATATAGTAGAAAGAAGCAGAGGCTTTGAAGTCAGAAAATCTAGTTTCAAAATCTGACTTTGCCAACTAACAGCTATACAAACCTTGGTTATAAGCCCATCTTCTCATCTATAAAATGAAGACAACACTTGTACTATCTACCTCACAGAGTTCCGTGAGGATGAAAGGAGATCGTGCTATCTCTGTAACCACGAAGCACTAAGTTTAAGTTGTCATTGGTTCCTTCTTTATAATCCTGCCATAACTGATGTGTCGTGCGGTCGATCGAGCACAGGCCTTGAAGTCAGGAAGATCTGTCCTCCAATGTCTCTTCCAACACATACTGTGCAGTGATTGGGACAAGTCACTTTAACTTTCTAGTCCTTTATGCAACTCTCTAAGATGAGTTGCAGAAGAGGTGCTAATCTGTCTTTACAGAGGGAGTCTCTTTATCCAAGAAGTTTCGAGCATCAGTGAAATCACAGGTCTCTATCCTAATATTCTAAATAAATTCATTGATATTAACTTAAATACACAGACAATCTGATATAGTAAGTCTGCCCTCTCAGACAATTCTACTTAGTCAGAAATTCAGGAATGGAAAACTACCACTGAACTCTTAAACTCACGTGACATAGATGCTAGTTCTCTGGGCATGTAACCCTCTGTGCCCATTTGATGCCATACTCCTGTAGCAAAGTGGTACCTCCAAAGCTCCCTGAAGAGAGGATAATCTTCATTGTCTGGCCCTCCTGACTCATCATAATCCGGGTTATAGCCTCCAAATACATACAGATTGGTATTATCTGCCACACACCGATGTCCACTCCGTGCTGGTGGAGCTCTGTGACCTAGGAGAGTAGAAGACATTGCAATCTGCTGGCCCACCAATATAAAATTAATGCTGTAAAGAAATTTAGCCAGCTATCTCATTTTGGCTTTGAAAAAAAAAAACAGGGAAGATTTACAATGGACAAACTTCCCACTTGCTGGGAAGTTCATATAAACCACTGATTTTCTATAAATATTTGGATTTAAAAATTCAGCATTTCCATTACATATGCATAACTCTCAAAACTTGTTAACAAGACATAAAGATTCTGTCAGAAATCCCAAAACCTTGGATGTATGAAATCTCTCAAAAAAAAACTATTTCTGATGAACCCTCAATCTGGAATCTACAGAAGGAGAAATTTAATAATTACACTGAAAGGTCACAAGGAAAATTTTCTTTAGAAAAATGTGTGTATATTAGAAGCATATACACATAGCCACAAATGTATAAAATATGTACATATAAATAGACATATGCTAGACACACTCAAGAGAATATATAATCCATGCTTTCATTATACATAAGCCATATAATTATTTTTCTTGTTTTAGTAAAGCTATGATGGAAAAACTGTTTTAACTAGAAATTATAACAACTGCAAAATACCCCTCAACGAGGTCAAAGACAGAAAGGCCTCACGTACACCAAAATATTCATACTTTTTGTGGCAGCCAAAGTAGAAACAAAATGTGCGCTCACTGACTGGGGAACAGTTGAACAAATTGTGACATATTAATGTAATAGAATATTATTGCTCATGCAAATGACAAACATGATGAATTCATAGAAGCCTTGGAAGACCTGTATAAACTGAAAAGAGTAAAGCAGAACTAGGAGAACAATATACACGATGAAAAAAATGTAATGAAAACAACACTGAAAAGTGGCCAATCTGATTAACTGTAATGATCCCCTCTTGGCCCACAAAGACAAATGATGAAATACATTCTCTCAGCAGAGAAAAGAATAAAGAATGTTGCATATGCTATCAGATGGTCATTCTACTGGTTAGTTGGGCGTGCTTAACTATTTTTTCAACATTAAAAGGAGGTCTAATTGGGTCAAGAAAGACATATAATAAAAACAAAAGGCATCAAAACAGTGAAATTTTTTTAAATGTTTTTTTAAGAATAAACACAAGACAACACAGTACCCACAGAAAATATACCTGAGAAAGTCAATTGCAGGTTTAAAATGATTAGATGCAAGAAATGTGTAGTCTGTACTGGCTACTCTCCAAAAATCAGGACCTGGAACCATGCTTTATTTTGAAATAAGTTTTTATTGATATTTTCTGTTTCTTACATTACCACAGTATCCAACGTGTCCCACTCTTCCACCTCCCCTGCCTGAGGGCCTTCCCATTGACAAACAGTATATTTGGAGAGGGGGCAGAAAGTCAGTTGATCCCTATATTTAAAAAGTCTCAAAATGTTAATACCTGTGGACCTCTCACCTCCACAAAGGGGGGAGTTCAGGTATCTTCTCATAGCTCTTCACAGCAAGTCCAATTTGGTCTCCATAATTTTGTTACATTTCGTTTTTATTTGGGGGAAGTGGTTATTCCTCCAACTTTATATTGTTGCAGTCACTGTGTGTGTCGTTTTCTTGGCTCTGCTTATTTCACTATACATCAGTTCATATAGATCTTCCCACGCTTTTCTGTATTCATTACACATATCCTTTCTTATAGCACAGCAATATTCCATTACATTCAAATTACAGGCATCTAATTTATTTCCAATTATTAGCTATCACAAAGAATACAGCTATAAATGTGTTTTGGAGTATATGGAGTACCAACGGCTTCAAGCCTCTGCGTACAAGTCCAGTAATGGAGTCTCTGGTTCAAAGGGTATGTTCACTTTAGTCACTTTATTTGCATGATTTCAAATTGCTTTCCAAAATGGCTGTACTATTTCACAGCTCCACCAACAATGTATTGGTGCATTTATCTTTCTACAATCCCTTCAACATTGCCTGTTTCCATTTTGTGTTATTTTTGCCACTTTGCAGGGTGCAATGGAATCATGTTAGAAAGCATTATGAGAAAAAAAAACCTAACAACTATGTAAGAATAAAGGAATCACTGACAGCTAAATTATATAGATGTTAAATACTGATATAAAACTAACAGCACAGCAACTAAATTAAAGGAAATTATTGTCATCAATTAATAATAATTAATTGATTTATTATTAATAATTAAGTATTGTTATTAAATTATTAATGAAGAGCAAATGATTAGCTGAGAAAATCATCAATAGTAGGAAATGTCAATATCTTTTCAGAATATAATATTCTGCAAAAAAAATTCAGGCAAACAAATAAAAAAGTTATAGAAATACGCAGAATCCTGGGGATAGGGGAATTCATTGATAGATATACGGAGAGAACTAAATCGGTTAATTAAAGAATTTTTTTTTATTAAGTCTTCTTATCTCACCCAGGCTAGAAGTGCAGTAGTCACTCACCAGCCTGATTCCACTATTGATAGTTATACAGCTTTGACCTGATCTATATTCTGATGGGCAACCCACCACCACCATGTGTTATTGCCACACTTGGCATGAATACCTGATTGGCTTTAGCAGACTGCAACTCAGAACTCCCTAGGTCAAGAGACCCACCTGCCTCCCAGGTAGCACAGATTTCTGGCATGCCCAGAGTGAATTTACTTTTTATTCAAATGTAAATAGAACATTCCCATTAGGGAAAGAGGGTGAAATGAATTGGCAAATGTAGGTGATGTGAAAATAAAAGTATCAATAAAAATGTGATCACATTCTAAGCCATAAAGAATGGATAAACATAGAAAAAAAGAAAATTATAAATACTACATGACAGACTATACCTCAATTAAAATGTAATCAATAACAGATAAGTTTAAAAGAAGCAGACTGAAAGGGAAAACAAATGATTTGCTTTAGAATGGTAGGGAGTTGGTAAGTAATGACAGAAATATTAAAGAAAGAAAAGAACATCCATGAAACATTCCAAAATACACAGCATCAAGCAGAAAGATCAAAAGTATCACACCTAATCATTCACAAGCATTTACTGAATGACTACTACTATGTTTTATCTAGGCATTATGCTATAGACTGAGGATGCAAGAACAGTCAATGAAGCAATCCCTACTTACAAGATTATATTCTGAAGGGGAAGACAAGTGTATATATAAGCATATACGCCTAACTACTATAAAGAGAATAAATAAAAATGGATATATGGTTAAAAACAAGTGAGTTTCAGTGGGAGGCACTAACAGTTCAAGGGCTCATGAAGGGTTTCATGCAAAAGATAATGCCTGTGCTAAGTCTTAAAGGAAAAGACATTCAAAGAGGCAAAGGTGAGGAAGAACACTCCAGGCATGAGATAACCAGTACATGGAGAGGCAGGAAATAGAGTGTCTTGCGGGAGAAACAGAGAAGCCAGTTTGCTGGATGGATCATAAAGTACAGGAGGGGTCATAAAATACAAAGCTAGAAAGATAAGCTGGGACCACTGGCGGTATGAGGCTTTAAAAGCTAAATGGAGGAATTTATATTTTATTCTAGTGACAACTGGAAGACATTGGAGTTAGCTAAGTAGCAGTCATATGGTCATATCTGTTATAAACCTGGATGACTAAAAGAATGGTGGAACATTCAACAGAAATAAGTAAGTTTGAAAGAGGGGTGGGGTGAGTTTGAGATATATCTGGGCTGTCTAGTTTTAAATATCCAATAGGCAACTGGTGATGTGGGACTGAAGCTCAAAGGAGAAACTGCGGTTAGATATACAGATTTCCCTGCAAGCTCCTTGAGGGCAGGAACTATCTTGCATGTTTGTATTTGTATGCACAGTGTCTGGCACACAATAAGTCTTTAATAAATACTTTTTTTAAAAAAATATTAATTTATGTGGGAGTCATTGACATAAAGATGATGAAAGCACCAAGAAAGTATAAAGAAGACTATGGGGCCTAGCATAGTCTTCAGGAACACCCACATTTAGAGGCATGATACAGATATTTAGAAGGAGAGGATAGGCAATAAGGAAAAGAACTAGGAGAGCATATTCAGGAAAGGTGATCAACAGTGTCAAATACAGCAGGTAAGTCAAGAAGGATGAGAGTAAAGGGGAAGCTAGGTGGCGAAGTGGGCAGAGCTCTGACCTTGGAGGACCTGAGTTCAAATCGGTCCTCAGACACTTAATACTTACTAACTGTGTGACCCTGGCCAAGTCACTTAACCCCAATTGCCTCGCACAAAAAAAAAAAAGATGAGAGATGAAAAAAGGAACATCTAGTTTGGCAATCTCGTAACTATGGCAACAGTAATTTTAGTCAAGTGATAAGGTTAGAAGCCAGGTTACAAAGACTGAGAGAAGAGGAGGGCATGAACAGACATAAACAGCTTTTCCTAAGAGTCTGATTGAGAAAGGGAGATTTATAAGAAGAGAACAGAGCCTGGTGAAGACTTTCTGTAAGGATGGCGGATACTTGGACATTTTTCAAGGCAGTACAGAAGGATCCAGTAGATAGAGAGAAGTTGAAGATGGGGGGTGGAGGGGGGATGGAAACTGAGAAGACAGGATCAAAGCCACATGTAGAGAGGTTGGCCTTTGTCTTAGTATGTAATCTAAGGACCTTAGGATGTAACCTACATTTCAACACTGAAGATTCAACACTGAAAAAGAAGTATGTCAAAAAATTCACACTTCTCCAATCAAAATAAATCAACTGTTTACAAAATATAAGAACCCTTAGAGTTATGGTATTGGCCAAATTACTAAATATTTCAAAAATAATATTTCAAGGAAAAAGAAAAAAGGGTATGAAAAAGAAAAAAACTCCTGTTAGGGGAAGTTCAAGTGAAAGAAGCCTATATAGTTATTTAAAAGAAACTTGATTTCAGGGAATTTTTGTTAATTTTAGCTTAATGACAAAAACAAGAACTTTAAAATGTATTGTCTTTCAATACAATTACTGAGGGGAAAAAACCTAACCACTGTGATGCTAATGCAAATGGA